TATGGTGCTCCATCGATGAGTTTTAGTTTCAACAGCCCATTGGCGGCCACTCGGATTACTATCGACATCTCTGGGTCGGTCAAGGGAAAAATGTTACGAACAAAATTGAAATCGACAAAATTTCACTTTCGTTTGCTTTTCTTTTCGTTTCGAAATTCATTCATTTCACCACCCCAAAACAAAGCTACTCGACGGAATTGACCCTCCGCAGCAGCGTTACGTAAGCCCCAAACGCCCTAAATGCCACGCCCAGTAGTCGACGCCGTCTCTTACTCGTATTGTTGTTGTTGTTTGGGTCTGTTGTAAGCAATTCATGTATTTAAGCTTAAACGGTTTACAAATTTATGCGATCTTTTGGGCCGTTTCGGTTATTATGTCAGGCTGGTCGTGAATTTAAAACGCATGAATTTCAAGTCGACGTCGGCAAGTTTTCCCAGAGCCTCAGTTTGATTGTGGCGACAACAAGCAGCTTGTGGCTGACAGTGATAGTTCAGGAAATGGCTTGGAACATGACGTCTGGAATGCGGTCCAGATATCTATGTTGACAGTGTGACAAAATACCAGATCAGTAACTGGCCCGGGTAACACACCCTCAAGCCCAGAGTCAAGTGTCAGTTTTGTAATTGCCTGCAGCACAATTAAGGCAAACGACAATAAAAATAATTGGCCAAGCCACGGCTAAACACGACTCATAAACAGGTTATTTGCAACTTTAGAATGTTGCCCAGATCGGCGTGTTTCTTGTGCGGGTGTTATGCCGCCTTCCATTTCCAGGTTCAATTGGTTCTTTGTCCTTGGTGGAAAATGATTGATTAGCATTTCGTATTGCCAAAAGGCGGATATTGTGGCAATTGTGCTTGGTTAAGTCGGAAACAATGCGAAGCCCGATCGACTAATTTGCTGGCACTCGGAAATTATGCACTTTGAACTGATTCGTAATCGCATTTTTTTAGTTTTTGCCATGTTTTATTTTTCTTCTGTGTTATTTGCATAAGGCTCGAGTTGTTGTCGAGCAAGTCAACAATATTTGGTCAATAGGCGAACAAGTATCTGGAGCTGCAATTATTCACTTGGGCGGCCAGTCAAGTGGGTAAATGCAACTACAAGAGCTCGGCTTAAAACCAGACATAACTTTTGCATCCGGAGACTGTTTATTGCATGAGTTCATTGACTCTGCTCGTAATTTTCATTTGCGAAAGATCCAATGTTTATTTTTTGGCTAGATATGAAACTATGTCAAACACTATACACCTGCCATACAATCAAATACCAGCCACACAAATCCGGACTTTTTTTTTTAGCCAGAATGTTGATTTCAGCACTCCCTCTCTCTCTCCCTCTCTCTCTCTTTAAGAGACCCTTTACATAACTTATCGATAAATATCCATTTCGAATCTTGTATTCTCGGCATATCTCCAAGCCTATAAGAGATGGAGATACCAAATTTGCCATTTGTAGCTCTTGTAACATATGCTAAGGCTAAGAATATTTACCTACATGTACCGCCCCATATTCTTAGCTCAAGCTTAAGCCTTAACTTTAAATATCGCCAATAATCCAACATATATGTTTATCTGTAACTCGCAGTAGTATTCGGTTGTTTGCCAATCGAAAATTAGCAATTGCTGCTAACCAAGTGGTAACAGCTACCTGAGCTAAGCTGGTGTGAAATTTTACTGAAATGGTTGGTAAGAGTGTGTGCTCACCTACTCGCAGAAGGCGTAGTCGTCGCTCCTTGCCTCTCGACAGCCCAATGTTTGGCCAAGTCTAACAATGGCCAAAACAGCGGGCAGTCTAAACAGCTGCCAGTTTGCCATGCAACACTTTCGGTTATTGTTGTTGTTGTTTATTTGTTGCTGTTGTTTTTGTTGTTGCAGCTATTATTGTTGCGCGTTTGTTTTGTAGCTGCTCGCGCTTTGCGCCCGTTTCGTTTGGCGTTTACTTTGTGTAACAAGTTTGCATATGTGATTAACAAACAGCACAGCATGTATTAGTAAACATAATTATAACACAAAAAGAAGCAGAGAGAGAGAGATAGGGAGAGAAATGAAAAGTAGCGAATCGCGTAAACCTCTGCGAATGATGCAAGCAGCACGTCTTGAAATTCTACAATAAAACGAAAGACTTAAACGACAAACCTAACGCGCGACATGCGTGGGCAGCCTAAGTCAACTATAATGATGCACTCGAAAATGTATTTTGTCATCAGATCGGCATCGGCATCGGCTTACATCAGCAACTGCCGTGGGCGCTGGCCATCGGAGAACCTCCACTCCGAGCAAGCCGTAGCCCAGGCCCAACACCAACACCACAAATTACAGCTGACTCACTTTTCGTCTATTTTTGTATTCTTCTACTCTTGACATTGACCTTCGATGGCGCATTATTATTTTCTAATTAGCAGCCGCCTGGGGGAGCACAGCTCGTTGTCCACTTCTTGAGCAGATTTCTTTAACAATATTTTTGTTTGCCTTTGGTATTATTACGATCTCTGCTGTCGCCGTCTGGGGCTTATTGTTCTCTTTGTGTAGATTTTGATACTTTTGTGTCTTTTTTTACGACCTTTTGCTGTGTGGCGGGGATAGGTGGGTTCTGTCACCGCGTTGAAGTCCATTAAATGCGAGTAAATTAAATAAAATTATCTATTTATTTTGCCAAACTACAAGGGATTTGTGAACTGGGCGTGGGCTCTGATCTCACAAGCGCAGTAGGAAGCGAGTTTTGCTTGGCCAGGCAGCGACAGGTACTCACAGAACTATTATCACGCATTGTAATAGTTAGGCACAAAAGTCACAACACTTTGATTGGTCTGGGTGTGTTTTATGACGCAGTTAGGAATGTTATTCCAAAGAATCACAGCTTAAAAAGCTGCGAATAATACAAATTATTGCTTCACAAACATTCTGAAATCTTGGAGATATAGAAAATGATTTTGTGGAAATATAAGTTACTGAGGCTTCTACAGCCCCATTTAGTGCATAAGTTGTTGGTCTATAGTATAAGATTGCAGATTCCATGGAATTGAAAAAATGCAACATAGAATGTTATTTTTTCGGGCTTTTTTTCCCCCACCTCATTTTGAAAGATATACACAGATCCAGAATAGTCAAATTTTTTTAAAACATCACCCTGTTCCGCCTTAAAATTAAAAAGTAAAGAAAACAACTTATTAGCCTTAATCGCACTATAAATATCGTAGTTGATGATGAACTCTTTCCCTAGATTGGGGCAAGCCTTTTGCGTACGTGCTTGTGTGTGTGTGAGGGTGTATGTATGTGTGTAGAGCGTTTAAAACTGGCAGATCTATACGCTATGCTAAGTATTTAACTATTGTACGAACTTTTAAAAGTTCAGCAACAGCTCGACGACGACCTTCAATCAAAAGAGAAGAAGCAGCAGCAGCAGCAACAGACTCTGCGAGTGGACAACACAGAAACTTGATTAAGCAAAGAAAAACTTAAAGTTCAACTTGTATCAATGCTGTTGCTTCTGCCTCATTTGCTGCGGCAGCTGTTGTTGTTGTTGTTGTTGTAGCACTTCTGAATGACTTTTCGCTGTAGCGTCTTGACATTTCGCACAAACAAACAAAACAAAAAAACACCCCAAAGCAAAAACAAATGCAGAAAACGCTTGCGTTGCTTTTGTTTTGCAACTTGTTGCAGCAACATTAAAAATTAGCCCGCAGACGACAGCCATTGAAAATGCAGCCAGAATAGGAAGAACGCTTAACTGAAGACACATATTCACAGAATCATCGCCGTATTATCGCTGTAAAGCAAGGCTGTTCCAGAAGCCAGCCAATTGCCAATTACATGGCATGCCCAACCAATGCGAGATACGAACATCGGCAGCGGCAAGTTTGGAATTCTTCTCGAGTCGCCACCGCTGCAAAACTGTAAATGTCAAGCTGCCAGCACAGGCTGCTGGGCACAGTGGGGTCTAAAAATATACGTATATGCATAGAATTGTTACTAAAATGATTTTTTTTAGTTATAATCAATTCCAATTATTTGTGTATCCAAATTTGAAAGTTTCCTTACCTGAAAGTTTAATGCAACAAAAAAGACTTATTTTTTAAAAATATTCACTAACCCTACTTTTAAAGGGTATATCATATATTACAGCGTAACTTGCGCAAATGTATAACAATCAATTAAAGTAATATTTAAGGAAATCTTGATAAAGTCCACAATTTTAAACAATATCTTTTTCCAAGTCATTTAATGTATATTTATAAATCTGATGCCAATCTAATCAGCGCATATTTTTATCAACCCTTCCTAAATATCCGGAGGCACATTTTAGCAAAAACCTGTTTTAAAAAATAGGAATACCCAATAATTGCAATTACTCTTAAAGCAAATTAAATATGCATTATTCGGAGTTAATTCTCTTATTTTAATTTGATTTCTTTAAGATTTCCGCAAGCTATGTCGAAATATATGAATTCACCTCTGAAAACCCGCCTTAAAAAATCGGAAACTACAAACATGTTTTCCAAAAAACGTTTTCACTAGAGAAAACGAAATTATTTACGGCATTAGCTGTTGGCATAGTGTTATTATTCTCTATGAAACAATCCATCATTCCATCTAATATATATGAATAGAGTTTGATAGTTTTGTTCCGTCCGCTTACGATTATTGACTACTGTGCAACAAGGCGTCGCTGCCGTTGTCTCTGTGCGCAGTGGACGTTCGACATGGGACAAACTAAAAATGGTTTGAGGTGGGCTCATTGTTTGGCTCTTGCTTTGGGGCAAATGCCAAATGCGGCAGACAGTTTGAGAGGCACTTGACTAAAGGCTGCGCGCGGCAAAGTTAAAACAAATTCAAAGTCCATTTGGCGGGCATTGAAAACAGGCTGTGCTGTTGCTTTTGTGGCAGGCTCTGCGAAAAGTATCAATGAAACTTGTTTAAGGCACTTTGTCAGTTCTATTTTAAAGCACATTCAAAGCTCTAGACTCCCGAGTACTGTGTAAATTTCAAATTGTACGCGCTATGTTTAGATCTCGTTTGCCATGGGATATGCCGCTCGATCTGCTGTACGACGACTTCTCCAGGTGGCTGGGCAGACAAAATGCAGATGCGCTGTCCGAGAAGAAATTTAATCGGAAAGCCTGTATTCCATTCGACATGTTCTACAAGGACTTTGTCAACTGGTTGGCCGATGAGAAGCTCTCCTTCCTAGCACACCAGTTCTGGGCGAAGCTGTCCCCAGAACAAAAGTTTACCTATGACATGCGGGCTAGGCAAATTTTCAAGTCCCAGCAAAAAAATCATCAGGCAACTAAAGTAAAGAGTCGTCCGAAGCATCTACATAAACAACCGAAGCCCTATCCGAACACATCACACAGGCTGCGCCGGTCCGGAGCCCAGGCAGTTAAACGCCAAAGGTCCAGAATAAGTGCAAACCAGCCTCAAGTAAAAAATTATAACGGCAGAGCATGAAGGCTGGAGGATTTTGATACAAATTTAAATTTGACGGTTTTAATAAATGATTTTTAATATAATAGTTGGTAGCACATTTCTCAATGCCCCAAGCTCTGATGCGATAACATTCCTTTATAGAAATTTATTTCAACTTTTATTCAATGATTATTTCGATTTATCATTCGCATAATCCAAAATTACATATTACTTTTGAAAATAACTGTCCTTCACAAATTTATATGGAAATTAAAACTTCTTAAATCCTCTACAAGGGGTACGAAATGTATTTGCATATAAAGTCATGTCCATGTTTATGGTTTTCTGTCATGTTTCTTATACCCTGTACTCATTGAAAATGGGTGTAAACAATTTGTTATAGTTTTGTACATATATATATACATATATAACAGGCAGAAAAGTATGTATATACTATGTGGAGACTATTTGGCCATGTCCGTCTGAATGAATGCTTTGGGCTCAAAATTGGAAAATTATATTCTTCTATACTCATTCTTTGTCGATATCTCGATCCATTCTTAAGAGCATAATGCAAAATATATTATGCGCCATGAAGATGGAGAAGTTATTCAAAGTTAAATATCCTATAGTGTATAATTAACTGCGTTGGCAATCTAAAATTCATATTGGGCGCTATTTCGTGAATTCAAAACGTGCTGATCAACGCGAAAGTATTATATTGACTGAAGGCTACAGGGTATTTTGTAGTCGAGTTTACGACACCCCGCAGCGTACTTACTTGTTTTGTTTGGCGTTTAATGTTTAATCCATTTATATGGAGAATAACGACTCCTGCTTAAATCGCTCATATGCAATTCAAGAGAGAACTTCGCTCTCATTACAATAAATACCAATGCAATCGATAGGCTTGTTTACGCGTCAGCTGTCCGAAGGTTGTTCAATTTTGTGTTCTTTCTGTCAAGAAAATAGCAATAGACAAATACGCATTGGTATCCAATACGATTCACGATTTTTCAATTTTAGGTCAAGTGTGCTGGGAATACAAATAAATTATATTGTTACCCAAAGGAATACAAAGTTCCGTTGCACGAAATTAAAATACGCTCGCAGCATTTCTTAATAAGACATCATATTAGTTTAAAATATATTCACTCATTTACGTTACAGCAAAAAAAAAAAGTGTATTCACTCACGTCAGATCTGCAATGCTCACTTATTAAATGGAACAATAGTGCAGAGTCAACGGCAGATGAGAATGAACGATTTTATCTACCTTCAGCGGATTAGAGTTAGCAGGCTGGAAATGTACACAGCAACTCTTGCCCAAGCGCAGAAGGCGTGTTTTTTAATTTATATAAATAATATACTGCACACTGTTGCGGGGGGGCTTGAACACAGTTCTTTTCCTCATGCAGAGCTGGCGTCTGCTCACACACGACGCCAAGACAGAAATCGTAGACTGTGTGGCTAAGAGTCGTGTACTGTAGTTCTGGTTCTTTATGGTTCAATGGCAAGCAGTTGTAGAAGCAGTTAATAAAGCAGTGCTAGTTTCTCTTTGCCTTGGCATAACGAAATAAACACTATTTTTCAGGCTCTTTTTTTTCCATCAATTAATCAAATATTTTAACCTATCGCCAATGCAAGTACCACACGTCTCCCTCCGGTCGCATATATATTTTTTTAAACATGTGTCGAAAACAAGGTGTGAAACGCAAGAAACATCTGATTGAAGTACTACCAAGCCCCTGGCTCAACGTAGGCGTTGCCCCGCTCCACTCTGGGCGCCTCACGTTACTGCATAAATTTGCCTGATGAAATTTTCAACACTATATTCTTGTTTGAAATGTTGCGCGCTTGTAGTATGATATTTCAATTTTCAATTAGTGGCAAAGTTTTTGCGTGGTTGAAAATCTATTTTGTTGCTGTGCAATGGGACTTTTTGTGCCCAGACATTGTGGGTCAAAGAGCTAAGAATGACGCATGCGAGGTTGCAGCTGGAAGCTATTTGCTGTTGCTGTTGTTGTCAGCTTTGGGTGTCTGTGCCCACGCTTATGTTCAATTGTCTATATGTTTCTGTATACTTAAGGAAAAAGCAACCAACGCCATGCCATAAGTACCTATAAACAAATGGCAGCTGCCTAAAATAACCCTATGTCGCGAAACCAGCATTTTGTTGCACGTTTGTAGTTCGTTCAACGGGAAGGAAATGGGTCAACACACATAAGCACACATAAACACACACTCATGTATACAAGCATTACATAAAAACTTTGGCCGAATTATTGATACCCTAACATAATATATAGATAATAAAGTACATATGATTTTATTCAATGCAATATAACTGAAACTCGAAACGAAACCAGGCAAGCAGTTCAAACAATCGGCAAAGCAGTGTTGCACTACTACTTATTAATTTATTTTTGGTTTTTTTGTGAGCAATATTGGAAAATAGTTGTATATTTGTCAGACCCATGACAAAAGTTGGCCCCTAGGCTGGGCTTTATTTATTTATTTATTACAATTTATTGACAATTAGATACGATGATATTGAATTTGAGCGCCTTTCAGGGCTAACTGCAGCCAGCGGCGCCGAAAGGTGTCAACAAAACAATAAAACCGACAACAAATTTTGCGTCAAGTGTTGAAATTGCAGCTGAAGTTGAGATGCTGTTGATTAATTACTATTCGCTACGTGTTGACTATTAACATTTGACCTCGTTTGCATTTCAGATACCTCCAGCTATTACTTTCCATCACAAAATCGTTTCGTGCCATCCTCCGGCTCGTTTCCCCGCCAACTGCAGCAGCCCCAACAAACGCTTCATGGTTTTCGCAGCAGCAGCGGCGGTTTCTCCCCAGCCCCTGGCTCCTACCAGGAACAGCTCCTGTTCATCGGCAACGAGAACAGCAACAACAATAAACAGACTCCAATTTCGACGAGCTCGCCATACGGAACACCATTTGGTGGGGCAGCTCCACAATTTGCGGTAAGTTTTTATACTCTCCATTAAGTCCGACTTCAACTCCAATTGCAGTTCCAAAGTCAATTTTTGTGCAAAATGTTGGCCAGTGCATTTTGCATTTCCATATGCGGGGCTCTTTATTACCAATCAAGGTGGGATGGGGCGGGAATGGGTACGGGCAGGTAACGGGCAGCAGGCAACCTGCAACCTGCCACAAAATGTACGAACAAACTATGCCGAAGGCAATTAAGTAACTTGTTGTCTGTGTCTCGGTCTGAGAGCTCGAATTCGAAGCCAAGTCTGGCTCTCAACACGCAAAGCTTTGCCAATCAACGCCAAAAACGAAATCAAATCAAATCAAAATTCATAAATTACAACATGCCACATGCCACATGCCACATATGAAATTTGATTAAGCCAACTTGCAAAACGCAGGCGGGAATGCCAATTGCAGCTAAAGAAAATCAATCGGTTGAATACCCTTACAATCTGGGCATTATGATTTCCACACGAAATGTGTAACGCTTAGATATATATATATACAGACTATCTTCAAGATATGCTGACTAAACTTAGAATATACTAATCATATATCATATTGCGAGCCTCATTATTCAATATACTTATGATCTAATAAATTATCTGAAGAAAGCATAATTTCCTATAACATTACAAAACGATGAGTGCAATTTTAATAGCCCGAACAGAAATGGACAGAATTTGGGCTGTAATTAAATTAAATTATTTTAACTGCCAAACTATTTTTTTCTTTTTAAATATATATTTTGTGTATATTGCAAATGGTGCGAGATTGGCACTAGGTATTTCCTGGTTAGGAAATTATTTCACTATTACGAATTATTCAACAAGTCTCTGGGACTTTCCTAACACATAGGAAACCATTTGCTCGCTAAAAATGATTACAAACCGATTCAGGAAGAATTGCCCTGTTTTGTGGCTCCAGCTCTCAGACGACGACTCCCTCCCACTTCTTGCCCAACTTCTGCTTAGCCCGGCCTGGAACTGTGCACGACTCACGCAATGCTCAAAACGTAAATCGAATTACACACTAGACAATGAAATTAATGACGGCGGGTGTACACAACTGGCCACTGGTCAGAGCTGGAAGCATTTCCAAATCCATTTTCCCGCTTACTTTCACTTTGCCGAAACTGCAAACAAAAACGCACACACAAAAGACGTCTTCTGCATATCAACGAATCAACAAATATTATTTGTTGATTATTCCCGAAGCTCGAATGCATTGTTAGAGACTTTTGGCTATTGTCGGTCTCTCAGAGGAACGTGTTTCTAATTGAAAAACTGTATAATCATATTGTTTATTACCAGTTGCCAGTTTGCAGGCATGAGCACGCACTTTGCTGCAGTCCCAGTTTGGCCCTAATTGAATTGGCATGTCAGGGCCTAAAGTGCGGGTAAAGGGACTGGGATTGGAACTGGTATTGGGCCAGACAAGTCGCCAGTTGCTGCCTTGCAGTTTGTCAGCGCCCAGCGAGAGGTCTTGCCCTCCATTGTTCAAGTCCGACTGCTGCAGTTCCTCGCACTTGCAGCTGAATTGTGTCGTTATTCGAGGTTGGACACTGATTTACCTAATGGAAGTGACTTCTTTATGGCTTCGAGTGAAGCCACTTGAGAGCTCAATTAAGCCAAGTTAGTTGCGGGAGCTCCTTGCTCCCATCCTTATCTGGGCCACGTAATAAATCATGCTAGGAAAAAAAAGAACTTATATATATATATATACAGATAATTTGTCAAGCATAGACGGAGAACATAATCAATCAGCATTAACCGACATATATATATCTCTGTACATCCGTGTATCTTTCTGTTGCAGGCAGAATATTTATATATATCAAAGTCAGCCTATTTGGACACTGCATCATAAGCTTAGTAGAAAATTAATGATGTATTGAAAATATACTTCTTGTACGAAAAACTTGTTGTTTCACGATATCTGAACCATATTGGGATATCAGATATATATATTAGTCCGAACACTTTGCCACTTGTCAATTCAAAAAGAGAATATAAAGAATTGATACTTGATTTGAAATAACTAACTCAATCGAAATTGAATTTAAAATATCAATGCTTCAACGGGAAGCAAAGAATATATAAAAGATGTCTTTTTGAAAAATGTATCGCATATGCATAAGGTAATCCCATGTGCATTGCCGATGCATTATTATTTGATTATAGATTATCGACGACTCGTTTGAAGTGAAAGCCAGTTCCCAAAGAAGAGCCTATGTTATGCATTCTGTCGCTCCTTAGTCCAATGCTGTCGTCTCTCTTCATTTATTGCAATCCAACCAAAGTCGTGGAGTACGTGAGCCGCTTTTCATGGTTTGTTATGCTTCCATATTGACAAACGACTCGAGAGCTGTTTAATAACTTGACCGACGCTTTCTTCGGCGGCTGAAAAGCCGCCCCATTAAAGTCGAGTCGGTTATTGCACCCACGGCATTGACAGGCGCCAAGCGCAGTGAAATTGTTATTGGGAGTCCCCAACTCTAGCTATGCCTAATTAATGACTGTTAATCAGACTACGACTTGTGGATAACTGACGACGAAAGCATTTCACTCAAAAAATTGGTGGAGAAACTGCTCGTTTAACAAATTGCCTGCAGCTTCTGCTGTTTTTTTTTACTGATTTTTCGTTTGGGGCGTATTCTGTGGGGTGTTCTGTGATGCGTAAACGTCAAGAAGCGGAAAACAAAAGAAAAAAGCATGCAATCAAATTCGCCTTTTAGCAACAAAACTTGCGTTTTGTATGCAATTTGTTTAACAGAGCAAAACCTGCAGCTCGGCCAGCTCTGGGCCCCCCCAAATTTAGAAGCACTTTCAAAAAAACAAAAAACAACCATAAAAATAATAATGCATAATAACAACAAGTACTCGAAACTGACGGCGATTTCTGTAATTAGCGGCCAGTCGCGACCTTGATACACTTCAATCAAACATTTTCTTTGATAGATATCCATTGTGCGGCTAGGTTTTATGTTGTTGCTGCTTTCGATTTTGATTTTGATTTCGATTCGGATTTCGTTTCCATTCATTTGCAGTCGCCTCTCAGTTTCTGGAGCTTGGATCTTAAAGCGCTTTGGCATTGCGTGCAACACGTGTGCTGAAGGCCCCATCAAAATGCCAGGTGTATGCACCGTAACGGTGTTTGGCCTACACCTCAGTAACTGAAGATTTTGGTTGTCAACTTATGTTGATATCGGTTAGATTTGGACTTACGAAATGCATCTAAAGCTGAGCTCAAAGTCAGCTTATGTCGTCTAGGACTTCTTTCAATTTCTTAAATTGTTGTGTAACTTTAATTTCAATCTGAAAATGCTACAATTTTTCTTTAAGCATTGTAAATGGAAAAGTATTTCCAGTCAAATAATGGTAGATTATGAGGGTAGCTAATCTTAAAAAGACATGAGTTTAGCGAACAATCCAAAAAAACAGAATAAATTTTCAAATAGAGAACTGTTTGATACATTTTTGCAATTATGAAAAGAGTTTAGTCAAACAAGTTAATAACAAATTTGGTCAAGATATTCAAAGAAAAGCAAGATTTTCTTACAAGAACTTAGTTTTACAATACGAAATTATCGAGTCCTTTGCTTTACAGCTTTTGTAATAATATTTAAATACTCTGTTCTCTGCTCTCTATGGAATTTCTAACAATAATGTCTAAAATTGACGAACAATCATAGTTTCAGCTGATAAAGCGTTTTTAAATTGAGATTTTTAGCTTGAATATTACAATTTAATCGCATCATTTATCTTTAATCTTGTGTCAATAAATTACACATTTATATTCCATCACGAAAGGCCTCCGCACCAAAAAAGCAAAACTAATTAATTTGGCTTTAGTAATAACAACATACTTGTTGGTTTTTCTTTTGCATCCCACAGAAACCGAACCGTCAGTCGGACTATTACGATATCTCGCCACGCCCCTTTGGTGTGCCCGTCAGCGGAGCTGGAGGCGGTGGCGCAACGTCCGCGTCCGCGTCCGCAACGCCGTCCAATGGATTTACACGCTCCAAAGCAATACGCAACGGCGGCAACAGCAACAGCTTGGGGAACAGTCTGAACGGCTTCCAGCCGCAGACGCAGCGCGTCAATGTGCCACACCAGCAGACGCAGTTTCTGGCGCACTTCAGTGAGGCAACGGTAAGGAAATGTCCAACGAGAGCTGGCACAGACTCCGACTCCAACTCCGACTCCGCCGCCAGATACACTAGATACAGGCACAGACATTTGTTATTGTGGGGCACAGAAAAGTAAAAGCAACAAAAGGAACAGAAATAACAACAGCAAACATTTTTTGGCATTGCATAACATTTAACAAAACAATTGGCCATGCTCTGATTTGGCCAATATCAGTTGGCGTTGTTTCTCTTTCTCTTACGTGACTCCAAACATAAAAAAAGGCAAACTGTTTTGCCAGCAGCCAATTCACCCAATCCCAGAACCAGTTGCTGCAAACCACAACAAATTTTTTTTTGTTGACTAAAGCCGCAACTTGAAAAAACAACAACAACAACAACAATATATATGAGCCTATCAAATGAAATAATTTTTACCTTTCGCCAGATCTTATTTAATGCTTTATCTAATCGAATTGAGCTCTCTTATAAAAAATTAGAGCATTCAACTTTGGGGAAATAGTTATATATCGCCTTTAATTATGTATCATATATACAATATATATATATATATATATATAATTTGATCTTAGGCTTGTTCAGTATTAAATGCTATTTTGACTGAACGCTGCCGTTGTACTTACAAGGGATAACCTCGATACTTGTAGTAGACTGTTCAGCAGCTTCCAAGCCAGGACATTTCTGGGTCCTCGGTAAAATCCATGAAGGCATTCCATTGCCCGAAGGAATCAGAAAACTTTCTCTATTCTAACATGGGACATCGACTAACTACGTTTGATTCTATTAATCCCTCGGTAGCCTATACAAAATAGCCTCTCCCCTTACACAGACTTCGCTTGGAGGCAGACGAAACAAATGATATTCTCTCGGAATATTCAGTTATTACAGGAACAAGCATCTGGCCTTGTCTTCACCTAGCTCAGATCAGGACTTCTTCAGCAAGAGAACTGCGCTTCCTTCCATCTGGGAGATCGCACAGCCCTCTCTCACTTGGGGACCTCCCTGACCCTAATCTCTTGCGGAGATTCCCTATACCTTATGATTATCTAATATGTGCATTTTGGTGTACAAATAACCAACAAATACAAACACGATTGAATTGTTTACCAAAGCTGCACAACTGTTTTCTCTGGAAACACTTAGCTCACATTGTTTTGCCAGTCAACACGTTTGCTCGCTCTCACCTCGCCTCCCACTCTTTCATTTGGCATCCGACTCATTTAATTTTATACATTTCATTTGAAGTTAATTGCCGCAATTTGTTACTTAATTTGAGCGAAAGTGTTCCAATGATAAATCTCAGCTAAGCCCATTTACAATACAAACATTGACGGCCCACATAAGTCCGAAATATAGTTTAAGCATTCAAATCTCTTGACTGCAAACCTCATCAAATGAAAGTCTTCAGCTGTTTGCAGGGCAGGTGCGTGATGAATATGCCTCGAAGGGAATGAAAACTGGGTAACGGGAGGAACTTCTTTATAACCAGTTTAGTTTTGCAACTATGTATATATATATTAAGTGTATAGTATTTGATATTTTAGTCAAAGTCACTTTCAGACTTTGTTATTATCATAAAGTCATCGCAGACTTCGCTCAAGAAGCTGTAACCTTTGCCACCTTTAGACACACTGCTGCACAGCTACCCAAAGCCCAAGATTACACTTGGGGGCTTCACTGAGATTTGCAGCGACCCAAATCATCAACATGCAATACTCAATCTTGCGGCTTTCAATAGCTGAACACGTTGCGACTGCGTCACGTTTGCAACCTGTGCGAAGCTCTTGGATGGGTCTGAGTCGCTGCGGTTGCCTTCACATCAAAATTAAATAAATACGAGCGCATAAATTATAGAGACCAAAAGCTGGCAAATGGAACAGTCGACTGGAAATTTGCACAAAACGCTTTAGACAAATTTGAGAATCACTTTTGAATGCCGCAGACTGCGGCAGGAGAGGCGGCAGCTGGGGAAGAGTTCGCACGCAAAACAATTGACAGACGAACCGCAGAGATTGTTGTGATTTCGTGAACGGGTGTCTGTGTCTTGGTCTGTGCCTAGGAGGGGGACCATGTTGAAACTGTAACAGTTTCCCATGACGCCGACGTTAACATGTGACCAAAAAAGCCAATGCTGAGAATGGGGCGCGCAGCTGTCGGGTTGGCAATACCCATAGTAACTGGGGCAAAGCGTACCGCTAGACGATTACTTCGATTCATAACTGTGTTGTCTTTTTGCTTTCAGAACGAGAAGCGTTTGCCCTCGAACAGCGCTGCCGTCCGCCCGTTTGGCAATGGCGGCTTTTCGCCCAGCGGGACTCGCAGCCGCACTCAGGCACCTTCGGCAGATGAGGTCACGCCCCAAGCAGCTGGGCCCTATCGTTTGCGCAACCGATTCCAGCCTTCCGGCTCCATAGCTGCTTCCTCAACGCCAACGTCAACAACGACGGGCAGCAGCGCGGAGGTGAGCAGCAAGCGCTATAATCGGTTTGGCAGCAATCGCGGAGCAGCTAAATCCACGAGCACGACAACCAGCAGCAGCAGCAGCTCATCAACCACCCAGAACACGCCTGCAGAGCGTCCCAGCTTTGGACGCAAGGCACCCAGCCCGCGGCGTCCCGTGTTCATTAGCCGTGAGATCAATGAGCCCGCGAGTGTTGTCAGCAAGCGACCCTTCAACTACAACAGCGCCAGGCTGAAGGTACCGCGACCCACATCCACCACGACCAGCACCACGGAGGGTGCGGATCAAGAGGAAAGCGATGATGAGCAGTACGATCAGGAATCGCTGGAACAGGAACTGAAACAGGCCGAAGAACCTGAAGAGTCCTCAAGTCTGGAGAAATTGCCACTTCAGGAGGAAACGATGGCGCCAGCCACAATAGCCCAAACTGAGGCCAGCCAAGAGCACAAATCCAACTCAAGTGTCTCCAATGCAGCCGAAACAACGGCCGCCAGCAATGAAGCTGAGTCCGGCACGAGTAGTACGGAGGAAACTCAAACAGATTCATCCGAGGCACACGACTTCACTGAGGAGACAACGCTGTCAAATCCTGCGCACGAATATGAATATGTTGAAGAGGAGGAGAAGGCCACAACAGTGATATCCAAGGAAAATGACTCGACTGAGGACCAAGTTCTGGAACTAGAAGTCAACACCACCGAGCTGCCAGTCGAGTCGATTAGCACCACAACGCAGAGCACCACGCCGACACAGGCTGCGCCGGAAACTGCAAAGGAGAGCTCATCCAGACAGGAGGAGGACGAGTCCGAATACGACGATGAGGAGGGTGAAGATGGTGAGAGTAAGTCATATTTAAAAATTAAATTCTATCATTTATATCGCATTTAGGTGCTGAAGAATACGAATACGATGACGAAGATGAAAGCGAAGCTGGAGAGACCGGCGAAGAAGGAAGCAAACACGACGGTAATGTTACGACCGAGACAGAGGGAGAGCATGCGCCAAGCAAGGACCACAACGATGAGCGTGAAATAATCTCTGTGGTGACCACGAAGAGCGTTGTCAATGGCTCCACGGCCTATCCGACTTATCCAGTGACGCCCAGCAGCATTGGCACAACTCTGGCCGATAGCCAGCCGGCGCCACAGCTCAACGAAGAACAAACGGAGGCAGGGAATAATGCTGTAAATACAACACCCCTGCCCAACGAGTACGATGCCGCGCCCAATGTGACCGAAAGCTATGTGGTTGTGGCGTCGATTCAAACGAGTCGTAGCATAAACGGAGCCCGCTTTTTGCCCTTCCCCGCCATCGAGCAGGAGGAGACGAAGCAAACGCTCTCCGAGCTGGAGCGCAAGGTGCATTCCAAGCAGCAGCAAAAGCAGGCCGATTTAAGCGAGAGCAGCGAGGAGACCTTAACAACGACAACGCCATCGACGTCTTCTTCGTCCAGCACAACGGAGAGATCGTTGCCTGTGCAGGGACCCTCCACGGAGAGCATCATCGATAAGCTGGATCGCGTGCAATCGGAGCTGTCCAGCGGTGTGCTCTCCGGCAAATATCCCATCATTAGTAAAATGGATGCCTCAACACCCGCCACCACGATGACAACCGGCTCAGGTAGGTTTGCGCCCAACATTCGCAAGTTCCAGCCCCGTACCACCTCGACGCCCAGCACCACGAGCAGCGGCAGTAGGGTAAAGGTGCAGCATTTCGATGAAAGTGAAATGGATGAGCTGGCCGGTCTGCTGCCAGTTGGCTTTAAGCCCAAGTCCAGCTATAAGAACCGCAAGATAACCACAACAACAAGCACGACAACAACAACAACGGAGGCGCCAGTGCAAGAGCAATCCAATCCAAAGAAACCCGCACGCAACTCTACAATCAGTCGCTCCTTTAAGAACGGCGTAGTCAGCGTGCAGGATGTTGCATTAGCAGGTCTGCTGCCCAAGGGCTACAAGCCACCCAGGACAACAACAACGACGGCTAGTCCGGACCAGAGTACGACCAAGACAGCAGCTGCTCTGGACAGCCTCTTCGAGGAAATCAAGTTCGATGACAGCCTCGCTGCGCTGCTGCCCAAAGACTACAAATTGAACTCGACTACGTCAAAGCCGGCTATAGCCCTGGTCGACGACATTTCCAAGTTTTTGCCACCGGGATTCAACCCTTCCTCAAGTACAACAACAACAACAACAACGCAAAGATCCCCTGCGGTTGCCGTGCCCTTTGACGATTTGAGCAAATTTCTGCCACCTGGCTATAAGCCGCCACAGAAAGCGCATGGCGAACCCAAGCTGCCAGGTGGCATAACCCCTCTGAAGGTGGACGACATTAGCAGCCTGCTGCCGCCTGGGTTTAAGCTGAATGGCACGGCCAAGCCGAAGTTAAACGTAGCCTCTGAAGATGATGAGCTGCTCTCCTCGTTGCTGCCACCGGGCTACAAGCCGAAAGCCGTGCACCCAGCCTCTACCTCCACAACGACGAGCAAGCCCAAATCAACTAGCGCGCCAGTTGCCAGTAGCTCCGAGGCAGCCGGCAATGAAAGCAGTGCCGGAGGCGGTCTCAAAGTCGTCTTTCCCAAAGGTTTCCACAAGCGACTCGGCTCCCACAGGCTGACCACGCCGCACACACCGCACGAGGGAAGCGAGGGGCCGCCGTCATCACCGCAGGTGGTGATCAAGAAGGGTCCGCCGGTGCGCGCAACCACCGAATTCACTGGCTGGCCTACGCCACCCACCACGCCGTTGTCCATTGACAAGTTAAATGCACAAACCATCAACTTTGAGGACCTGCTGACCGCCGCGGGCACCAGCAGCACGAGCACAAGCACAACCACAACAACAACTACGACGACTACCACAACACCACGACCCACCAAGCCGGGACATTGCACGGCTGATTGTGACTTGGAGGCCACCATCAAGATAATCGATGGTGTGGCCTGGAAGCCTGAGCTGCTGGATCACAACACGCTCGAATGGAAAAACCTTGCCCACGAACTGGAGGCACAGGTAACACACGTATTTCGGTTTACCAACCTAGCGGCTCTAATCTCTTACATTTTTTCTAGCTCAATGAGGTCTACTCCAATGCAGCGCAACTGAGCAAGTGGTACAAGAAAGTGCGCATTGATAGCTTCAGTGAAGGCAGCGTATTGGTGGACTATTACGTCGAGCTGGCCAACATCACGCAGGATGTAGATACTTTGGAGATTAAGCAGCTATTCCACGACGCGCTAACAAAGCCCACAATACCTGTGCTGCCCGAGAAGGATGCCCAGGAAAATGAAACAGACAGCGTCTCCGGGCCGCAGGAGGAGCATCTAGTCAAGGCCAGCTATCAAATGGGCAAATTTATTATCGACCCCGTGGCCACCGAATTCAGTGGTGCGTGTCTCTTTATCAAGGAAATCCTTTTTTAACTGATCTTTAACCGAACCCCTTTTGGTTGTCTCTTCACACAGTCATTGCCAAGAACTTGCATACGAATGTCGAGGCTGCCGAGGATGATCTTCCTATTCCACAGTGGGCAATTGTGGTCATCGTCATAGGCGTAGGCTCGCTCGTGTTTGTCGTCATATTTGGAGTCACAGTGGTAAGTGGACTCCCTGGATGCAGTTGCAATGTTTTTTTGGACGCTGACACAAGTCGCATTTTTGCAGCTGCTTAATCGCCAGAAGCGCGCCAAGAAGACACCCATTCCACTGACCAACGACATGCTGAACGAACTGAAAGTCAATCACATGGGCGGCGCGGATAACTACGGAGTTGATGATTTCTACAACATTGACGATCCCTGGAACGACACCAAGCAACCCATTAAGCCAAAGGTAAGGCACAGACTGATTTATTTTGGCACTTCTCTGCTAATTGTATTCCTTTCTGTTGTCAGCGCTTCACCAATTCCATGCACGGCAGCAACAGCTCAAACATCTACGATAGCTGGCGATCGACTCGCCATCCACACAGCAACGGCGACTATTTCTATGATCAGCAGCCAACGTACTCGCAGAAGGGCGACTCTCTAAAGCGGCCACATCAGCATCATCAGCAACACCAGCACCAGCAGTATCCCGCCCATCAGCAAGGCTATGGGCATCAATATCCCGATGCCTTTGCCGATGCGCATCAGATGTACAGCTACAACAATCATGCGAGTCGAACGCGCTATGCACGCGACTACGATCCCGATTTTTAGTTAGTCCATAAGACCCTCCACCCCCGACTTACCGCTAGCTTTAGAAAATTTGCGACCGATTTTGTGTCGCAACTTAATAGCCTAAAGTTTATATACGTATGCGTTAATTATAACGCTGCTCAGTAACATATTTACAAACTAAGTATGGACTAACTAACTATAGAACAAGTCGATGAGGACAACTCATACGATGAAATTATAGCATTACTTTGTCTTACTGCCAATTGTCTTACTCATTGTCTGTGCGTAATTTCATTGTGTGAGCTGCCTCCGTTTATTTGTACTGTGGCAGGCAGGTAACGTACTATTTATACGAAGGTATAAATCATAATCAATTTGTACTGTGAAATATGGCTTAGTTTCAAAGCAACACTATAATTTATAGATCAGTAGCTTTCTTTTCGTATTCTACCTGTCTTCTTATATACTATATATATTTAATTGATGTCCACGTCTTTGTTCTTTACTAAATCTATTAAAATACTTGCTCTATATGCTTACATATGTATATGGAAATTAGGAGTTCGCATGTGGGCTTCCAGAAATAAATAGTCATGCACATTTAGTTAATGCTAGTTTGTAATAATATTGTAGACACATTAAATAATTTAATTAATGGCTGCATAACCAATTACAATATACAAGTGTCTATATTTAGACAATGAATAAAATATGAATTATATTTCCGAGATCGAATTGAGTTGTTTAATCTATATCTATATTGATTTCAGATTTTTGGGATTCGTTTTATTGACTTTCCAGAAAAACTTGTCACATTGATGATTACCATTTGACATTTTTTCTATTAGGTAAATGTAGATAATAAAAATTTGTACGCTAAAAAAATTCGATTTGCCGAAACCCGGGATTGAACCGGGGACCTTTAGATCTTCAGTCTAACGCTCTCCCAACTGAGCTATTTCGGCACATGTTGAGGGTCTCTCAAATAAGCTACTAGATTATAGTGGTTAAGACATTTCTTATCAAAGTGGTTCGAGTCCACGCTAAATGTTTTTAACACTTTATTCAACACATTTGTGTTTTCTTTTTCTTGTGGCATAGTTGTTCGTTGTTAGCTTAATTTAAATTTCTTTATGTACCAAAATCCATTATATGCCAATGTCAAAATTCTAAGTAAAAATAATATATAAATTATATAATTTAACAATTCAAAAATAGTATTTGCCACAATTTTATTTAAGCAGGAAAACACGGATGTGCAAGCTTTAGTTTAACAAATACAAAAAGTTAATGGGAATGCCGAAACCCGGGATTGAACCGGGGACCTTTAGATCTTCAGTCTAACGCTCTCCCAACTGAGCTATTTCGGCACATAGCTTTCATGTGTCGAATACACTCTTTAAGAACACAGACAAAGTAGAACTAAATGTTTTTTTTCAAATTAATATTTTATAAAAAGCAACAAAATAATATATTTGTTTGTATATATGTAAGTCAGAAACCGTCTTATCAGACCACCATGCGTGTCCGGTCGAAATTCGGTTTTTTATAGTAAACATAAAGTGAGACAACAAGAATTAACAGCAAGTTTAATAAGCTAGAAATATATTTCACCTCATTTGCATGCCGCTGGGCGGCAGCAAATTGTGAGTCTACTTTCTTTTTACACAGATAACAACATTCAACAACTACAGCGGCTCTTACTACTTTCGTGTTCCTACTGTTTATATACAATTTGTAGACAAAAAAGTAATTGCCGAAACCCGGGATTGAACCGGGGACCTTTAGATCTTCAGTCTAACGCTCTCCCAACTGAGCTATTTCGGCTGCTGGGTTCCAAGGCTCTTAAATTGAATTTTGATACTAGACGCTTTAGAACTTAGTGCATTTCCTTGTGGCACTTATGATTTATTTTATTTGTTTAATGTAAACATTTATGTAAATTTGCAAATTCTCACAAAGATATTTAAAAATGATTCTGAAGGCAAAGGAGCAAACCAAAAAAAATTCCCTTTTTTCACCAAATTTGCACTCAGGCGAAATGGAACTTCCAAAAAGTGAATATTTTTCCATCGGTTTTCACCAATTTCTTGGTGAATTTCCTGGATCTTAGAAAGTGGCACGTTTAATTTGTTTTATTTGTTAAGATGCATAAAATGATTGTTGGAGCCAAGAATTGAGTTTTATATCATTAAATTATGTACTAAATGAATTTTTGATGGTTTTTGATTTCGCTTTATTTTCATTGGATTTCATGTTCTTGCGACATCACAATATATGTACATATATGTATGTGTGTACCCGAAATATAATTAAATGAAAAATATAGACAGAACGTTTATCTAAATATATTGCAAATCACTTCAGATGCCTTTGATTACATGCATTTTAAGGATTGTTTACAACTTTTTTTAGTCCTTTAATTAAGCAGCACTTCTGCTGCAGTTCTTATTGATGCTGTAGAGAGCAATTGTCGTAAAATGTTTTTGGTTTTATCACGCTAGAGCTCTCTAAAGCCAAAAAGTTAACGTTTGTTAATAATGTATTTGTTAGGGCTATGATCGGGATTTTCTTTATATGTTTTAGCAATCTCATAAAATCAATACAGGTTCTAGGGGGTTTCTTATATAGCTACTAATTGTTACAATTAAATTCAAAATTCCGTTAAAATTTTTACTAATATCACTTTCTAGAAATTTGTCCAATTCTTATCGTGTATCAATTGTAACATGCGTTTATGTAATTTGTTCCTCAAATGGTTTTACTTAATTAGTTTTGGTATAAATTAAATATCCACTTTAGGGGCCAGGCCGAGCCAGCTACAAAATAAAATATTTAATCAAATGTAATTTAAATAATTTTCATTTATTTAAAAATTTAAAAAATAACTAGTTATAATAATTGAGTAATTTTTCAAGTGTTTGCTTTTTCATTTTTTTTTTTTTGGTGTTGGGGATGGGGAAGTGATGGGTACATACATATATATGTATATGTATGTGGGTCAATTGAAATTACATTTCTTAAGAATATTTATGAGTGGGGGTTTAGGGTGTTTCAATCTGAATGTTTCTCGTGTAAATGCGTGAAAATAATAGTGTGTGTATTTAAGGAAATTTTTAACAATAATAAAAAACCTAGCATTGAGTTCGATTTCTTTATAAATGTACAAAATATAATTAGTAAACATAAAAATGCATTTATAACTAAACAAAAGCACTAAATTGCTGGTCCAATGCCTACAATTATATAATTTGTTGTTGTGGTTGTTGGTTGTTATTACGCCTAATTATCAACTATGATATATAATGTATAATGTATATGTATTTATGTATATGGGTTCAATAATTAAAACTACAATTTATAACATGACGTAAACAAACAAAGGCCAGGGTAGACAGCAAAATACAAATATAAAGATATACGTGAGTGTATATGCACTTGGTAACTATGTTTAAGAACTATTGCCCTTCAGGCAACACATAAATATGTTGTAATAAGTCTGTCATTTCATTTTTTTAACTGCAAAAGGCGCAATCAAACACTAAACATCATATTGTGGAGCATTTTTCAACAGACAAATTCCAATGCAGCTTTGCAGGGGGCCCCCAGGCCAGTATAATTTTGATTTCAAATCGCTTTCATATATTTGTATCTGATATAATGCATATATGGGAGTGTAAGAATGCGGGTGTGCGTGCGGCTGTGTGTGCGTACGTTGTAACTATTCCACAGCGAATCCACAGGTTTCCTCAACGGCTTGCGTGAGCTTGTCACAAAGCAGCTGATAGTTCTCGTAGGGCGGCAAATCGATGCGATTAAAACAGGTGTGAGCCTTGGGCAGATTTTGTGTGGGCACATCTGCGGTAAGGTGTATGGTAAAAAGACGTGGCCCAACCGCGCCCGTCGAGCCTTGCAGCGCACGAAATCCTTGCAGCGGCACTCGCGAAGAACCCGTCACAAATTGCAGCAACCGCGCTCGCATCTCAGAGCTGTACGACTCAACCACCTGAATCGAAACAACAAGATTGAAATTACATATGTACAAAATAAGAAGAGAAGCAAAACTCAACGCACCTGCCAGAACCACAGAACCTGAGGCGTTTCATTGGTGCAATGTTTCATTCTCGTATTATTGCGCCAGTCATTGACATCGATGCTGGAAATGCCGCCAATAACCAATTCCAGTTCGCGCTCATCAAATGGGCGTAGCAAGTGGCTGGGTACGAGCTCACAGAAGCCTGTCAGTATATAAGTTGCAGAAAAGTGAGCAACATGTTCAATGCAGGATGAGCAGCAGTGCATTGTGTGATACTCACCCTTTTGCAGCGCCAAAAATTGCTGTTCAATGCCGCGCATAAAGCGATAGTTGACATAAAGCTTGACATACTCGCGTTTGTTCTCCTCGGTGACAGCTATTGATGCGCCGCCGGGCTTTAGCTCATGCACCACCAGAGCTCCAAAGCTATTGTTCTCCACGCTAAATGTGGACTCAATAATCCCGCTGATGTTGCTCTCTCTGCAGGATAAACATTAGCATAAAAGATTTAATGACTGCAAGCCAAATGACGTAAATAAAGTTAACTTACAGCATCCAGGTCAGGCTGCGATGCAGCTCGGGATCCACGCCTTCAATATCGCCCAGTGTGATGGGCTTGTTCAACAGTTGCTTGTAGAAGGGAGTCGTGAATCCGCCGTCGAGACAGTGGCCATGGAAAACGGCAATGCCCAGAGTACGGCCCACGAAATGGAAGTAGGACAGGTGATCAGGATTGACGCTCGAATCAGGATTTATTTGCAGCGTGTAATGATCGTCGCGGCTGTACTGGAATAGGCCGTACTGTGGATTGAGCATCTCGCGGGATAGCAGATGCAGCCATTCGCGTGCCACACCACCATAATCCAAACCCTCCTCACCCTTGAACTTGACCATGAGCCGCTTGCGCATGTCCTTGGCGCGCATCTTCATAATCAGTCTGTAGCTCTCCTCGAATATCTCGCTGCGCGAAACTTCTAGCCGACAGTGGCCCGACTGCGGCTGTAACGCCTGCAGTTCCGAACGCAGTGCCCGCATTTTGCCCACCAAATCACGTCGATACTTCGGCAGCAGGTCGGCGCCCTCAAGCAGCCCTTGCGGCAGATCCGGCACCACAATATGCGGGGCAGCCCGGCGATGCGGCGTTGTCGCGTTGCCAGCAGCGTTGGGGGTCGCAGGTGGCGGTGCTGCAGAGGCTGGCGCCGCTGCTGGTGCTGCTGGGACTGCTGCTGTATTTGGTGTCGCTGGAGGCGCGTTTCCACTGCCATTGCATATCCTCTGTAGTATGCTTCCGCTTAGCCGCGGATCCGTGAACTGTGTGGTGCGGTTATTATGATCTACGAAGTAAACACGGCCTGAGGCCGTTTTGCGCTGTTCCCAGCCGCTTGGCAGCGCCCCAATCTCGTCCAGCGTCAAATGCTGCGTATCAAGGTCGCGTGGTATGCGCGGATCATGCCATGTGGAAACGCCCGTGAGTATGTGATAAAAATATACTTGGCCCTGCTGTGTGGTGCGCATCTCATAGCCCGGTGGCAGATCCAAAAACGGGCGCGCCGCCTGATTTGCCGCTGCTATCGCTGCTGACCCGTAACGCACCCCACCACTCATGGCCGCGCCACTTGCACCTCCTGCCGCATTCCGTGTGCCACGAGACGAGCGCCGACGCGCCGCTGCCTCCTCTACAGCCTGACGTGAGCTGCGCCGTTGGGAACGTTGCGCAGGCGTCACCGTTGCGGGCGTGCGTTCCGATCGGCCCGCTGGCTGACCATTCGTATTGGGACTGTGCACATTGCCGTTCCCGTTGCTGTTGCTGTTGGCCGTTGGCGTGGCGGGCGTTGAAGGTGTTGTCGTTGTCGTTGTCGCAGCCGTAGGACTCTGCCTTGGCGGCGTTGTTGCAGGTGTCGTCGAGCCATCCTCTGCTGACCAGCCATTGTTGGCATGCTGAGCCTGCGCCGATTGGACGCTCTGTACATTCCCGTTCACATAGTTCTGCTGGCCGGTGGGCGAGGTTGGCGTCGCGTCGCCGGGCGTATGCCCATTCATCGCTGTAGGTGTTTGGTGCTTTGGCGTTTTCACATGATTGTCGTTGTTGCTGCTGTGCAGGCGACCAGTCGCCGTCGTTGTTGTCGTGTTGCTGCCACTGCCACTGCTGTTGTTACTGCTGCTGCTGTTGTTGGGCGTTGACGGTTCTAGCGCTGCATTTCCTGCTCGGCTGGACGTTGACTTTTTGCCCGGCGTGCTGGCTGTCGTCGCTCCCGTTGTTCCCGAACTGGGACTGGTGTTCTCCTTGCCACCTGCCACGCCCACACCTGCGCTGGAGAGTATTTCCGTTGAATGGCGCCGCTCGTCTGGGGCCTCACGCGCCACATGTCGATTGCTATGACCGTTAAGCAGATTCGTGCAAGTTGTGGAACGTGTGGGTCCTGCCGGAGGCTGTCTGTCAACATTGTTGCCATTGTGCTGGCGCTGCTGCGGCGACTTTGTCCCCGCCGGCGTCGCCGCGACTCTGGGTCTGTCCCATTGCGTCGATTTGGTTGCATGATTTACATAGTATATGCGCCCGTTGTCCGTGCGCCGCTCCTCCCAGCCCTCGGGCAGACTGTCCACTAAGGAGTCTTCCTCTGAGGGGCCACGCACATCGCCACTGGGTCCCACAATGGCCAGCGGGTTGCCGCTACAGGGTCCATCCTTGGGCAGCAGCGAGATAATAATCTGACCGCGTACCAGCTCATCGTCATCTGGCGAGAGTTTGCCAAGATCCAGGCGTTGAACTGGACAAGCAAAATGAATGTGATATGTTAGTAAAGTTCCGATTGAAATGTAATTCCATTTACTTACATCCTGTGCCCTTCAAGCTTTGTATGGTCACAGCGGGAATGCGCACGCAGCCAAGGAAGCCGCTGCCTTTGTGTATCTTTCGCTGGTTCCAAACGGTTATTGTTATTGAATCACCACGTCCCAAAAAAAGATCGTAGTGTGCATTCCATTTGGGATCCAGTGAGGATTTGCTTATCTCTGTCGAATAGACTTGACCAGTGCCATCCACCTGAACTTTTGCAAACGGATCGGGCAAGCCTGAAAAATGTAAATTATAATAATTGGGTTAATAATTTAATTCAGATAATTACCTATTTTTATAAATATGGATTGCATGCTCAAATTAAACTACCTATAAAACTGCAAGACTGAAAAGCTGGAAGTTAGTTTCAGTTTCATTCCAACTTGTGTAACAAAAAGTATACTTTTGATCCAAAATTAGCATCATCTAAAAACGCTGCCTTAGAACTATCAAAATGTTCCGAATGCTGTTGCTGTTCTGGTTGCTAATGCACTTAATGCTACCCGTCTGCTCTTATCTGCCCCACCCACGCCCTGGATTTCCTGATCGCTTCGATATTGATGCGAGGCATCTGCTCACAGGCTGCATGGATCAACATCAACGGGAAATTGCAACAACAACATCACCAACGACAACAACAAGTGATACAATAGCAACAAACAGCTTCGTCTAGGTTATCACAACGGCCAGCTAATCATTAAGAAAAGCAAATTCCCCTCGATGACAGCGATTGTGAGTCCCCTCTCTCGTTAGATTACTTCGTCTTCCGGCGGAGGGTAATCACAGAGGCTGACCCATATATAAACGGCACCATTGACGCAGCCAACAATCACAGCAGTAATGGCTTCCATTCGCTTCAGCACCTTTATTGCTTGGCTTTTCCTGGCGCTGATGGCACTGTGCGCTGTCTCGGCGATAGCTGCGCCTTTTGACGAGCGCCGCGGGAATCGACGATCCCGGCCAGTCCAGTACCCTAACTTCCCCGGCACGCCGCCTTTCAATCCACATGGCTAAGCGACACAGACAAGTCATCCACCATTCAATTAGTCTCGTTTTTTTATTAAAATAACGCATAGTTGACCAAAGACGGCAACAAGTTTCAATTAAATCTCAACGATGCTCAAATAATTGTTTTTACTACTGACCCAAAACACGACGGGGCCAAGTGCGATGGGACCAATCTCATGCCTGTGTGTACTTTGGCATAAATTCTGACCGCAGTCGGATCTCACTGATAAGATTGCATAGCCATACTGAAACTCGAAATATGTATTAAGCGCTTAGTAAATTTTTTTAGCATGGACAGGCCTCTATGAATGTACTCTATACTATATTGGCTATGAAGGCCATTGAAATTATACGATACACGCAAGTTTTCTGTCCTGCTAAGCGACATGCACATTGCATCTGTATATGTAGCCGTATCTGTACTTACACACATGCCTGTGCCTGCATCTGTGTTTGTATCTTCACCTGTACCTGCATACGTATCTGCATCTGTGTGTTGGTAATTTGAACTGTGGACGACAACGGCAGCAGCTGTTGATTGATTTTATGCTCCAAAGAACACAAACGCAAAACGGCAAAAAGTAAAAGGAAATAGCGGCAAGAAAGACGCATGTAGTCGACTAGCAAATGCCCTGAAAAAAGTACTTGGCCGTAGATATATTTACAACCAGGATTGAAACTCAGCAAAAGGGTTTGTCAGTTGGGTTCACGAACCTGGTTTTCGACATGCATGAACCTAGTTTGGTTTGAGCCTAGGTTTGAACTTGTAAATTAAATTTGATAAATCTACATATTCATATTTAAGGTTCGGTTTATGGTTAACAATTGGAATTGCGGGCTTAATCTGGCTCGGCTCAAAATTTTCAGCGTTGATTTATGCGCTTACTTGAATGTTAAAAAAGAGATGACATAATACTCCGAACCCGCAATGAATTGACTAATTCGTAATATATCAAACAAGCCCTGCGTCCTAACAAGCACATATTCATTCAATTAGGCTTAGTATCAAAATTAAAGGGATACCCTATACCCTTATATGCTTATTTGGGCTCATTTCATGGACGAAGTGCACAATATTGCAGCGCCATCCGAAGACCATCGACTGATTAGCTACGAGCCGACTGGCACTGCCTGTCGAACACATGTCGTTCAACCCCATTTAGCTTTACGCTACATGGCACAATTTCGGCGCTCGGTCGGCGGCGTACGTCGGAATACTTAGTAGGAAATTAACGATTGGCTGCACTTTCACTTCGCGCAAGTCGCAGCAACTGCTGGCGACGCCAGGCGAAGTCGGTGTTGCATGAAGTTTGGCGGCAAACAAAAGGTTTTGCGCCACTGTTTTTATTGCGAATAAACGTCATTAACACTTATGAGGCGGGTTTGCCGGAGGCAGCGGCGGCTGCCGCCTTGTCGCACGCCTCACGCTCTCGCATGCGCTCCTCGATGAGTGGTCGGAAATGGCGAATCAGGCCCTGTGGCGGCCAGGCAGCGCCGTCGCCCAGGGCACATATGGTGTGGCCCTCGATTTGTTTGGTTATCTCCCAGAGCATGTCGATCTCGCTGGGCTGCGCCTGGCCGGTAACAAAGCGCTGCATGATGAGGTGCACCCAGTGCAAGCCCTCGCGACAGGGCGTGCACTGGCCGCAGCTTTCATGTTTGTAGAAGGCGCACAGACGTGCAATGGCCTTAATAATGTCCGTCTTCTTGCTCATCACAATGATGGCGCCGGTGCCCATGGAGGAGCGAACGGCCATCAGACCGTCGTAGTCGTGTATAGCCTTCGATGCGTCCTCCTTGGGAATACAGGGTGTAGAGGAGCCGCCGGGTATAATGGCGAGCAAATCATCCCAGCCGCCCTCTACACCGCCCGCATGTCGTTCTATGAGCTCGCGTGTGGGCATCGACATTTCTTCTTCTACGGTACAGGGTCGTTCCACGTGTCCCGAGATGTTAAACAGTTTGGTGCCTGAGTTGCGAGTGCGACCGAAGCTGGCAAACCATTTGCCGCCGCGCCTGCAAATCGTGGGTGTAACAGCCACCGTCTCCACGTTGGTAACTGTCGATGGGCAACCAAAGACACCAATGTCAGCCGGAAAGGGCGGCTTGCTGCGAGGCTTGCCAGCCTTGCCCTCCAGGGACTCGATGAGCGAGGTCTCCTCACCGCACACATAGGCGCCAGCGCCGCGCTGCACGTACAGGTCGTAATCAAAACCTGATCCACAGGCGTTCTTGCCCAGAAAACCAGCCTTGTAGGCCTCAATAATGGCGTACTGTAGATTGCAAGTCTCATTGAAGAACTCGCCGCGCACATAGATATACCCTGTATTGGCACCCATGGCGCATCCGGCCACAAGACATCCCTCCACCAGCTTATGCGGATCATGACGGAGTATTTCTCGATCCTTGCAAGTGCCCGGCTCGCCCTCATCCCCATTAACGACCAGAAACTTGGGTCGTCCGTCGGGTGGCTTGTTCATGAAGGAATACTTGAGACCGGTGGGAAAACCTGCCCCTCCCCGTCCACGCAAGCCGGACGTTTTAAGCTCATTGATGATCCAGGGTGAACCCTTCTCGATTATTTCTTTAGTCTTGTACCAGTCGCCCCGTTTCATGGCCGCCTTTAGGCGCCAGTCGTGACGACCGTAGAGATTTGTGAAAATTCGGTCCGCATCTGCCAGTGGGCCAAAAGTGGTTTTGGTTTGGGGTGGCGGTGTGCCCGGCGGAGGACCCTTAGGACCCCCCTTAGGTGGAGGCGGTGGACCTGGCGGCTTAGCTTGTGCGGTACCTGGTGGCGTTTTAGCAACAGGCGGAGGCTTATTTCCACTTGACCCAGCTGGTTGTCCAGGTGGTTTTGATTTTCCAGAATCGAAAGCCAAGTCACCAAAAGGCTTCTTCATTTCGTTAACTCCTGAGACTGGCACGGGCCTCTTATCGTATGAGCTAGTTATGTCTGAACTGGAAGTAGTCTGTCCGAATGTTGAGAAGCATTTTTTAGATACTGGTGGGGGTCCAGGTGCAGATCCGGAGACTGGTGAGAGCTTGTCTCCTTCTGGCTTTTTCTTGTCGGCCATGGTTTTACTGCACTTCTTATCTTCCGCGTTCTTTGATTGATTTGAGGTGGTCAACTGTTTGGTTTTAGCAGCTTCTTTCTTGGCTTCTTCCAGCACTTTGGCTACTTCGCTATCTTCGGTTTCAGCTAATCGATCATTTAGAGGAAATTTCGTTGGGTCTTGCTGGCCAGTTAGTGGAAAGCTCGTTAGCTCCTTTAATTTTACTATTTTTTCCTTCTTTTGTGTGACTGTTTGGCTGAGTATCCGAAGGGCCTCACCTTTTTTTTTTATCAACGCATGCATCTCCTTTCTTGTATTTTCAACATGTTCTGGAAGTGACAATGAGTCCACGGTAGGCAGTTTTTCCGAACAGTATTTTGAATTTAAGCCATTCTTCTGCCCAGATGACTCATCTGGCTGCTTCTGAAGCGGTTCATTTGGTTTGCGTTTTTTCTTCTTTTCCGTATCAGAAGAAGTATTCTTGTTGGCATCGTCCTTACAACTGTCGTCGCCCTTGGTGGACATTGTCATGATTTGCGTCATCTTTGCGGGAAGCATAATCACGGGTATATTGCCCAATGTTGCACCTTTACGATGATCAGCCGGGTAACCGAACAATGCCGAAGCTAGGATCACGGCTCCAGCATCGTTGACCTTTTTGCGTATTGCTACCAGCTCCAGTTCTGGTTGCGGATCCTTCAATTTATCGTGCCCACAGATGTCCTTGCCAGACGCGGTTTTGGCATTCGTCAGCGTAAGTCGCAAATATGGTAATGCAAAAGGTTTCTTGCAACCAGCCAGAAATTGCTTACGCAACAGCAATGCAATCATTGTCGTTCTATTTCTTCTTTGTGACCACGTTTCAGTTCGAGTCGTTTTATTTTTATTACACTTTTTACTTGTGATAACAAAAGCAAGAGTCTACTAAATAAAATATATACATATATGAACAGATGAATGCTTTACAGCTTATGACTTCTAACTTCATTTGTTCTAATTTGATAGATTAAAGTGATTGAATGTTTGCTCAAGGCATTATAACAGCAACTTGTCAAAAGTGTTTTGCGTTGTGTCTTAAAAACGGAAGAGATACTTAGTCATAACATATGTTGCCCCCATAAATCCCTTGCCTATAATATCTATTAATATCTGTCCGCAAATTGAGTCAAACGCCCGCAGATAGTGCCAAGTCCTACGTAAGACCCTAAAACACACATTTTTACCCAGTTTGTGAGTGCGGTTTTTCCCAACGCCCACAGTGTTTTTTGTGTCCGTATATTGCACAAATCTAATCAGTCCAACGATAAACAAAAGCGGCCAACTTTATTTTTTTGCGCTCACACCTATTTGCATGGGCATAAAAACATTTACCGATCAAAACAAAAATGTAAGCCAAGTGCCAGACACTTGATCTGTTGGATCTGTAACAGACTGTGCTCTGATATTTCCATGAAAAGATGGCATCATGTACGCCATGCCAGAGTCGGGCATTCAGTCAGCCGGATCGCTAGTTGGCATGCCGCTGTTAATTGCACATTAGCATTAATATGCCATTTCATGTGGCATGGAAATCCAACCACACCGAAAGCAACTACTTCTTTGGAACAGCTGTCGAATTTATTGGAATGCGTCGCCTGCCAGCCTTTAACTAACTAATAAGAAATATCATTTTAAAAATAACAACAAATGGCATTAGGCAATGCGGACAACGGCGACGGTTGACCGCCCCCTGCGTGATTTAAGTGCAACGATGTGTAAAAAATGAATCACAGAGATATACAGAAAGAAGAAGAAAAAATAAACTACAAAATAATAAATAGCACACACACTCACGCACACACATACAAATGGGGTTATGCGTGCACGAGCGAGAGAGTGAGGCACAATGAAAGTAAATTAGTAATAATTACTTTAGTTATGTATAAACAAATAATTATGGCAAAAGAAATATATGTGCATATATCTTAAGCATGGCAGCCGTAATTTGTGCGCACGGGCATAGATTCAGGCAAACGCTGGCCCCCCTCCCTCCCTGTACCTGTCCGTCCCGTAATTTCTATAAAAATGAAAGTAGACAACAAAAGGAAATGCTAAATTTAGCAACAAATACGCGTCACGTAGCACGTTACCCGGCATGGCAATACAACGAAACAGTTGTGGCAACAATTAAATAAAAATTATAATGTTTGTTTTGATTCGTGAAAAATTAGCAATCAATTTTGCATACATATTAATTTCTCTAACAAATTCCTAACATTTTCTATTCAATTTGGAAGTTTGCGAAAAAAGGGAATACTTACGAAACAGATCCTTGCGCGCCAAATTTCTTGCACACAACACTGTAAACGAGAAGCGTAATTAATAAACAATATCAATAAATTAATTTGGTAATTGGCTTTACTTACGCGTTATTCGTATCTTGTGTGTACCATTGCGACGTGGGTAATCCAGTTTATTCATAATTTCAGACTTTTAATTATTGATTAATTGAATTTACATAAGTATATAAAAATATAGTTGTTATTTCTTTATACAACAATTGGTCTGTCGGACAAGTGTGTTGATCATTTTGGGCCTTAAATGTTGCTGTTGTTGTTGTTGTTGCTGGCAGCATTAACAAATTGAAGCGAAGTAGAAGGAGGAGGTAGAAAATTAGCAAATAATTATCTCAATTTTTGTTGTTGCTGTTGTAATTGTTGTTGTTGCCGCAGCAGCTGCTGCCGCTCTTGTTGTAGCCTTGAGTTTTGCTGCTGCTGCTGCTGTTGTTGTTGTTGTTGTTGTTGCAGTTGCAGTTGCAGTTGTGTGTCATTGTTTGCACAGAAAAATATGTATAAGTCATGTGTTGTTGTTTGTTGGCGCTGCGAATGCAAACTGCAATAGAAGAGCGACAAAACTGATTATTTATGAGTTTCGTAATTGAATTTATACGAATTGTTTTATTAACGCACACATTTTGATAACTAAAACGTTCGTTCGTTCGTTAAGATAAGCACTTGCATTTGTGTGGGTGGTTATCTGAGCTCTAAAACTGAATGAAGTGGCCATGTATTAGTATTTGGAGTGTGTGTGTCATCGTAGCGAGCTGGGCGTGCAAACTCTGCCGGCGAACAGAACACAAGACACCACAAAAAAAAAAAACGGCAAACGGGAAAAAATCGGCTTTAGCAGGTAGCTTACAACTCACCCTAAACTGTTTTGCCTCTGTTGTTGTTGTTACTGGTTTGTTGATGCTGCTCTGCTGCCTTAAAACCATTTCACACGCACATGTTACACACAAACACACTGACACACACACACACACACGGGGACACGGTGCACAGTCGTTGCAGGCAGCGTGCAGACAATTTACGAGAACTGGGTTTTATTATTTCATAAATTGTATTAAATAATGCACGTACTACAAATGTTGCTATGTATATACAATATGCATTTGTATATATTTCAACAGTCGCTTAATTAACTTTAATTTTTTTTCATGCGTTTGTATGCGTGCATACTATTTTGCTAGCATCTGTGTGTGTCTGCCACAGAATTTGCAATATTGTAAACGCCCTGCCCGCCACACACTTGTTAGTTATTATAAAATTTGTATACATGCACATATTTTATATATGTATATATAATATACATGTAGCTGTTAACCGCGCACTACGTATTTAAAAGCAACAAAAATATTCTTTCGTTTTTTTACGCACTGCTCTCGTTTTTTTATACTTACAGAGAGACGGCGAGAGAGCAAATGATATATGAACAACGACGACTGAATGCGGATGAAGCACTTTAGCTGCATGCACCGTTGGATTTTGCAAATTTTTTTTTGTAATTTGTTACTAAAACTACATTATTTGGCGAGAATTTAGCTGCTCGGCCCACGCTTTAATTGTTGATAACTATATAATTTTAATATCGCGCAGAAATCAGTTCTTGCCCAACGAGAAACGCCATTTTATGGTTCGTCCCAACACTAAGTGTTGTAAAGCGCATTTTCCACACTGCTTACTTAATTAACTTACGCTATACAGCACTACAATTATTTGGCGGTGTTTGGGATTTACTGTTTTCGCTACTTTGCCAGTTTTTTTCATTTTTGCTGAAAACAATGTCAATAACCCTTGATTTCGATGCAAAGCAATTGGCCAATAAAAGACCATTGCAGCTGCACTCCTTACCAGCCAAAATCGATGGCGACGGCGAATGTGCAAATGTGGATACCTATTTTAACAATTACACGCGCGAAGCTTCAGAATACGGCTCTGGCGTGCTGATAAATGCGCTCAGGGGTTATCCTCTTTTGGGAAAGCGTGAGCCAGTGCCCGACGGATATAGAGGCGTTGTTTTACAAGAAACGGACCCAAATCAGGAACAACGCCAACTTCGTCTCACCGGCACCTTTCAGGATTTTACATACTGGAATTATGACAAAGTGCCGTCAAAAGGCGACGGATACCAGCAGGCACTAATAATGCTGGAAGTGGCCGACGCAGTAAGTATTAAACATATTACAAGAAGCAAGTTGTACTACCTTAAACATTTTCTAGCTAGCTAAGCCCGTGAGCGAAGAGGAGCTTGAAGATGAGATGAAACGATTCCAGCAAGCCAAGAAAGAAAACGCTTTGTAGTTGGTGCGCTTACAGCGTTTAGTATATAGTATTCCAAAAGCTAATCAGATATTTTCACAATTCATACACTTTAGACTTACAATTTGTATAAAAGATTCAAATATAAATACGTATGTTTATGGATGTTATGGTTATGTGGAGTAGTTAATTCACTTTTTAGCAGCCTTATTCATCCGCATCCTCGAAGCGATCGTCATCATCGTCAAGGCTAAGATTCTGCATGCCACCAACTTCGCCGCCGTTTCGACCAAGCGTAAGCGCATCGTCCACCATCTCCTGGTCATCAAAGGCCATGCCAACACCGCCAGCATCCTCCATTGGATCGCTATCTTCCGAGTTGCTGTCTGCCGAATCTGGGTGCAATGCCTGGCAAGTAGTCATCGCATTGTACATGGTATCCACAGTGTGTATATCATCGGGCAATAGCCAGCACTCGGTTACTTCATCCAGTTGCTGATCGACGGCATCCTCAAAGTTGTCATCGTCTTCGTCGTCTTGGTCATGTTCATCACTGCCGTTGCCCTCGTCATCTTCGTTATTGGCAACAGCATTTCGATGAGGCTCATCCCCAGCGCCATTCTGGCCGTTGACTTCGGGACTTCGGCCCATATAAACGCCTTCCCACTCCACTTTTCGGTCGAGCATAAAATAAATACATTTTCTAGGATTCGACGAAATGCCATGCAGGCTAACTTGTTTCCATTCGATCGAGATCCCTTCAGCAAGATCTGCCGGCTGCCAAGACAGCGTGCTTTATTAAAAACAAAATTAACATAAAAAAAAAAAACAATTACTAAACATTCGAGCATTGTCGAAAAAGTATGCACTCACTTTTGTGAAATATATATTGTACCCTGTCCTACTACCTTATCTCCAAGCTTAAGCTTAATATTATTGGCGGTATATAAGAGACCGTGCTCAGGCGGGCTGATAGGCATTATTAATACCATTTTAATAGAAAATTGTTCTAAAAACACACGACAATAAACAGACTTGCAGACCGTCTGGCAGCGGTAAACTCAGTTAGTGTTGGTTAACGCAAAACATTGCAAAATATTTTTTAGCATAATTGCAATAAATTCAATATTATTGTAATAATTTCTACAAACACAAAATAAGATACTTAATAAAAAAACTCAAAACATGAATATTTAATATATATAAAAAATAATTACAATGAATATTTTTCTGACGTTTGCTTACACTGTGTTCATTTTTTAATAGAGCGTAGCAACTCTGTAATTTCAATTCACAGCGGTTGGTTGAGAGCGTCTTGCACTTTTTTCGGAATATATTTTACGCTGCTTAATAGCTATCATGGGTCGTGCAGTTTATGTCAAATTGTGTATTCTGTAAAATACTTTGAAGTGAAAAAAGAAAAATTAATATACATGGCTTATGTTTTGTACTGCAAGAACCTGTAGCTATTCGTCGCTCTGTTTCTGATCTGCTTTGTTGTTGTCATTGTTGGTGTTCCAGCTCTAATTTCTCCCAGCTGCAGCTGCTAGCATACAAACACATTTGGCTGGAAGAGAACGCCTCACAGCCAACAATGGACATGGAATATGTGAATATTAATGAATTTAACGACCTCGAGCTGGCGACGCGCATGCGCACCTGCAACTATGAAAAATACAAATCTCTCGTGCGCATGCACCTCTCGTTTGAGCTCGAGTTGAATACCGATGAGTAAGTGAATGAGTGTATTTGTTGTATGTGTTAGTGACTGTGCGTTAACTGCGTCGCTTGTAGATTCGATTTACCCTGTCACGAAATTGTATACGAGGACAAAGGCAAGCTCAAGAAGTGGAACAGGCTGTCCAAGAAGCACAGATTGGGTCATGTTGGCAACGCTGCGAGTGTTGCCACCGTGTCCAGTTGTGCTGCTGGCAGCGGCAACAAGTCCGTGGGGAACAGTCCCACAGAGTGCTTGCAGCAACAAATTGATGCAGGCTTTCAAATGCACCTACTGGAGCTAAAGGAATTTTTAATGCTAGAAAAGAGTACGTTTATAAACACATCTATGTATTTTGACATGACCAATAACATTTATTCCCCAGATATTACTCAGGAGGGACTCTTTCGAAAAACTGGCGCTGTTTCACGTCAAAACGAACTGCGCCTACACATACAGCAGGACAAACCGTTGGAGCTAGAGCAGACTGGGTTCTCGGCGCACGATTGTGCAACCGTTTTCAAGAGCTTTCTGGCCGAGCTGCCTGAACCATTGCTGACCGACGCGCATTATCCGGCGCATCTGCAGATTGCACCGCTTTGCCAAGCGCTTACCGAGAGGACGCAGGCCACATTAGAGCGGCAGCAGCATCTTCTTAACTCGGTGCAGTTGCTGTTACTGTTGTTGCCGGAGGAGCATCGGGAGCTGCTGCAGCATATCATGGAAATGTTGCACGCCGTTGCCCTGCATGAGAGCAGCAACAAGATGTCAGCGGAGAATTTGGCTACATTATTTACACCGCATCTAATATGTCCACGCAATCTGCCGCCAGAGGTACTGCACTATACTGCGAAGCGCATGTCCAGCATAATTGCATATATGATTTTGCGAAGCTTGGAGATTTTCGCCGTGCCCGCCAAGCTGGCGACCGATATTCGGGCGTACTTTCTTGAACGCAAACGCAAGAAAACCATGTCGCCGGAGCAAACGCTTGACGAGTCGATATCGGACATCTCAACGGTCAACACGGTGTACACTTTTGTAGATCGTGCTGCCACTGCAGCGGCCACCAATACCAACAACACAGATACGGAATTGGCGCAATTGTATGCCCACATTCAAAGTCTGCCTGAGTCCTCAAAAAAACGGCGACTGATCAAACAGTTTAACAAACAAAATGGACAGGGTATTGCCGAGACAGCTATTTGTTTATTTGCCTATTGAGAGTAAACCCAAACCTTTCTCCTTTCAGGCACTCCATTGCAGTTAGTCGTTATGAATCGATTAAAGAACAACGAGGCGGCTCGTAGTGCAAAATCCCTTGGTGACTCTATCAAAAAACATATATTTCATAAGAGTCTTATGTCGCGTACTCCCAAACGGGCGCCTGCTCTTCAAGCCATGACCGGATCAGAGGTTGGTGTCGGCCGGGCTTATCTGTGTTATATGTACCTTTGCAGATATTATTCACGTTTGATATATTTCTACATTTTCGTATCCGCATATCCATCCATTTGTTTATTTCTGACAAGTGTAAGGTTTAAATTTTGTAGAACCTTTCAATTGAAATCATATATATCTTGTTAATATATCTGCAATGGTATTAAACACTTTTTTATAAGCGTTTTGTACACTAACCGCATGTTTTTTGTGTCCTCGCTTAGACGCCTAATCTATCGCATGCCAAAGCTCCAAAATTGCGTGTGCTCTTCCAAAGCCCCACGCCAGCCATGCCACTGCCCTCATCAAGAGTCACGAAATCATCCGGCATTAACCCACTGCACACACTTCACAAGTCCATCTCATCCACATCTCTAAAGATAGAATCATCTTCGGATAGTAGCAGTTGCGGCGCAAATAGCCACTCAGCTCCCGTGAGCCGGCAGCAATCGCACGAGCTGAACGCTCGGCCAGCTACTGTGCCAGAGCTAGACGATATTGACGCGTGCTGTGTAACGCCGGTAAAGGTCATTTCCGCTGTGGCTCAGCAGCTGCTCAGCGTGGCTGATAAGAAGAGTGTGGCATGGGATGATCGTCGTTTGCTGGATATCGAGGAATACTCGAATCCCTGCACGCCCGTGCAGCAATCTTCGCGCTACAAGTCCGAGCCTAATTTGTGTAGTATGCGGCCACAGGTGCACGACGACGATGAAGACGCTGCGCTGACGCCGATTGTGGAAGTGTCAACAACAACGGCTAGCAATGGCATGGGCAAGTCGCTGACACGCAAGCTGATGAAGGGTGTCAGCATGGGCAATCTGCGTTTTCCCTTCAGCACACCAGAGACAACAAAACGTCTGGTGCGCAGTGTTTCGGCGACTCTAAAGCGCCGTCCCAGCGGCAGCGATGATGCCAAGCATGCTGGGTCCCACTTGCAGAGTGCGGATGCCCCGTTGTTGGAGGATGTGGATGATAGCGATCTGGAGGAAAACGAACAAATTGAAGATGATGATGACGACACCTTGTCCGAGGTAAATGGCAGTTCCAACGAATTGCCTGAAGGCATAGGCATGGCAATCGATGTAAGCTATCATCAGCAGTTGCTGCAGAGCAGTGTTTATCGCAACCTGGATTTGATAACAAGCACGCCAGCGTTACGAATGGCCCGCCGCTCCATGTCGCCCATAACCAAGTCCACACAACGCATGCCCAAAGCCATGCAGGTGAGTCTCGCATGAATAGTTTGCCTAGCATGCTTCCTTATTAGCATGATAATGATAAGCCTTCTGGAAATACGGCTAATGCTTGAACTTTTGCAGGAATCCATTATGACGCCACGGTCCCGCAAGCCTGTGATGCTGCTCAATGCCTTGGGCAATGGCGACAAGCAGCAGAATCAGAGCTTTCTCGAGCAACAGGATGAGGTCCTGACGAGTAAACAGCTGGAGCCACCGGTGCTGCATAGCGAAGATGCGACTTCCCTTGGAGGCTACGCAGACATACTTAGACGTCAACAGAGTTTTGCCAACGTTACCCTATTAACGCAACGGCAACGCACGAGCAGCAGCAGCAATAGCAATAGTACTGAGCTGGAACTGGAGCCTTCAATAATGGGGAAACCCCATAATGCCCTCTCAAGCGATTTTAAGTAAGTTTTGCTATTTGTAACATAGTCACCTGGATAATAATCTTCCGTGCTAATCCTTAGGGAGTATTTGCTTACGCGCAGTGTGTTGACAGCAAGTCCAGCGGATTTGTCATTTGCCAGCCGATCGGATGATTTTGGTGGTGCCAACACCACCCAGGATATTGAGGATTTCGATGAGTCGGAGCTGAGCCCCAGCTTGCTGTATTGCTTGGATGGCAATGAACCGGCAATCGCTTCGCCTCTAGGTAGCCTAAATATCGGTCGCAAACGTTCGGCAGGCTCACCCCTAAAGGCTGCGCTTGTTCAGGACGCTGTGCACAACAAGGAAAACATTTCCAGCCGTGATACGGATGAACATTTGCAAACGAAAAAACTGCTGATTACTTCTCATGGGGAGTATCCAGGCGAAACGGCTCTTTAGCATTAAGTACACCAAATAAGGTTTGCCACATTTAACGTTAAAACCGTTGCACGGTTTTAAAAAACTGTCCCATCAAACATATTGCTTCCGTGAAATTGTTTTCGAAAACAAACCAGCTGTCAGATCTGGCGGCTTTTTAAGTATAAGAAAAACGCGTTTGCTTTGTAACTGGATGCGTTTTCAAAGTACATATATTTTAAATGCATGCCTCCCTAGTAATCAACAAAAAAATATTACTTAAAAATACATTAATAAAAATATTTTATTAACCTTGCCGAAGAGTTTTACATATATAATTTGAGGCCCAATCACTGGTTTTATTATAAGACCACATTTTTTACATAGTATATAAATAAAAATAAAAATTATTTTCACTGAAAGACATTTATCAATTTTTTATAATATTCTTTTTTATAAAATTCGTTCATAAATTACTTAATAGAAGCATAAGCGTTAAAATCGGATTGATTTAAATATTGAAGTATCGATATACTTGGATGTGACTGTTAGGCAACACTGACATTTCCTTCTGAATTGGCATTATACAGCACTCAAACAAAACATCTGATTTTTGTTGACAGCCGCTCGACAACGAGAACAAAACAAAATTTTGATTAAACAAAAGTATTTACTTAAATAATTGTTGCACTACATAAACTATTGAACAACATGGGCACCTGGGTACTTGAGGTGGCCAAAATGGGCATGTACATGGCATTTCCAGTAGCGCTGTTTCACATATTCAATCAGCCCGAGTACTTTGAGGAATGGGTAACCAAAAAGAAGCGCGAGCTTTATCCGCCGGAAAGCAAGAGCCATCACGAGGAACTGCAGCGCGCCATACGTGAACACCACCAGAAGCACGATGCAGAAATGATGCGCGCAATGCAGGAGGCGGAACGCAAGAAGTAAACCCAGAACTACACCTGGTTTGCTTAAAAAATGTATTTGATATCAGCTGTTATATAAGTCAAGTGGCAGGCCGATCCTCAAGTGCGGCAAAACCCACAGAGTAATGCGTTGCTTTGTCACAATCACACGATACCGTTGCTTGTCTAAATAAATAAATAATTGTGAGGTTATTTTTCAGTGTTTACCCTCTTGTAATTTAGTGGAAACTGGAACTTCAAGTTCACTCGTTCGCCCTTATCAGCAGGACTTGCATCACGATTACATGACTCAATTGCAGCAGTGCACATCGCTGAAAAACAATCCACTTATCAATGGATCACGATATGCCCCACCACTTTCCCCGCGCGCGCGCCAACTCTGTCGCCGGCCCGCACTTGTCTGTGCCTGCTCAGAAGTGGCCGTATTATGACGATGCACGGCAGCGCACCCAACACCTTTATCCGATGACCGCCAGGTGACCGTCGAGCCATTGGCTGTACTCGATCAGCTCTAGATTAGATCCACTTTAAGCCATTAACTTCACACAGCAACTGTGTTGCAGGAGCTGCTTCTATCACATTTTCACACGGTATTTACAATAACATCGACAGTTGTAAAATTCCAATAGAACAGATTGTTTTTAAAAGCTGCCGCCGGCTACCAAAGTAATATATAGTATACGCACTGTACTGTGCATTAGATAATGCTTTAAGTTGTGTTCGGGAGCACTGAGTCAGCGCCCGATCGGCTCTGCTCGCGCCTCGGTTCCAGCTGCACTTGATTTATTATTTTCCACGGTAGGAGGGAAGGGTCATCGACGCTGGCAGCGACGCCGACGGCATTCAGTTATGCCCTTATCCAATGCATCGATTTTTCAAGCCAAGTAATGGTTGTCCAGAGGCATTCAGTTTTATTTTAGCCATTGCACCGAACAGAACAGAAACATGGCACAAGCAAAAGTACTGCCACAATATATTGCCGGGCTGTCCGCAGCGTTTGGAGCCTTCTGTATGGGCGCCAGCATGGGCTGGTCAGCGCCTGTAGAGAAAATGTTGACGGAGGAGGAAGCTTACGGGTTTCCAGTGTCCAGCGACCAATTTGGCTGGGTGTCTTCCCTGCTAACACTGGGCGCGACTGTCGTTTGCATACCCGCAGGATTCATTATTGACTGGATTGGACGCAGACCGACGATGTTGGCCCTGATACCACCTTACATGGTGGGCTGGATTCTGATGATCTTTGCGAACAATGTGATGATGCTCTATTTTGGACGTTTCATTCTGGGCGTTTGCGGTGGTGCCTTCTGTGTGACTGCGTCCATGTACACCACGGAGATCTCAACTATTTCCACACGTGGCACACTGGGAAGCTTCTTCCAGCTGAACACCGTCTCGGGATTGCTGTATGGCTACATTGTGGGCGGCTACCTTCCGCTGTTGACCATCAATATACTCTGTGCCATATTACCTCTAATCTTTGCCGCAGTGCACTTCTTTATGCCGGAATCGCCGGTTTATCTGGCCATGAAAGGTCGTCCTGAAGATGCAGCCAAGTCTCTGCTCTGGCTGCGTGGCAAGGACTGCGATGTCAGCTCCGAGCTCAAGGAAATTCTCGAGGAGACAAACAAGAATGCGGATGAGCCCAAGGTCAGCATCTTAAAGATGTTGCGACGTCCCATAACCCTCAAGGGAATTGGCATTGCGGTGATTCTGCAGGCATTGCAGCAGTGGACGGGCATTAATGCCATCATGTTTTACTCCACGTCCATTTTTGAGGATGTTGGTGCTGACCTCAGCGGTCGCATTTGCACCATTCTGATCGGAGCTACTCAAGTAATTATGACACTTGTGGCAACTTTAATAATTGACAAGGCTGGTCGACGCATTCTGCTCCTTATTTCCGCCTTCTTTATGGCCATTACGACCTGCCTGATGGGCGTGTACTTTCAAATGAAGGAAAACGACGAGGCTTCGGTGGCGTCTCTGGGATGGCTGCCCATCACCAGCATACTCGTGTTCATTGTGTTTTTCTCCATTGGCTTCGGGCCCGTGCCGTGGCTAATTATGGCCGAGTTGTTTACCGAAGACGTCAAGAGTGTCGCCGGCTCCATTGCGGGCACGAGCAACTGGTTCTCCGCATTTTTGGTCACAAAACTGTTTCCGTTATTAAAGAACAGTATTGGATCGGCGCCAACATTTTGGATATTTGCTGGAATCGCTGTCGTCGCTTTTGTCTACTCGCTGATTTGTGTGCCGGAGACAAAGGGTAAAACGCTTCCCGAGATTCAGCTATTGTTGGCTGGCGGCAAAAAGAATCACGACACCGAGACGAAGGGCAATTAGAACTGGGCCTAAGCATATATATATACATATGTCTAGTCTATAGCTATAGTCTCTATCAATAAGAATAAACAAATATATTTTCAAATACTTAATTGTTTGCAGCTTTAATGATACATACATATATATGTATGTATGTATGTATGTATGTGGAATAGTACAGCGTAAATTGATTGGTTCGGTAGCATACACACAAAACACATTCATAGACAAATATAACTTCAATATTGCGCCTGGAAGTTTCCAGTAGAAGCTAAGTACATACATACATACATATACGTATAAGCAGATCAAACACTTCCTTGCTAGTTTCTTTGCATTTTATGCGTTCTTCCATTCTCTTATATTTCGTTTGACATACAAGCATGTGCACACATACATACATACATATGTATGGGATATAAGCCGCTATAATATTCCGCTATTTTTCGTGTAATGCAGCCAGAGTATGTATGTATGTACATATGTATGTATTAAAGATCGAGAGTGGCAAAATTTATTTCTTAGCGATGAGAACAAATTGCCAGATGGCAATCGGGTTTCTTATCGCGAACAATGTAGCAAAGGTCATCTCGATTTCTTTAGAACTGCGGTCGCCTTCTGTTTATTTATTCTTCAATGGGAAGTATTCAGTGCTGTTTTCTCTTTACTAAATAATAACTTGCATTTCCCGACTTGGTCTGCGTGCGTTTTGGTTTGTTAGGCCGCAAGTTTTTATCACCCGCCTCACCCCTCTTCCAGTGATACACAGAGGAAATTACCCGTCGACGGGGTCAAATGAATAATGCGTAATTCTCTGTGTAATTCGCGCGCCAGCATCAAAACGTCTTTAATGACCTCGAACCCCAAGGCAATCTATAAATAATCTATAACTAATAAATAATATTGTGAACATCATAAACTTTTATGATCCACTGTGATTTTGCCCAGGTTAAACAACAAATTGTTTAAAATTGCTAGCCAAGAAAGTAATTGCTGCAACTCGTTGCTTTATTTCTTCTGCCGTTTTGTAATTTATTTATTTATTTTTTTCTTATAAAAAATAAAAATTGATGACCGCTGGATTTGAACCAGGGACTGCCCGCTTGATACCCCTCCACTCAAACACTTAAGCCACACAACCTCGTGGCGTCATGCTTGCAAAGCACAAATATGTGTGTATGTGGCTGAGAGTCTTGATGCTCACTTTCGACCAAACAGGAAACTTTGTAGGTTCCCGTTCAGTCAGTCAGTCAGGATAAACACTCTCTTATCAGCTTATCACCCGGCTTACCCCGGCAATGTTTAAATAGCTTCTGCTGCTTTTCAGAGATTCACGTGTTCTATTTTCTCATTATGCTTGGAATCAGACTTAAGTCAAGCAAACCTGCTGCTCAAATGACTTAAGTCAAGAATTTCGGCATTATCAAGATTGTTTTATCCGGACTTAACACTTTTTTACCCTTGCGGAATGACTACAAAATACTTCATCTTTTCTAGAGTTGTGGAAACTAAAACTAGATACTTCACTGTTAACACAGGCGCTTGGAATTATTTGTTGGCTTATTGGACTATTTTTGCGGCCGCCAGCTAGCAGATGCTGAATCTCGAGAAGCGTTTTCCCTTTTGTCTCCGGCACCCAAATCAAGGTCCATACAAAAGCGAATACGCCGATGCCGGAAAAAAATCAAAAAGTTGTCGCCGATCCAATATTATTATTTAATAGCGGAAAGAGTTTTGTGACCAAAAATGCGGAGAACCAGTTTATGGTGCCCGCAATGGAGCCAGCTATACTCTTGACGTCCTCAGTAAAAAGCTCGGCCATAATTAGCCAGGGCACAGGCCCATAGCCAATGGAGCTGGCCACAATGAAGACGAGTGTACTGGTGATTGGCAGCCATCCGATGGAATCCACCGAATCCGGGTCGGTTTCCTTTATTTGAAAATACACGCCCATGAGGCAGCTCGTAATGGCCATGAAGAAGGCAGACACGAGCAGAAGAATGCGTCGTCCAACTTTGTCGACTATCAACGTTGCCACAAGAGTCATAACCAGTTGGGTAGCTCCAATCAAAATAGTACAGATGCGACCGCTGAGGCTTGCACCAACGTCCTCGAAAATGGATGTGGAATAAAACATGATGGCATTAACACCTGTCCACTGCTGCAGAATCTGCAGCATCACCGCAATGCCAATTCCCTTGAGGGTTATGGGACGTCGCAACATCTTTAAGATGCTGACCTTGGGCTCATCCGCATTCTTGGTTCTCTCCTCGAGAATTTCCTTGAGCTCGTAGCTGACATCGCAGTCATTGCCACGCAGCCAGAGCAGAGACTTGGCTGCATCTTCAGGACGACCTTTCATGACCAAATAAACCGGCGACTCCGGCATAAAGAAGTGCACCGCGGCAAAAATTAGAGGTAATATGGCACAGAGTATATTGATGGTCAACAGCGGAAGGTAGCCGCCCACAATGTAGCCATACAGCAATCCCGAGACTGTGTTGAGCTCGAAAAAACTTCCCATCGTACCACGTTTGGCCACGGTAGATACCTCCGTGGTGTACATGGAGGCAGTCACACAGAAGGCACCACCGCAAACGCCCAGAATGAAACGTCCAAAGTACAACATGAGCACATTGTTTGCAAAGATCATCAGAATCCAGCCCACCATGTAAGGTGGTATCAGGGCCAACATTGTCGGTCTGCGCCCAATCCAGTCAATAATGAATCCTGCGGGTATGCAAACGACAGTCGCGCCCAGTGTTAGCAGGGAAGACACCCAGCCAAATTGGTCGCTGGACACCGGAAACCCGTAAGCTTCCTCCTCCGTCAACATTTTCTCTACAGGCGCTGACCAGCCCATGCTGGCGCCCATACAGAAGGCTCCAAACGCTGCGGACAGGCCGGCAATATATTGTGGGATCACTTTTGCCTGTGCCATGTCTCTGTTTTGCTCAGTGGCACGGCTAGAATCAAACTGGCCAACCATTTCTTGGGTTGAAATCTCGTTGCATTGGCTGAGGGCAACACAACGTGTCGTCGATGGCCCTCCTCTTCGACGGGGGTAATTGATAACTGAAGTACAATTTACTATATACCTATTCAAGAATGAACATAAGTTGAGCAAACACAAACAATGTTAAACTAAGTGTAATAAACATGCCAAAAGATAAGTGAGTTTACGACCGCGCATTGGCAAATCGAGATTAACTAATTAACTACGGGTAACTAACCGAAACTATTTTCAAGTAAATATCCCTTTGAGGGGAGCGAGGAGTAGAAGTCCGAGATGCATTCTGTTACTCGGATACTTTTCTTTTCAACCCATCACATTCTATGGAAGGCAACTCAAGATGGTATCTATCACAAAGCTTATGGAGAGGAATTATGAGGAATGAAGTGTGATCAGACAATAGAAGATGTTCAAAGGTTTAAACGAGAATGAAGAACTATCTTCTTCGAAGATTGAATACCCTTGCAAACCGAAGGGTATTCAATCTTTATTTTCGGCAGATCGTTCCGATGGCAGCTATATGATATAGTGGACCGATGTAAGCCCGATTTCGCATAAATGTAGGGAGCATAGTGAAACTTATTAATGCCAAAGTTGGTCAAGATATCTAGATAAACAAAAAAGTTTTCCATATAACAACCTAATTTCGACAGACGGTTCCTATGGCAACTATATGATATAGTGATCCGATGTTGATTGGATTTTGCTTATATATGGGGAGCATACTAAAACTAATATATGCCGAGCTTAGTCCAGATATCTTAATGAACTAAAAAGTTTTTCATACAACGATCTACTTTTTGATACTATGGCAGCTATATAATATAGTGGTCCGATCTAGCCTGTTCCGACATATGTACAGCGTGCCACAGAAAAAGGTTAACTTTAGGATCTAAAGGATGTGAACATTAAATGAAGACGTAACCTCACTGGAAATAGGAGAAAGTTTTTATGGTCAAGGTTTAAAGTTGGTTTCGATCGGCATTGAACTTATTTATATATGTTTTATTATTATTTTTATTCTGTATTTTTATGTATTATATGAAAGTCTACCTCCCAAATTAGGTGTATCTAATCTTATCATATGTGCATATACCTCATACCCCGTCCCCCGTGCCCCGTAAAAAGGGTCGGAGATTTCTCAAGTTTAAATCGAATCTAAACAGATTTATAAACTAAAGATTCGAAAAAACTGTTTATCTGATATTAAGATTATTCCGCTCTAACGGCAATTAATAACTTTTGCTGAATGAGTAGAAAATTGTTGATCCTTACTTTCAGTGCGAAGGTTAAAACTGAATCCTTCACTGCGGCCGGAAAGGCTTGTAAGTGTTGTGTGCTCCATTGAATTATATTTCTTGCCAACGGCGAGCAGCTCTTGAATCTCGTGAAGCGTTTTACCTTTCGTCTCCGCCACGCAAATTAGCGTCCACACGAAGCCGGCGAATGCAATGCCGGAATATACCCAAAATGTTGCCGCTGGTCCAATATTATCCTTCATAAGGGGGAACAGTTTTGTGACCAAAAATGCCGAAAACCAGCTGGCAGTACCCGCAATGGAGCCGGCGACACTCTTGACGTCCTCAGTAAAAAGCTCGGCCATAATAAGCCACGGCACGGGCCCAAGTCCAACGGAGCCAGCCATCATGAAAACGATTATACTGGTAATGGGCAGCCATCCTATAGATGTCACCGAATACGGATCATCATCCATCATTTGGAAATAGACGCCCATTAGGCAGGTGGTAATGACTATGAAGAAGGAGGAAACCAGCAACAGAACGCGTCGACCGACCTTGTCGATTATTAACGTGGCCACAAGAGTCATAACCAGTTGGGTAATTGCAACCAGAATGGAGCACACAACACCGCTGAGGCCCCCACCAACATCCTCGAAAATGGACGTGGAATGGACGTAATGGCATTCACACCTGTCCACTGCTGCAGAACCTGCAGCATCACCGCAATGCCAATTCCCTTGAGGGTTATGGGACGTCGCAACATCTTTAAGATGCTGACCTTGGGCTCATCCGCATTCTTGGTTGTCTCCTCGAGAATTTCCTTGAGCTCGGAGCTGACATCGCAGTCCTTGCCACGCAGCCAGAGCAGAGACTTGGCTGCATCTTCAGGACGACCTTTCATGGCCAGATAAACCGGCGATTCCGGCATAAAGAAGTGCACTGCGGCAAAGATTAGAGGTAATATGGCACAGAGTATATTGATGGTCAACAGCGGAAGGTAACCGCCAACGATGTAGCCATACAGCAATCCTAAGACAATGTTGAGTTGAAAAAAGCTTCCCATCGTGCCACGCGTGGCCACGGTAGATACCTCCGTGGTGTACATGGAGGCAGTCACACAGAAGGCACCACCGCAAACTCCCAGAATGAAACGTCCAAAGTACAGCATGAGCACATTCTTTGCAAAGATCATCAGAATCCAGCCCACCATGTAAGGTGGTATCAGGGCCAACATCGTCGGTCTGCGTCCAATCCAGTCAATAATGAATCCTGCCTGCGGGTATGCAAACGACAGTCGCGCCCAGTGTAAGAAGAGAGGAGAGCCAGCCAAATTGGTCGCTGGACACTGGAAACCCGTAAGCCTGCTCCTCCGTCAGCATTCTTTCTACGGGGGATGACCAGCCCATGCTGGCGCCCATACAGAAGGCTCCAAACGCTGCGGACAGCCCGGCAATATATTGTGGCAGTACTTTTGCTTGTGCCATGCCTCTGTTCTGCTCGGTGCAATGGCTAGAATCAAACTGGCTTGAGCAATCAATGCATTGGATAAGGGCAAAACTCAATGCCGTCGGCGTCGCAGCCAGCTCCGATAGTTTCTGTAACTGGAACTGTGGCGGGAGTATAGCATGGGTTATGGAAGAGCATTTAAGGCCGCGGCAGACAGACGATGCTTAGCTTCGACTTGGAGTAATTGTTGCTGTACCATATGAAAAGTCCTAAAAATCTTAAGGATCTACTGCCTTATGATGATACCCAATGTAAAAATACGCAAACGTACAGTTGAGAGAGTTGATATTTGTAAGTAGCGCGGAATGGATCTAGACCTAGTCGAGCGGCACACACTTAAGTACTTGACTCAAGGGTCGTCTGTCGGTCATCGGGCCAGGGAGGCGGGAATTGGCGTTCTCTGAAGTGTGTCTCGCGGACTTGTTCACAGCTAGACAACTTATACTTTATATATAGAGTAATATATTAGCTTTGCATAAAAAATGCGTAACTCACAGCAATAAATTTCATATATAATCATTATAGTCGGAATCTTAAGATTTCTTGATCAAACATAGGATATATATATACATAGGGTGAAAAAAGTTGATCATGGAAATCCAAATTGGCAAATATTATAAATAGTTCCAATGGAAAGCATTGCTCGAAAATAGTTGTTCATTAAATTTCTTTTAAGCTAGATGCCTTGAAAGGGTGTTTGTAGTTCGGCGTGACAAAGTTTTCATATAGCAAATGTTGTTAATACGAATTTGAAATGTTTAAGAAAATTGTCTAAGATTCCTCAATTTTGTACAATTTCCAAGTGTTTATTAATTATGTTTTGCATTTTTTTTTTTGTTTTGTTTTGTTTTGTTTTGTTGTATCGTGTGTCGTGTTTTATATATAATACGAATTTAAATATATATGCATTTACTTAAGGTCTACAGAATATTAATAAACAGTTTTCGGGCTGCTTTATCGTGGTTCAAATTTGTTGTTGTTTATAGCGTTTGTTAAATGTTTATCATTTGCACTGAGAATATTAACATATTTCTATGATCGAGTCGATTGGAATTGTACAAACTTTTTTGAATTGGACACAAAAAAAGTTGCTAGAAATAAGCTTCTGTCGTAGCGCAATTAATCAATTGATTAATGTTTTAAGTATTACTCGGTTGCATTTAAAAGTTTTAACTGTTTTCTAAGGCTCATGTGTCTCAAATGTGTGTTATGCGTCAAAAAGCAGAAACTTTGTTATAAATCGAATGCAGTTCAGTTAATAAATATTGTGCCTTACAACTTTACATGCTATGGCAGTTTAATTTGTTGGGAGTTTTCTTTTAATTTTCTTTTGTTTACGACATGCTGTTATTAAGCCTTATTTGAACAAATGCAAATGCAAAGCTAAGCACGTCTACTTACAATATGAAACATATCTGAAATTTCGAGTGCTTTAATCCTTCGCATCCTGGCCATTTGATTTGTTTTATTTGGCGCTTCTTTTGAATTATTCAACTTGTTTCTGCTTTACGGTGCATTTTTATCCTTTCCTCGTTATTTATTTTCTGCACATATACAAATATATCTCTCTATATATATATATAGATATATATGCGTGTGTGTGTATAAACAGATTTACGTACATAAAAATATATAATTATTTGTATAAAAAACTAATACAATGTTGCATGTATATATCTCTATTATTTATTATTATACGTGTGATTCTGTGTGTGTGTGTGTGTGAAATTGGCTGCATTTATAGAAGAAAGAGAAAACATAATTTAACAATACATCAATAATTATAAAACATCTGAAATACACATAAATTGCTTATCAACAAACACACACACACACACACACTCGCAAATGCAAAGAATATCAAAATGTTTTTTATTGCGTTTATCAAAATATTGCAAAAGCTATGTAAATTAACATATTTGTATGTGTGTGTGTGTGCGTGTGTGTGTTTGTTTTTTTTATCAAATAAATTAGCACAAAGTACAACAAAATCTTCAAATCGTTTTTATCGTGTGTGTGTTGTGTATTAAAATTTGAATCTATGAAATCTTGAATTATTTCTTTTTGTTGTTGTTGTTGTTGTTGTTTTTTGTCTACTATGTAATGTTTTTACGTAGTATATTTAAGCGCTTAGAGAACTATTAGATTTGCATTTTGTATTGAACAGCGGCAATTGTCAATTAAATCTTATGAGTTGTGTGTAGCGGATCGTGTGTTGTATAGACTTGACTTTAGACTATATATATTTTATATATATATATATGTATATATGTATATATGTATATATCATTTTTACTTCTTCTTATTTTGTATTCTGTTTTAATGCCGTTCTTTCTCTTGTCGTCGCTTTAGCTTCTTCCTCTTCAACTTCCTCGTCAACTTGTTCAAGTTTAGCTGCTCATTTGTTGCTTTTTAATGCCTCTCTCATAATATTATTTTATTTGTTGCTTTGTTTTCGTCGTTTCCATCATCGTTATCCCACTTCCGTTTCTTTCCTCTCTCTCTCTCTCTCTCTCTTTCTCCCTTGCTCTCTCTTTCTTTCTCGGTTACACTGTCGTCCCCGCCTGCGCGTTGGTGGTTGTTGCTGTTGTTGTTGTTGGCTTAGGCCTCGCTCTTCTTCTTCTCCTTCTTCTTCTTCAAAAACGATGGCGTGCGCAGGCCCTTCTTCTTCTTCTTGTCTTTCTTGGGTGAACCGTCCGTGGACACATCCTGGAACCGTAATAGAAATTTGCAGTGAGAATATCGTTTGCGTCTAAGTTAGTAAAACGGCGCAGCGAGAAATGCTGTTAATTTAAGAGAGAGTTAAGAGTATCGGGAGAGACCCGAGTAAAAGTACCTATTCTGTATATACTACACCGGATATATGTGAAATACGAAGACTATAGCTATTAAATCTTGAGAGATATACCCCAAAAACAGGATTTCGAGCTTAATCGATTGCTTGGAAACGGGGCAAGTTTTCGATGACAGGAAACAAACCCGTACTCGAATAGGTTCTGAGATCAACGGACAGACGGACGGATATGGCAAGATTGATGCTGACCAAGAATATATATATGCTTCATGGGGTGGGAGATGCTTCCTTCTGCATGTTACATATACAATTTTACAATTTTCGATGGGTTCGACGAGTCAAATCCAACGCTAACATTTCATAATCTTTTAGAGCTAGAGACATAAATATAACATATGCAGAACCAGTTATTTTTTTTTTCGATGTCTTCGCCCATTTTTATATGTTCCCATTTGGAAGCTCTATGGAAAACCTGAATATGTTATTAAGATCGGACTACAAATACCGATTTGATTCAAAAGTGAATTATGAATAATCCTTTCCAAGGGCATACGCTTCGCAGTTTGCATTTATGCCCGTGGTTAGAGGGTATCTGCTAGTCGAGCACTTTTGTTATGCAGTTGGATTTCGCCGTAGACAACTTACCTCTTTACTGCTCTGTGAGAAGGTGCTCAGGTGCGCCTCCGAATGGTCGCCGTTTTGTACGTTTTCACCTGTTGAGTGCAGATAAGGAAGATCGACAAATTAGAAATATTGGATGATTAATTGGGGTTGCCGGGGCCACCAGATGTCATTATGTAACTCAATGGACGTACACAAAATCATATAGTATGTATTATTTGAAATACTCTTCACCATTAAAGGACGCGTACAAAGATTAAGTTCTCTTGGAGAACCGAAAACATGTAGGATGTCAGTATATATATTATGTATATGTATGTGAATATATATGTATTTTGTGAGGTTTTAGTACAAAAATGTTAGCTAAACAAACACAAGCATGCATACAATAATTAGCGACAAACAATTAACAAACATTTAAAAATGAAAAAGTGCAAAAAATGTTACCTGCTGTTGTTTTTCTTGCTTTTTCTTTTTGTAACTTACATTATTTGATATATATATATATATATATATTTATATATTATTATATATATATATATATAAATATATGTATGATTAAAGCTTGCGCAGGACATTTATTATAGCTTGGAGAATGAAAGTATCTTAAGAATATTTTGTGCTTAATTATAGTACATGGCCAAAATTTTGTTGGCAAAGAAAAATAACAGAAAAGACAATTCATTTAGAAACTTTTAACATAATTAACAAAAAAAAAACAAATGTTCAAGTGCCGAGCTGAGCAATAATTGGATCGATTTAAAAGGAATGGTTGGAGCCTACTTGGCCCTGGTTCTCCGCACCACGCCCTTGATATCATCTCGCATCTGGGAGATGCGCGTGCGACAATCATAGATGACGGCGCGATTGTGCAGCTCGTGGGCGCGTATGATGCTGTTCAGCAGATGCTGCAGCTCCAGCTCCAGCGTGCTGAGCAGACGCTGCAGTGCCTCCGCCTCGGCACAGCTGTGCGACGAGGACGTTGGCGTCGTTGGCGGAGGCGTCTCGGAACCGGCCAGCGCCACATAGCTGTAGGTGTGGCAAAGCGCCGGCGCCGAGTTGCAGCGCTGCAGCAGCGATGTGGAGGCTGTGGGCGAGGCCAGTGGAGCCCGGGACGGCTGCTCCGAGGATTGCAAGAGATGCACGGTGCGCTGCTGCATCGCCAGCTGTTGCGATATATAGTGTATCTCGTCGTCGATGACCTTCTCCAGCTTGGAGCGGAACTCCTGCTCGTGCGCTTGCACGGACTGCACGCACTCCGTGTTGCGCAACGAGACATTGATGAGAATCTCAATCGAGGAGGTCTTCAGCTGAGATTCCGCCTCCGGCGAGCTGCTCAACGTCAGCCTAATATGCTTGCCCTGGCTGTACGCCTCCGCCTCCTGGGTGGAGGAGTCGTTGCTGGTGGTGCAATGGCGCTCGCGTCTGCCAGTTCCGCTGCCGTTTATGTTGTTGTTATTGTTGTTGGCGCTCAGTCCGCCCAATCCGCTGTCGTCGCCGTTCTGGTACATGGCCTGCTCGGCCTCCGGCCTGTCAGTCGCAATGCCGTCATCCTTGGGCAGCGCATGATTGTCCGGCAGAAAGCTGCGCAGCGTGTAAGTGCTGGGATACATGCTGTCATCGTCGCGGTCGGGCTCCGGCTGGGATTCGTGCATGCTCAACATGGAGCTGAACTGCGCGGTCAGTTCGTCCAGCGAGTCGTCGGCGCTCTGCTGGCAACTGCTGCTGGTTACCGCACTGTTATTTCTCTGCTTGCGCGTCGGCGTCCGTTCCAGCTGTATCTGCATTTCGGAAACGTAGGAGGGCGAGGAAGTCTCGGCTGGCGCTGCGGCCGGACGCTTGCCGCTTGCGCTGAGCACATTGAGCATCCGACGCTTGGCAAAGCTCAGATTGGCCAGATCTATAAAGGAGACGACACGCTCGCGCTGCTCGGATACCGTCTGCCAAATGCTTTGGTTGGCCGGATGCAGCAGGATGCTGGGCGCATTCGCCAGGGGGCAGTTGAAGCCATAGTGCGAGAAGGTGCGAAACGGTGCAGCCGGCGGATTCATTATGCTATAGCTGCTGTCACCTGTCCATTGTCTGCTGCTTGCCTGCACAGGTGTGCTGCTGGCAGCCAGATTCACAGAGAAGCTCTCCTCCCCGCCGCCCACCGTGTTGCTGGTGTTCAAGGTGCCGTTGTGGCTGTTGCTGCTGCTGCCATTGCTCAGCAGCGGATAGTTGTGCCTATATGTGGCATCGATTTTGTATATTACGTTAGCCTGGACGCACTGAAGCCGTGCAGCACATGCGTCCAAGTAGCGCTGCACGGGCGCATAGAGAAAAGAGTATTTGTGTGCCAAATATGAGCACATTGCTGGGAGAAAGAGTAAGCAGAGGGAGAGAATGCGGGTGGCGCGGTTCGCAATGAGTGTGAGTGTGTGTGTGTGTGCGGGGTGTGTGTAAACATAGACAGGGGGCGACAAAGGGAACATTCGAAGAATCACATAGTGGGAGCTTAAACTTTAACATTATCTGTAAAACTAACATTAACAGTGACAGCAACGGTAACATTAACATCAACATTATTATGTAATGTTAACATGTTCTATCAACTAACATAGTGGGAGCCTAAACGTTAACATTATCTGTAAAACTAACATTAACAGTGACAGCAACGTTAATATGTAATATTAACATGTGCAATCAACTAGGGTATAATTTCATTTCCTTATTTAACGACAAAGGGAACATTTAAATAATTAAATAGTGGGAGCTTAAACATTAACATTAACTTTAAAACTAACATTAACAGTGACAGCAACGGTAACAATAACAGGAACATTATTATGTAATATTAACATGTTTACTCAACTAGGATATATCTTTCTCTTATATAACAATTATTAATTACACATCGATTAAATACTTATTCACTTTTATTGTTATTTAAATAAAAATTATACAATCCACCATTGTTATTTTTTATAGGCTTAGTATGTGTGAAAAAAAGATATGGGTGCAGTTCAAGCGCATGCCAAGTGTAAGTACAATAATAAAGTAAAATTAAGAAAAATGTATATTTTTTAAAAAGTAGATAGGGACTTTTAACATGTCTGCTGACTTGGCACAGATGTGGCAAAGAGCCGAAAAGCCTTTTGATTTAATGGAAAACTCAAATTCAACCCAGATATTGGGAAAATACTTCTTGAAAATAATAGTTTTACTCGTGCGAAGGGGGCTGTTCCTCTTTGGGCTCAGGTTGAGCCAAGTCGGTTCTGATTTCTTGTTCGAGGGCCACAGCTTGGTTTTTTTCATTTTGTGATACTTCTAGAGATTGCGTCGAGTCGCTGCCAGGCACGAGTTCTGGCTGCTCATCGCTCAATTCCACAACAAAGGGGCCAAAGTCATAAACACCATTAAGTGGCCATTCGATTGGATGGGAATCAATTGCCGCATAACCTGATCTGCCACCAAAGAGCAAACGCGTGTCAAGTTCCAGTTCCAGCTGCCCATATTCATTTAAGCGGCCCAGTGGCAGCTCGACCTCAATCGAAAACTCTTCAACATTCTGTGGACTCATATTGTCTGTTGCCATGGAAGCTATTTCAGCTATTGGCTCAAACGCATCTGACTGCCGTTCGTTTACCTCGTCCTCCTCATCCTCTTCCACCTCTTCCTCGTCACCTTCTACCTCAAATATATTCCAGCTGTCGTTTTCGGCAAACGGCTGATAAAGCTTTGCCTTATTCACATCACCCGCTTCACCGCGTGGAACTTGTATGTCGTCCAAGGACTCGTCGGTGAGATGGAGTGTTCCATCTGTTAGCGTGCACTGCGTATCTAATACAACTATGTCGTCCTCGTCAGACTTCTTGGATGCATTGTCATCTCTGCCGCCAGACTTGCGCTTCTTCTTGCTAGTTGCCGCCGCCGCCGAGGTGTTGGGTTTGTTATCATCCTCAGTGTCATCCTGTACAGATGACTGTAAATCGTGCTGCGTCTTTAGCAGACATTCTCCATCTGTTGAGCTGTCGGAGTCGTAGAACGAAAAGCTACGTAGAAAATTATTTTGGGGACTTAGATTAAAGTTGGCGCGATTTGAGCTAAGCGAAAAGCCCGATGATCCTCCTTCCAGCTCCTCCTCAGAATTGCCAGCAGGTTTATGGGCCGACTTAACTTTGGATTCATTAGACTCATTTGCTGGAGCTCCTGGCTCAGCTGTATCACCTGCATTGGGAACTGCTTGTCCATTGACATTTGTTTTGTCGGAATCGGGGACTCCATTGACTGATTCGTTGGACGCATCAAATTCTTGAGATCCAGTTCTTCCAGAGTTCTCATCAGTCATCTGTTCTTCCATTTCAGCTGTGTCCTCATTCAGACTTTCTCCACCATCTGGCAAGCTGCTTGTGGAAGTAACCTCCAACCTGTTTAATCTATTGGAATTTCTATTTGCATGTGGATCTTGAAAAGCTGCTGCCGAGGGCTCGTTTTCACTTTCGCTCTCGTTGTCCGTGTCATTGGTGCCCGTCTCAACGTTACCGGAGGAAGGATCCATAGTCTCCTCCTCCGGCCTGTCTGTCGTCGTCTGTGAAGGTTCTGTAAACTCATCCGTATTTCCGGTGTATACTTCTGCCGTGCTATCGCTCACCTCACTTACCTCCTGGTTATCAGCAGTTGCAGCTTGACTTGTGTTTTCGGTTGTCTCACCGGCGGATAATCGTGGCTGCAATGCTTCATCGCTCTCATTATCATACATTCGCCTGCCCATTTCTTGCTCCGTAGTATTCCTCTGATTGGCGAGAACGACAAGATTGAGTTCCTGCACCTCGACAACCGTATTATCGTCGGCGCTGTAGTACAAGGAGCTGCCCGTTGCATTGTTTTGGTTTTCTGGTGACCTTAAGACAAGGGATGTCGCTGCAATTTGGTCCTCCTCCGTGTTTGCCAACTCAAAAGTGGTGCTGGAAGGGTTCTGCATCAAGACACCGCCCTGCTGCGATCCAGTCGAGTCCGTACAGTATGTACTACTCGATATGGTCTTATGCAAGATGGGACGTGGGCTGCGATTTAGTGTAGGTGTCTGATTTGCGAGGGGTTTGCGACGCTTGGCGTAGGACGTGGAGGAGGAGTGAATCAGTGGATAAAGCACCTGATTTGGACTTACTGATCGGCGCTTTTGACCGCTGATGCCACGTGGAGTCGACGGCAGGGAGACCCACAGACGAGCGCTACTGCCCCGTTGCTCGGCCTGGAACGTGCACACGGACAAGGCATCGCTAGTCTTGGCCAGACCACGCCTTAACCTTGCGGGTGAGTTTATGGAGGACTTGGAGATTGCGCGGGGTTTGCCGGCATTGCGTATGTTCTCCTGAATAAAGTTGCGCTTCTTGCGTGGACTGCTACGGAACACAAATGTCGTGGAGGATATGGTACGCTCCAGCGAGGGTCGAGATGTCGGTGAAGACGACCTACTGCTACCCTGGTAGCTTTCCCAGGAGCAAGACAAGCGTGGCGTCTTTGCCGTAATCACATGAACATGCGCCGAGGAACTCGCAGGTGCGTTAATATTGTGCATGGAGAAGGAGGATGGGCGCGGCTCGCTACTGAACTGGAAAAGATGAGGTATATCGCCACCGGTGGGAGTTGCTGTGGGTGGGCTTCTGTAGATATGGGTGCATGTTTGAAAGGTTTCCTCTGCGCCGGTGACCATGCGTTGCAGCTTGCAGGGCGTTAGCTTATTGCGTATACTCTCATCAATCCTGCCGAATATGGACTCCCTTTCCTTTAGTTTGTTCGCCTGGATCCGCTCTAGTATCTCGCGCTCTAATGGCGAGAAAATGTCGTTTTCGGTCGAGGTGCATTCCCTGTGTGGTGTCGCCGGCTCATCTTTAGTTGTTGGCTCTGCAGACGGCGAAACTTCAGCTCGACAATCCGATTCGCCAATATCTATGTATTCCTCATTCTCATCCACATCCTTTTCATCAATATGTCCGCACTCAACATGGTCTTTATGGTTTACACTGGGCAAGGGTGTTACCGGTTTTTCATCGTCTCGCTTTTCCTCATGATCGATTTCGGCTTGAGGTTCTTCCCCTTGCTCGGGAAATTCCTCATCTGTGCTGAAGTTTGGCTGCTGAAAGCGTTGAGGCTCGGAAACTGAAGCTGTATCGTCGGCATCGGCGATATTCTCCAAGCTGATTGCCCGAAAAAGCGATCCGCTCTCCATAGATTCGTCTGAGCCGAATTCATCTCGCACACCTACCACTCGCAGCTTTTTTGTAGTGGCCACCAGTTTTTCTAAATTCTGACCCGCCACGCATAGACTTTGCTCGAAATCTTGCAATATTTTCGGAATCTCGGCAGCTGCTTGGTGTTGCACATCGCCGCTGAAGGATTGGGTCGACTGTCTGTCGCTAGAGGATGACCCCTGGTCAATGTGTAGCTCTTCGCACACTAAATCTGCCTGGACTTTCTCCTTCGAATCTTCGCCTTGAATTGGCTGCCTCAGCCAACCATATGTTCTCAATGTCTGAGCCTCCCCTGCTTCCAGCGACATTGTCACCGTACGCTCTAGAGTTGCTGGAACTTCATGCTCCATCTCTTCCTTGGCACCAAAGTACTGTACGTGATCCTGCCACAGCTCCTGGAACTCCAGCTTGCGACGCTGACGCTCTTCACGCGTCATCAGCTGGCGCTCAGCCTGCTGGTCTAGCTCCTTGTGATCCGTAGCCTGAACTTCGTTCTGCTCGCAATTGGCACCAAATTGTTGGGTAATCTCGAGAGTAATGCGGCGCTCGGTGAGTGGTTGTTGGGCTTGGGCTGTCTCGTTCTGCTGTGCTTGCTCTTGCCAGTTGCCAAAGTTCCACACCTCCGTCAGGTCTGTTGTGGTCTTATCACGATCAGTTGGAATAGATCGGCGTCGCATATCCGCAGAAGGTGGCGCACTCGTGGCACTGGCCGGCGGACTCGTCGGCGTCTGCACGCCGCGAAAACTAATATCGCTGCTAATCGTTTGGATACCAGGCACGTAGTTAACATTGGTGGACTCCTCCGAGAAGTTGAGACGTTCGATCTGTGCCAGAAAATTGCTGCTCATCAAAATGGAGCTAGTCTGAGTGCTGACATGGCAGCGCACGCTTGTGAGTGGTGCGCGCTCGAACAGCTGCTCCTCGAATTCCTCCTCATCGTTCAGCTCCGTTAGAGTAGCTAGCTTTCGGGGCGTAGCCGGATAGCTGCCAGAGCCGCTAATCAGATCCTCGGGCTCCTCGCCACTGCTGCTCGCAGCACTGCGGCGCTGCAGCTCTGGCTTGAGGCGCAGCAGCTGCTCAAAGCAGAACTGGCACAGCTGCTCGTAGCGTGGTGTGGCAAAGATCTCCTCGTAGCTGATGACCCGCTGCATGGGCCGATAGCGGATGCACTCCGCTCCGCCCGGCAAATGCCGGTGTTCGGTGCGCGGCGGCTGTCGCGGCGAATTGAAGCCAAAGTGCGAGAGCGTGCGATAAGGAGGCGGCAGCCCATTGGCCAGCTGCAGTGGTCGACGAGGGGTAGATGATTCGTTGGTGTTGTTGGTGCCCGTGCTGGACGTGGCGCTCGAACGATTACCGCTGCCCCGATAGTAGGCCATGTTTTGCAGGTGTTCCGAGTGCAGGGCGTGCAACAGAACAGAACAGATTTGCGGCTGACAGCAGCGACCCAAAGGACCAGCCCCATACGCGTACGAATAAAACTCTCCCTGAAGGACTTTTGGCGGCGCAAGGGACTCGGGTTTCTGTGTCAAGTCAGCAACGTGTTGGGTATGTAGACAGGGACTGGGACAAGAATTTTGAGTAGAGTTGGGATTAGTAAACGCGGAGAGCAAATCGCGACGACACTTGCTAGTCGAGGCAGGAACACTCTCGTTCTGAGTGTGACCCTGATTCTGGTTCTGGTTCTCCTTGTCCAGCTCATCGTAGACTAAGTCGATCTTCCTTTCTTCGCTCGACGTCTGGACTTTGACTGTATCAGGATCAGTTTCTTGAATTTCAGTTTCTTTGCGTTTGGTTTAAGGGAGGGAAAAAATCAAAGGAACATCAGTACGCTTGCTCAAAAAATGATTTGGCTAGCAAGACTTACTCTCGAGCGCACCTCAAGCATAAAGCCGGCAACTTGGGCGACCGGAATCAAGTAGATGACCATGGTCATACAAAATTCGCACCTCAAGTTTGCGGCACTATGACTTGCTACTCGCTGATACATTAAATACCTATGAGTATATGATATATATAAACGTACATCGAATTTTCCATACCTACATCGGTAATCTCAATGCCTAAATTCAAAATTGTAACAATAATATAGGAATGAGCTTTGAACCCAAAAACCGACCGATATCATTGTGAGAACTATTCTATAAATGAGGCTGAGGTAATGAACTGTAAATGGTTTGTTTCGTTTTTTCTACTGACTAGGTTAGGTAGGTGCATACAAACATAGGTGATTTGGCTAGTTATTAACATCAATAATAATGGAATGGGGCATTAATTAGTTTGAATATATGTTGTATATACATATGCAGCAGCATTTGGTATACTGTCCAGATACCTGAGTAAATATATTAGGTACAATTGAGTACAATTGCAATTCGGGGGGGTTAGGTCTGAGATAGTGAATACAACTTGTTCGTTACCTCGGCCAGTTGGTGGCTTGCGATTTGTTGCTGTATGAGAGCGTTCGCCGTTTATAAAACTAAGTGTAGCTAAAATAGTATTGAGAAATAAACGTACATAATAAATTGACATGTTTGTGTGCTGTTGATATTTGAGAGCATTAAATAAACCTATAAATGCAATAAAGTTCAAAAAGACTTAAGCTTAAAAATATGTTTAATTATGTTAGTATCGATTCATGCTTTGTTGTGAGTATTGTTAGCTGTCGTAGCAAGTTGTGGGTTTTTCTCATAGCTTTAAGCATTGAAATAGCAATAAACAGAAAACAGCTGCAGTTCTAAGAAAGACAAAAATAAGCCAACTAACTAATATGCTTTGTTTGCGAAAACAAAACAGGCTCAAAAAACATATGCAAAGCTAACAGAGTTCTGATTTTGGTTAAAATAATGACCTATGTTAATTAGCATAGCAGAGCTGCAAAGCAAACTGAATGCAAAATGTTAATTAACAGAGCGAATGATTAACAGACATATTAGTTCAATGAGAGTATGCATAGTACATGAATTTCGATATTGTTTATCACTGGTCTATAAACTATGCACGAGTATTATTATTTTCGACTTTTGTTGTTGTTGTTGTTGCTTTTTACTACACACTAGTTGCTTAGGGGCTGCACTCACCTCTAACATAAAATGTATTGTACTAAACTGTTATCGTTTATTTGAGAGTGTAGAGATTTAAAAGCACAGCAGCAGCAGCATTGCAATGCACACACACACATGTACATAGTTTGTTTTTGATAGTAGAAAATGTAGTAGTAGTAGTAGTAGTAGTAGAAGGTGTAGTAGTAGTAGTATTTGTGTTTTGTTGAGCTTCGCTGTTGTTGTTTTGTTTTTTATTAACCTACACACATTCTAAAAACATTTTTATCTACATAACTTTAAAGAAAATTTAGTCGCCAGTTTAGTTGCGCTTGTGCTTGGCTAGAGGGATTAATTTGGGTAAATTTTGAATTACAATTAGCCAAATTGTAGTAAGAATTGTGTTCAAATAAAATGTGCACAATAAAATAAATAAATTATACAAAGCAAAACTGCAGCTGTAGTGGAAAAACCAAGGAAGGAAGAGTAGTAAAAAAAACCTCCACATCTTGCAACTAGAAGTAATTTGTTGTTGTTGTTGTTGTTGCTATGATATTTTCTTGGTGTCTGGCGAAAATAAAAATCATTTAATACACGCCGTACAACAGGTAAATCCTTAAATAGTAGTAGACAGAATAGTAGTAGATAGCAGATAGACAGACAGATTTGTATTTAGACAGTTCGCAGTGTTGGGTTAAAAAGTATGTAACAGAAGAAACGTAAAAAAAAAAGAAGAAAATATTGATATATTGTTTACAGGAAGGAGGTCGAAACCGTATCGAGTGCTACGAGTACTTTCTTTTTAACTTTCGATATTAATTGTTATGAAATTGTTGTATTTTTCGTATGTGTGTGTGTTGGTTGAAGTTTGTGGAGTAGAGTCAAAAATAAAAGGAAAATAGCATAAGTAAAATTAAAGGTTAGAATATAATAACATTTACATAAGATTAGTTTCGAATAATAAATTATTGTTTAATTAGGCAAAAATACTTGATTCAATTTCTACTTAAACCCTGTATAAAGTATAAATCATAGGAGAATATTTAAATTTGAGGACTGACAAAAATAACATAAGACAAAATGCATACAAATAATTAAACGAAATAAAAAAAGCTTTGAAAAAACTTGAACAAATTTTGTTTCACAACTCTAAGGATTCTGTTTGAATGTATTGGAAGAGGGGGACATAACTGGATGTGTGTGTAAATTCAATTAAGTGAACGTAGACATAAAACAATAGGAAAAAAAAAAACAAGAATTGGGAATGGCTCTGCACTTACCATCACTCAGCACAACCTCAGCCTGGCTGGGAATGGGCGCCTGCTGCGTTTGAATCTGTATGACTTGGTGTTCTATCCGGCATAAATAGAGGAATTCCAATTTAGTCGAAGATTCTTAAAGGAATCATGTGTTAATTCTTACCCGTTTCTGGCTCACTCTGTGCGTGTTTTGCATGTGCATGGGCACCCGCCGCCTGCATCGAATTGAGGGCCTCCGATTCCGAAAAGTCTGTGTCGGTATCTGTGGGCAAACATATGGAAAATGTTTATTTTAAGCTAATGTTAAGGATTTCAGTATTTAGTCAGATCTTACATTCGCCATGAATGCTCTTCTTTTTGCGCTCCACGGTACGTTTATATTCGTTGAGCTCATCGTCTGTCACATTGTCGAAGGGATTCTTGGCATAGGGCGCCTTATAGACTGTCGCATTATGCTGGAATCCGCGCTGTATGATGCCCTTGGAGGCGGCACCCATTAGCACCACATGGTCACCAGTTTGCGAGACAGTAGCATCTTTGATGCGATTTGCCTCGTCCCAGGTAACGCCCTCCAGTATGTGCGATTGTGGGCCAGCGGAAATCAGGTCCGCACGTCGATTGTCCTTGATCTATTCAATAATAATAATATATTAAGCATTTCGATTAATCCAAAGATTTGCAGTGAACTTTTGCTACTGACTTGCTGTTGGACCCGCTTGAACTCCTTGGTTGTGGTTCCAGCTGGCACAAATTGCAACGGATCCTCGATTCGCACCGGCGTCGAGTGGGTGGGCGAACCTTCGGCTACCCACTATTCACGTGCATTTGGTTTTCAAGGGTTTTACGTACGGGCATTTTAAAAGGTCATTCAACGGAGAAAAGCAATTGAAAAGGAAAGAGAAAGAAATTTGTTTTAATTTAGAGTTCATGTTTTGAAATGCAAGTGCTTAAATCTGATAAACTCTATTCATAAATACCCTGCACAATATTTATTAAGTTTACATTTTTGTGATATTTTTGTTTGTTAGTTTCAGCAAAAACACATTTTACAATACAATATGAATGCCCCCTCGGATAATTGCACACAAATGCAAGCAAATGTTAATCAGAGTTGAAACATGTATTATTTTAATGCAAATTATAAATAAATGAAATACAAGCATAAATGACTTTGTGCCTTAAGAAATGTAAGAAAAAAAAAATGAGGACAATTTACAAATAAATTTAAATCATGCAAAGAAAAAGAAATTCGTGTGTGTTCACAATAACAAATTATAATAAAATGATGAAGAAAATTATAAGACATGCGTGACCGATCAATGGATAATTGAACATTTTTTTTAGTGTAAAAAGTTTACACAATCGGAATTAATTTGATTTATCATTTAGCATTATTTAAAATATAACTGCTAGCATTTAATATTTAGTAACAAATGTCTTTCTCTTTCTTTGCATTGTTTTTTTTAAGGCAAATAATAATGGGTATGTCCCTAAAAAGGCACAAAATCATCTATGAGATTTAGTTTTGTATTTCGTATATTTATTTGATTAATGCACAATTACAATTTATAAAGCATTTCATATTATTTTGATTTAGCATTAGTTTCATCGTAATTATATATTTTGTGGCGAATTTGCTGCATTTGGGTTACAAAACATCTGCATCATAATTTGTTTATATGTAAATAAAGTATGTCCGTTTTGTTTCACTTTTAACTTATATTCTATTACTTAATATGCGTGAAATTTAATGAAAGCAAGTGGAAAAGTTAAGAGGCAGAGCTAGTCGATGAGGGCTTTAAATATTTCTATGGATGGCTAATTGGAATGTCTTGGTTTTAATCGAGTTATGAAGGTTTTTGGGATCGTTTAAAACATTTCCCTATTTGTGTATTAGGATACATATTTGCTCGAATTAGTTAATATGAACCTCAACTAATTTCCTTCGATTTCCTTGAGGTTAACAACTTTTTGTGTTTGCTGTTGTGTTGTTTGTTTATCTTCAAATGTTATGATCTCTACCTTTGTGATTTTCTTGGGATCTGGAGTGCCAGTTTCCAGTACCTCGACCTTCTGGTAAACATTGGGCGAATTAAGCCAGCGACTGCGATCGCCGCCCTTGCGCAGATCGCCCTTCTTCCAGATGCTGTGAAAAGTGGAATTATCAGAAAATTTCGTTAAATTATTACTCAAAAAGATTGCATACCCCTGTCTGAAGAGCTCCTCCTCCTCAAGCAGATAGCCTAATGAGGACACAGCTGGTGGCAGTTCTACATCGTTCTTAGGCTTTGGCGGATCCGATTTGATCAGTGGATGGCGGTAAATGTACCCAGTACGATAACCGGCATTGTCGAGCATCCGCATTAGTGCCTCGAACTCCGCACCACCCACACGCCACTTGGGCGGACTGCCTATCTTAGGCGTAGGTTCCTCTTTGCTGGAAGCGGCGCCATCCTCATCAGTTGTGATGGCGGCAAATTTCTTTTCCAAGTCCTCTGGTGGGCGACGCGACTGCTCATAGATAAGCTTGCGCGACTCCTCAGGTATGAGCACAAGGTTGTCAATGCCAACTGGCAGCAGCTTCAGCTGCGTTTCACACGCCTGCACAATGTGACAGGCAGCAAAGAAGGCCTCCTCGATGGTCTCGCCGCAGCACAGGGCGCCATGGTTGGCCAGCAGCATAACCTTAGAGTTGGGACCCAGGTTACGCACCAAACGGTTGCGCTCATCCTCGTCAAACAAACCGGTGTAAACGTGTATGCTGATCTCGCCCAACACGCAGGCATCCTTGGTGAGGGCCAGCAGGCCTGACTTCAGCGAGGAGATGGCCACCACGGGACTGCAGCCAATATAGATGGCGCAACGGATGTCGGGACGCGCTGCATGAACCACCGAATGCAAGACAAAGTCTGTAAGATAATAAAACAATAAGTAAATAATTTTCTCGTTTTTCGAATATTCTGTTTTTTCTTACGGCTCTTGTTCACCCCAAAGTTGGTGGTGCCCTGTTCGACAATCTGGCCCTGCATGTCGACTTTGTTGAGGGACGAGGCGGTGATCTCATGGTACAACAGTCCATACGGATTGACCAAAAAGTACTCCTGATCGACCTTTAGGCGGGCCGTGATCTGTGCGCCCAGACCCTGTGTCCAGCCGTACAGGTCTAGCAGCCGGAATGTGGCAGCAAGTTTGCACCTGAGTATCTTCTCGCCCTTGGCATAGCCCATCGATTCCACGCCGCGTATATCGTTGATAGGCACCATGCAGCTGCTGCTCTTGAACACATTGCTTACTCGGTTAACGGGCACGCCCACAATATCAGACAAGTGCTGCAATATGCCACTGGCACCTGCGCCGCCCTCGCGTGCCGAGTCCACAATGCGCTCCAGTTCCTCACGAAACAGCTTCGATCCCATGATGGCCTCTACACGCTTGCGTCGCTCCATTTCCCGCATGTCCTGCAAGTAGCAAATCGTTGAAATGTGATTTGGATTTTTGTTTCCGTATGTTCAACTGCAGCATACCTGTTCAATGTCCGCGGGACGTGCTTTACTGTTCTCATCTTCCTCACCCGCGGTTGGATCTATGCCGTTTTGTGGCGGTTGCTCTACCTCAGTCATTTTTCAGTTTATTTTTTTTATGTTTTAGTTCAAATGCTAAAAATACACAAAATATGCAAGGCATACAAAAATACACAATTAGTTTTTTTTTTTTAATCTAAATAAAAATAAAATTCTTGTGTATTTTCTTAATATGTATTTGCCAACTGAAAATTTTCAACTGACCTTAAAAAGTGCAGGCCAAAACTTTTGGTTTCCGTTATGAAAAGGGGGTGGCATGCCAACAGCAAAGAAGTGGGAAAAAGCGAGAGAGAGAGCACTTGTGACGCCTGCATAAAACTGCAAGGCGAGGCGCAAATGAACCACCCAACAACATTATTAAACAACCACATCGAGAGAGAGAAACGTGAGAGCGCAGAACGTGAGAGCAAAGGGGAAATACGTATATGTGTGTGTGTACAAATGTCTGCATGCGCTGTGAATGGCAAGAACAAAAAGCACTTGAGACAAAGTTCCGAGAGCCGGTCAGCCTTTCCATTTCGTCTTCTTTATATGAATATTTATATTTTACAACCAGACAAAAAATTCTTATTTTGGTTGAAATTTAATTTCGGTTTCTTGACAGTTGCAAAGTAAAAAAAAATTATTAGAAAAGTATGTTGCCCTTTTTCACTGGGGTTTAGAGCGCAGTGAAGCGAGCTGTTGCCCACGAGAGTGTGAAAACAAACGTGCGGCAACAGATATGGAAAAACTATTTTAAGATCATTTGCTTTTATTTAGATATGCATGTATTTGGCTTTTAACGAATTTAAATTGATGCCTAAAAACAAAATGAAGAAAGTGGCAGTAAACACACATACACACGCACACACAGACCTATTCACACAGACAAAACACAAATAAATGACAGACCGCATCTCAAGCGTAAAAGACGGGCGAATGCAGCGACAACGACGTCGACGTCGACGCCGCTGCGCCACTTAAAACAAATAAACAACAACTACAGAGAAAAAATGCGTTGCTCGTTTAATTTTAGGCGTGGTGGTTTGAATGGTATTAACCTTCAATTTGGATTCCGTTGTCTTTTCTTCTTCTTTGAATGTGCGTGCAAAATGCAGGCTATTATAATGTACGTAGATGAATGCGGTTAACAAAAAAAAACTCGTAAATATGTCGGCAATCAAGAGAGTTAATCAAATAATAAATATACAAATATCAACGATTCACAGCACACAGCCTTGCCATATCATTTGAAAGCATATTTTCTACTCAACAAACGGCAATTTAAGGAAGAGCCCACAAATACGCGAGTACGCGACAATCGAAACTTTTGCAACACTGTACAACAACAGTTGCACAGTGCAAAAGAAAGTGTGCCGCCTACATATCTACATCGGCTGCTTTGAACTTAGCTTATTTGTATTATTAATATGGGGAAACGAGCAAAAACAAAAAAAAAAGAACCCGTTGCTCATTGTTATTATTGGCTTGACAATTGCACATCGAGCATGCAAATTGTGCATATTTAAAGTGCATTTAAGTGTTGTTGTTATTTTGTTTTTTCTGCTGTCTTTGCTAATTACGACGAATGTGTGTATGTGTGTGTGTGTGTGTGCTGCTTATGGCTGAGTGAACGTGTGCCGCACATTTTGAGTGACAGCCTTAAACGAGAAGGAGCAACAACAACAACGTCAGCGTTGCCAGGTAATTGAACCTTTGCTCTGTGCGTGGGCGACGACAGAGAACTTTGGATCAAATCAAAGAGAATAATTTTTGAAAATAAACGTTTTTCAAGTGCCCAGTTTGAGTGGGCAGCGAGCAATAAACTTAACGAGCCATCGCTAACGCGTAGGAGTTTTGCGCATCTACCAGTGTTGCCCTACAGTCGAAATTATGTGTAGGTGTTACTGCTGTTGTAGGTGTAGGTGTTGCTGTAGGCCTGTCTGTTGATTAAGGCGAATCTGCAAATGCATCCTCTGTTGTTCTGTGTGTAGAGTCACGCACTGCTACCGATTGAACATGTTATTTTATGGACACACTGGTTCTCATTTATAGCTAACAGTGCCAGGTCATCGACAAATTAAAAGTGTAACCATACTTAGTTGCCAATTGGCAGCTCGGTTTATTGACCTTTCGCCAATGCCAGCGCTGCATGCAATGTCTAATCGGATTTCAATGGCCCGCAAAGACACACACACACACACACACACACACACATACAAATCTAATTAACTTATCATGTGATGCGACAAAGTGAGGTAATAGAGCGCCGGTGTCGTTGTCTGTGCCTGTGAAGTAAGAACGATGACAATTGTTGCGACTCGCGTGGCAAGCTTCGTCTTTTGGTTGACCTTTTTGCACGGAAACATCAATTGAATTTAGGCGAGGCTGACGCCAACATTTCTGTCGGCTGTTGACATTATGCAATTACATCACACACGAGACACGCCCATTATTTAAATGCTGTAGAATTGCGCTTTATTATTGGGTGTGAACATTGCGTGGCACACAAATGTGACAAATTAGCCATGTCATACATCTTACCCCAACAGATCAGAATGTTGGCAACAAGTTGTACGACAACCTTTCAGCATGTAAACCTGATTTTATCGAACCGACGTGAACAAAACACATATAAAACTTTAACTAATTTTGAATGAATAAAAATGTGTAAACCAAATGGTCTAATTTATTAATAGAACAGTTCAATTTTGTTGTAAGAAAGTTCAGTAATCAAAGAAGTTCGACGCCAAACATGGTTCACGAATCGAACTTTCAGTCGAAGTATCAGTTCGAACACCGAAAAGAACCTCAAACAGCTGCTTCAGCAAGTGCTAAGTTTCTCTTTGAAGGTTCAAATTATGCTCTTAATCCATTCATTTGGTTAATTATCATATGCACACACATGAGGGCGGCCAATTAACCCCAGAGCAGACACCCTCTATTTAATTTTTACACTTGCGCTGGCGTTAATTAAATTGCTCAAGTATTCACTTATCGTTGCTGGAGAAATCTTACGTAATATTTCTAAAAAGCAGAGCACAAACGCAGCAATAAGGTCAGCATCATCTCAAACATCATCAATGAATCCATTCAGCGTTCATAATGCATAAAGTCACTCAGTCAGTGGGACACTCAACGCCTCTGACAGATCGTTCAGTTTTCTGGAGCAAATATGTGCAAGTACACGACAAACAACAAATAACAATAAATACATAAATACAGAAAAAAAAGTGCAATAAACTTTACGAGCAGTGCGTCAAGTGTAAATAATCATCATTTGCAGCTGTCAGAGATAATCATTGCGAAGCGAACAAAAACATGAAATATTGTGCATTCATTCATTTCACTGTAATGCAAATAAGTCTAAGCTTTGCTTTAGGTTGATTTAGTTTTAGTTGATGGGGCAACAATTAATATGAATAGAAGTTAATATTGGAAGGTTGTCGCCGGAATGTTAATTCTAAAAAAAAAAAACAAATCCAATAGTTTAGTTGATTTCAGCATCATATCGTGTGTTCAGTTGACAGATTAACCTTATTCCATATGAACAATAATATAATAAAAATTTAAAATTAAAAAAAAATAAATAAATAACCATGCTAATTCGTTTTACTTTAATTGCCCTCTAAATATTTTTACTGGTTATGAAGTAAATACATTCTTAAATGTAAAGCCTAGACGAATCGGAACTGCCTTAAGTCTATAATAGAATGTTGTATAACTCTGACGCTGCTCTCCATTTAATAGACGAACAACGTAAAAAAATATACATCCAGTTTTATATACGAAAACATTGTCAGCAAAAATTGCACTTGTATTTTCACAAAATTTGCAGTAGAGCGTTTCGTGAAATACTGAACGTAAAATTAATTAATTTGAATGGCAATTGATTCTCAAGCTGTCGTAATATGTACATATAGCCAAGCTAAAGCCTAGTCCGATCGTAACTGCCTAAACAAAATGCTCTTTAAAGTCAGTAACAAATGTTGTATAACTCTGACGCTGCTCTCCATTCAAAAGACGAACAACGTAAAAAAATATACATTACATTTTATCTACGAAAACATTGTCAGCAAAAATTGTAGTTATATTTTCACAAAATTTGCAGTAGAGCGTTTCGTTAAATAATATTTTATTTAATTAAATATTAATCCTAACTAATCTCACATTGTTAAAAAAAATGTCATCGCTAAGATACATTCAGCCAGAGTTACAACTTAAAACAGCTATTACATTTAAGTAAAATGTTAATGTAACCAAATTCATATAAATTTGTAATTTAAAATTTTTGTTTTTTATTTCTATCTCGTTCGTCAATTATTCCCTTTTCTTAGTCGAAAGTTAAACACCACATCCGAATATGTGTATGTAACATAAATAATCAAACAACCGAAAACCAATGTGAACAATGTTGCTGCAAAGCATATAACATGCTTTAGACAGGCCACTTCCACAAGCAGTCGTGGCCGAGTGGTTAAGGCGTCTGACTCGAAATCAGATTCCCTCTGGGAGCGTAGGTTCGAATCCTACCGGCTGCGAAAGATAAATTCTTTATTTTTATGTTTTCTACAGAAAACATATTTAAAAATTATTTTACATATAATGAACTGTTTGAGTTCTAAGTTATAATTTTATTTTGCATTTACTTAAGCAGCTTCTCTGGTTACACAGCCTACACAAAGCAACTGCTTGGTTTTAAATCATGCATGATTCAACTGTTTCCGTGGTGTAGCGGTTATCACATCTGCCTAACACGCAGAAGGCCCCCGGTTCGATCCCGGGCGGAAACATGTCGAATTTTTTGTTATTTCAAAATAGTACAACGTGCATGAATGCACCTCCTTTGAATAAATATTGGGGCAACTGAATATATTGAAGAACAATTAAATAAGAATCACGTACTTCTTTTTATTGAATTTTTCTTTAAAATTGTGCTGATTTCAAGGGAAAAGTGACGTACTAACAGAAAAAAAAAAAAATCATTCTTAAGGGGGGAAAAAACGAACACTGCAGTTAAACTGAAGAAGAAAGGTGTAAAAGTGCACTCAACTTTAATTTTTTTCATTGAAACTAGAATTTCCATACAAAAATTAACATAATTGGACAGCTATATTTAATATGCATTTAACTATTAAGACAGTTAAGCACATAATACTCTTTTAAATAAATAAATTGTTATAAGTTGTAATAAAGCTATGGATTTAAAAATAATAATTTAACAGTTCGAAATACAATTAAAGCATAGAATAGATATTATTTCTTAATAAAAAAAGATACCAAAATTAATTCAACAGCAATATGTTAACGTCAAGATGCTTCCAAATTTAAAAAATTAAAATTTTAATTTCTTTATAGTAACAAAATATATTGGTCTATTTTCATTCTTAAATATGTGTATCGCATTTGGCGAGCACACGTTCAACTGTTTCCGTGGTGTAGCGGTTATCACATCTGCCTAACACGCAGAAGGCCCCCGGTTCGATCCCGGGCGGAAACATGTGAATTTTTTATATTTTTTAAAAAAGAAAAAGAGCTTACTTTTATGCTACTATGATCTCGAAATCAAAGCTGTTCGTGCGGAAGGTTATCGAATGTAAAATAAACAACGGACTTTATGACTTCAGTTGTGGCCGTGTTCGGAATTATTAATGGCGAATTTTTAGCGGATTTGTTATTTTACAGTATTTTTCTGTCTGCTCTATATTCTCAGCACAACTTGCTAATTTTGTTTGTTTTGCTAAATAGCTGACTCTTTCATTGTCCTCTGCTCTTGGAAGAGTCGCGTGCAAGTCGCGTGGCTTGAATTACAATATAAAAATCCCACAGAGGTCTTCCCTGAAGAAGTTGGCGCCGTTGCATGACGCCAAAGATTACCCGAGCTCTGACAAATGGAATGATTTAAGTGAAGTATATATATACATATATATAAGACAGGCATGAGAGCCAGACAAGTGGACAGACAACAACACACTTGGCGTGAGTATGACTACAAACAATTCACTTCACTGTTCAATGTTTACATGGATGCTCGTTTGCTTGCTTTATAATTGTTTATTTTGTATACTCGTCCGCAAAGTGAAGAGTATATTGATATTGTAAAATTTCCGCATTTCTTTGACGCTATCTTCCAAAGTTTTCGAAAAGGAGCATATGCATGTAAAAGGCCGAAGCTCGTAAAGTACATATATTCTTGTTCAGAACGACGAGCTGAGTTAGTCTGATTTTAAAAGAAGCGATAAATACCGATTTCGATATATGTATTATGAGTACCCCCATTCCCCTCAAATTGAGAAAACAAAAACGTGTTTTTGAATATGTGTGAGCTAGAATGATTGCAACGAAAACTTGTTGATGCGTACAGGGTATCTCTCAATCGAGCATTCCCGACTAGAGCACTCGTGTTACTCATTGAGACACATGATTTCTCAATGGACACATGCAACGGCTGTTGAATGTTGTATGTTGTCACCGCCCCGACAACAAATCTTGACTCACTTGGAAAACAGCCAATAAATATACAAATGTATCTATACATAAGTATAAATGAATATTATAAATGCACTCGTGTGCGTATTGCCCAATTGACAAATTTACAGAGTGCTGCTTTATATATATCAAATAATCAAATCAATAACAAAATTTCTCGAAATGATTCTAATTATAAACACAAGAAGACAAACATTAATCAAATGGAGAATTGGATAATATGAATATGAGATACATTAGATTTCTTACAGAGTCGAAAACTATAGAATTTGCAGCAAGCAAGTATTGAAGCACATAAAATGCCAGAAAAAACTGAATTGTTTATTGATAAAACAAACATAGTTTGTTCTCAATTATAGTAAAAACTATTTTATCTGACGGATGCACCTGCATTGAGCGCCCATTAAAGTTCCATTTAGGCCTGCAAATTGTCGTCTAATTACTGCCGCTAAGGACATGGCCGGGTCGCACTTGCCCATGCCCATTGATTATCTGAGTTTGTAACTAGCTGAAAACACGCATTTCCATTGACACATGTGTGCCGAAGTTGACGGCAATCGCGTGTTGCCAGGCATCGCCGCAAGTTCAACGACACGGGCCCGGCCCGGCCCGGGGGCAAACAACCCCCAAGTAAACAATCCAATGCCCCCGCCCTCTCTGGCAGCTCCTTGTGCGAAATACCTGCCACACCCGCCCACTTTTTATGTGTGTGTGTGTGTGTGTGTGTCGTCCTATTTGTTTTTTGCCGGCATTCGTCAGAATTGGTCGCCGGCTGCCATTATGAAATTTGTTGCCGGCGCCAAACGCCAAATCATAGAAATGTGGCGCCAGTTTTCACTGAGCACGAGGGAGAGGGGTTCAAGGGGAAGCACACGCGACTCGTAAAAATATCCTTTGGGGGTGTTGGGTTGCGTTCCTTCTGACTTAATGACAGGAAGTGACGTCAGCGCTCTAGAGGGTAACATTTTTATTTGCCGCTTTAAGTGCTTAGTGTTTTATTTTATTTGGGGGTGTGTGTGTGAGTAGAGTGTGGGGTGGTTGGCATGATGTCATACTTTAGAAATATGTATTAGGGGTCATTGACAGATCGCATGCTAAGCAGCACGAGAAGCCGTACAAAGTTGTACAACCAATATGAATGTTAACAAAGTTCCTTAAATGCATATAGCTGGCATACGAATTATGATATAATAATAGTGCTTAATAAACAGATATAAATAATAAATGTTTCTGCTTTCTCCAATAAACTCAACCATGCAGTACTTTAGAGCACAACTTTTTATTAGCTGCCCAGAGGAAAAACCGTAATGGCAATGTATGATAATAAAATCAAATAGAACCAGCAAAGTTTGTCTGGTTCAATGACCCATTTACTACTCAGCTGGCCTGGCCTGGATGGACTTGGGCCAAATGCGCACAAGCGCGAGTCAACTTTCAAGTTGAACGAGAACGAGAAATAAAAAATACAAATACTTCATCAGCGTCTTTGTAGTTTCTCCATCTCTCTCTCTCTCTCTCTCTATCTTTCTCTCTCTTTCATCTTTGCCCCGTCGTGGCATATTGCAATTCACATGGTAATTGAAAAAATTGGATTTTATTTCTGATTTCATTCAATATCAAGCAGAAAGAACGAGTTTTGAAAATAAACTAGTTCTTTGAACAAGTTTGAAAATAGATTTTGAACCAAATTGAATGAAAATTCCATCAATAATTTTATTGGTTGAAAAAACCGACATTTAACTTGGGTTTGATGCACTTTTTTTTTAATCTATTATTCTGTGATAGAAAAATATGAATCTTTGCCAAAAATTAGTTTAATATTAAACTATTTACCATGCTGAACATAAGACTGACCGTTTAATACCAAAGGTCAAGTCTAATTGAATTAAATACTTTGCAACAAATGAAAGTGAAATGAATTCCGAAAAAAATACGACAGTAACCGGAATGTGGCGCGCTTGAATAAATTATAAATGTTTGTAAATAGATATTTGCAAAGAACAACAATAGTGAAAAAGGAAAATAAAAACTTGTTTTGACTGAGTGACATCATTTGCTGTCTACCGCAAGTTAATTATGATTTAAAAGTCGCAGATGGAGAGTAAAAACTTGGAGTCATTTCAGCTCAAGCAAGAAATAAACTACGGATGACACATAACACTTAGTTCTGGCAAACACGACTTAATTATGGCAATTATGGCGTAAGTTCGAAGCTCAAAAAAGCATCAAGATTGTGAGCGCAGCTTAAGGTGTGGTAATAAATCGCTCGCTCGCTCTCTCTCTCTCTCTCTCCCTCTGCCTCTCTCTGCCTCTCTTTTTCTCACACTTCGCCGTTTCGCAGTTTTCGTATTCATCATGTGATGCAAGACAAATGTCAACACAAAAACGATAGTAAGACAGAATGTAATCAAGCAAATGAGAGAGAGAGAGCGCGAGAGCGGGAGAGCGAGTGTAGAGATTGATGGCACATCATTCACAATAATCATTGCATATTTTGAAATGTAAACCTCGCACGCAGATAAACATGAAGTCAACTTGTCGTTGCTTCTTCTTCTTCTTCTTCTTCAGCTGCTTGGAACGTTTGTTTACTTTCCACTTGACTTACAGTTATCGATTGGAAGGGCGTCTACGACTCGGACAGAAAATAGAAAACAACTCACCTTAAAACCGAAATTGTTGCGCTTTTAATATTTTTTGTGATTTCTATGCGCCTGCAAATGTATAGAGAAAACACAAAATAAATAAGAGAGCAGCAGAAAAAAGAAAACTATATCAGCATGTAATTTACAAAAGTTCAATGGGCCGACAAATATTCCAACATTTTTATGGCCCTTGTCGCCACAGACTCTGACCACAAAATGCAGTTACGTATTTATATATTTTCCATCCAGCGCATTTAAAAACATACAAAAAAAAAACAAAAAAAAAATGAAGTCTAGGCAAAAAGTAAAATAGAAAATTATTGATGCCGGCCGCGCTGCGCCGAATGATGTCATGCGAATATTTTTAGCTAGCGCGCGTTCAAATATGTTTGTATTCCCCCGCCCGTTTCATGTGTGTACACACTGGCACACACACACACGCTCGCCGAGGGGGCGTGTGCGAGCACGAGTAAGGCAAACAAACTCGACGTTGTTGTTGTTGTTGTCAGGCTCGCAATTCGACCGTTTTTACAGGTGCCTTTATTGCATTATATATGGTTTATTGAAACAACAACAACAAAAAAGTCTGTATAATTTCATGGTACACTTTCTACGTATTTGCATATTAATTACAACATAATGAGCCGATTATTTGTAGGTTCGTGTTAGCTAATAAATAATATTAAAACAATCTTTATCATGACCTCAAAGTTGAAATAATTGCATAATAACAGATTAAAGAAATGACTTTCATTTTAATCAGTTACAATTTTCGGCTTATCACATCTTATCACGATCGCAATAGTTGCTTTACTACACTTTTTCTTTCTGTGTAGATTAGGGCACACTTGTGTTCGGTATCATAAACTATGAGACGAATTGAATTTTATGGAAATTTGCAACAATTGAAAAAGTTCTAAATGATTTCTATTAGATTTAACAGAAATTTGTCTCCAATTTTATATTTATGTATATTGATTTTTGTGAGTGCAACAACAACAGCAACAGAAATTGTTTGCAGTGTATGCGTTTCCGATTAACAACGCATTCGTGATGTGGACACACTGCTCGCCACAAAAACGCACGGAGAACAGAAATGTTAGTTATAATTTGTTACCTATAACAATAATGCGCGTGTGTTGCATGCAACGCAGCTGCTGCTACTGGTGTTAATTTACAATTTCATTTCGAGTCGAAACATGCAAACAAACTATTATTATTATGCGACGTCGAAATGTCTGCCACGAGTTGACTGAAGACTCGTTGGTTTTGGCTTTGGTTTCGGTTTCGGTTATGGTCTTTGCGAGGAAGATATAACAGTTATTATGTAAGCCCCATCGGAGTCGAGTTGTAGCTTTCGTGTGCTTCACATTTTGCTGCATACATTAATCTCTATGCTGCAATATGTTTGGCCAAGTCTTGCGGCCCATTGTTATTGGATTGACTTTTTATTAAGCCGTCGCGTTTGCAGCTCTTTTGTCCAATTACTTTTGGCCCAAAGCTGAAACGTTTTTTTATCTTCCTTTTTTGTCAGTTTATGCTTTAATAAAACAATATGCATAGCTGACCTTTGTACAGCTAAGACCCAAACCAGTCGACGAGCCGGTTCAAGTCGCGCTTTTTGTCTATGCCCCGAGCCGAAACCAACTTTGTTTCAACAAAATTAAATTCGAATTTAATGGAAAGCAAAAAAAAACATTTGGCACACTTACAAATGTTATTAATTCAATTAAATTATTGAATAAAATTTGATTTGAATGACGTCAAGTTATTTTTTTTTTCAGTATAACAGAAAATTGAACTAGCTTTCCGACAGAATTAAGAAAAATGTCAAAATCTGCAAATTGCAAGAAATATTTTAAAGCGATTACTTTTAGAATGAAATTTTATTTACAGCTTTATATTAATATAATAGAAAATAATATCAAAAACGAGAAACTGCATTTAAGGCAAGCGTGCTAGAACAATTTTGTAGAGAATAGTTTAAATTAATCAAATTCGAATATTTTTCTTCGATAAATAATATCACATAAAGAAGCTTGTTTATAAGCATTTCTATTTTCGATCCTAGTTGACATTTCCGTATATATTTCTATATTTATTTTAATTAAATAGAATGTTTAATTTAATCAAATGTGAGATACCCCAGTTTGAGTTCAACGACGTTGAAGTCCAAGTTCACGTACCGAATATTGGTTCAAGCCGTGATTCAATTGATATTTGTGCATTTTACAACACTGGCAATGGTTAGAGCAGGGCCACACAATGCGATGATTACACAATTTTGTGTTTACTTTCAAATTACATTAATCGCAAGCCAATTTGTTCAAATTACCCACATTTTCCCACGCCCACACAGAACTAATGAAACGAAATTAACCCAAATAACCCAATAGAAATTTAGTTCATTCAGCGAAAGACAAAAGAAGTTAACAACATTCTTATGCCTCTATTTTCAAGACAGTTTCAATTGCCGATGCCCCGGCAGAAGCTGAGATGCAACAACAACAACACGCTTGCATCTTTCCCTTTTTTTTGTTTTAAGCTTTTTTTGTGGCAATTGTCTACTTTTTTTGTTCTTTCCACTCTGCCTACTCTGTTCTCGCTCACTCTCTCTCTTTCCCTCCACCTCTCTCCCTCCTCTCTCCACTTGGGTATGTATAATTAACAGCATTGTTGTCGTGCCTGAGCTTTTGCAGGCGTTGCTGCTGTCCGTATGTCTGTCTGTCTTTCTGTCTGTCTCTCTCTCTGTATGTCTGTCTCTCTGTCTGTCTGTCTGTCTGTCTGTCTGTCTGTGTTGTCCTCTGTCCCCTCATATTGGGCTTTGCTTCGCTTGAGCCTTCTTGATTTTTCTTACAAGATTTATGGTGAAGCTGCTGCAGCAGAGTTTGTTGTTTTTGTTGTTGTTGTTTTCGTTGCGCCTGCAACTGTACATTTGTCCGTTGTCTCTGTGTTGTTACTGTAGCTGTTATTATTGATGAACCGCAGTTGTTTAGCCAGCAGCAGCATCTCTTTTTTAATCTTACTTATGTAGGTTTAGTTGTCTGTGTCTGTTCGTGTGTGTGTGTGTGTTTGTTTGAAGCTTGGCACGTACGCTGCTTTATTTATGCATTTCTCTCCCTCTCTCTCTCTCTCACTCTCCCCCTTTTGCAATGTGTCTGGATGACGCGGCTTGTCAATTGCCTAAAGGCAAAGACGAGTTTACCTCTCTTTTATGCTTTCTTCTTTGCTTTGTTGTTTTTAGAAAGATGGCCTGGTGTTAGGGAGGGCGGCAACAGCGTTGCCAGACCGTGATTGCAGCAAACGAACGGTTCAATTAATCAAAACGAACGTCACAATTATGCAGTTAATCTCTAAATATTTTATAACAATTAATCACGGCCTGAAACTGACGTCAGTCAATGGGAAATTCGATAAGCAGCACGCTTGAGTAAACAATTTTCAGCTAATGCATTTGTGCATTGTGCAAGACAAACAATAAAGATCAGTTATATATATATTTTGAATGCAACGAATATTTCTTATCAAGTGAGTCATGTATTACCTCTGCTTATTGCTGCTGCTCACAGTTCTTATTGTTTCTATATATGTAAATATATCATCCAGTTTCTATTCTACTTCCGTCACATGCAAAGACAACAACAACAACAACAAAAAAAAGTGAAACTAACGTGTATATCTCATTCAAACATTTGTCGCTGGGTTTTCTAGGTTGCCCAACAATTGTTTACAGTTTTAACTATGCACTTCCTCCCACACACACACACTCACACACATATACTGGTTAACGTAGCATAGCTCTTTCTCTTTCCTTCATTCATTCAACACATTGATTTGTCAACTTGAACTAACTGTTGTAGCGAAATATGACAATGTATATTCTTCTTTTTTTTTGTCGTTTGCTTTCGTGTGCTATTCTCTCACCCACCCAAAAGCGTCACGAGTAGCTTTTGTTTCCACCTGTTGACGAAAATTGTTGCAGTACATTTCATAGTCTCTTTATAGTCCGCCTATTCAACAACTGAATCACTTTTTGCGACTGCAGTTCACTTCAAAAGAGGGGAGCAACAAATCTAAAAACATAAATACACACAAGGCACAGAATTGAATCAAATTATAAAGCTCATCAAGTCAGCTTGTGTGTGTGTTGTGTGTGTGTGAGCGCGCGCTCGTTTGTATGTGTTTTTATGTATGAATAGGAAGCGCAAATTCGAATTAGCAACAAAAGGCAGCAAATTTCATTAGAGAATGCGCACGATGACGTCATTGCAAACTTTAATACCTGACTTTTATCATGCGAAATTGTTTGATTATATTTATTATATCACCTTGATAGGGCCGGTAACAAGGCAAGAGAAACCAAGCTATTGGAACAACAAATTAAAATGCAAATAATACGTAATATTTGTTGTAACTCTCTCTCTCTCTTTCCCTCTGCTGGAATGGTCGCCATAATACTTATAATTAGGTCAACATAACTGTCGAAAGAGCAAAAAACTTGTAAATTCAATTATAAATGTTTTCGACTCACATCTAACTAGATAACTTAACGAAACGCAAGTTCCGATTAGATTGTGGCAAAAGTGTAGAAAAGAGTATAAGACTAGAATTTGGCTACACTGGTAGAAACACAGCTGTTTTTATCGGTTAACCGATAACCGATTGAGTCGCTTATGGTTGCCAAAGTGCATAACGGGCGTCTAAACATAAACTGGCACACGACACGCCGCGACTCTCGCCCCTGTTGTAGCAACACGGTTCTAGTCTGTCATTCTTCAATAAACAAGTTTTCGATATTTACAAATCTGTTTATCACTTGTTTTGCACAAAAAAAACAAAAACAAATCTCAAATAACTAGGTTTTTCGCCAAATCGAATGCAAAAGGCAAAGCAGCAAAACAGAAACCTGCAAAGAAACTGAAAAAGTAGGTCATAGTCGAGACTGCGAAACTTGTAAACAGATGCGCCTCAGCAGCGGCAATTTATCGGCAAAATGCATTAGACACGCGTAAGCGTAAATATTTGCAAGTAGTTGTGTGCGTGTGCGTGTGTGTGTGTTTGTGCTGAGTGTACACTGATAAAGCAGGCAGTTTAAAACAGAAAGCAGAAACCAGTATGCTGACATGTGTCAGACATGAATAGAAAGCTAAACACATACACACATACAAAGATCTCGCCCAAGCGCCCACCCACCCAATGCAAAAGAGAGCGAGAGAGAAGTCAAAAGTTCTTAATATGACTAGTCAAAGAAAATACAAAAATCTGTTGCCCTGCGGTAAGAGCGAATATTGATCGCAAAGCGTAACACAAAAAATACACTCTCCTCCGGAATGTGCTTGACCAATCCCAAAAAAAATATATATATGTATATATGAAAATTGTTGGTGCGAGTTAAAAGATGGCGTCACCGGTCAAACGGCAACCACGCATAACAGTAAACAGCGCGCAATGTCTACACATTTTCACTCAAAAAAAAAAAATCGACCAAGAGTACATAATACAATTAATATCACACAAACATGCATACGAATCTAATAAATTATATGAAGGTAGACGGGCTCGCACTCACAGTGTATGGTTCTGCTTCTTCCAACTTTGACGTAGTCCTCGTTGTCTCTTTTCGCTTTTTCGTTCTTATTGCGTGCTGCTGGGACGTCGTTTACACAAACACAGACACAAGTTCGTCGAAACAGACAAGCACACGCGTTCGGTTTTCGGCTGCTTTACGACGTACATGTATGGTAAATAAACGGGAGGGGAAAAATAAATTTATGAAATAAATTTAAATTTAAATTTATTTATATTGCAATGATCGTGAATTGCACTGGAACAATTTGTAGCATTTAATATCGCAAGCACTTTGGGCTATTAGTGACAAGGGCACAGCTCGCTTTATAACGGCGTTTCTAGAGATGGCGGGTCCAACTAACGGCACTTGCACAGCACAACACGTTTACCCTTAATATTCGCAAATCGCTTTAACCGCACAATCGACGCGTAACCAACTTTAATTAGCTTAAGCTGTCTATATATATAATTTTAAACAAACACCGCCATTTAATATTTAATTTTATTATATTCTTATTTCTGTAACGCACACGTCTGTCGTTCACGAGCACACGTTAACAACAAAACGAAGAGCGAGAGAGCGCTCCGACTGGAAGCGGTCACCAAGCGCAGTGTTGGGAAACGACAAGTGGGCGTAGCGATTAATAAATGTCAAAAATGATGCATACTTGAACAAGCAATTTATTTATTTTCGGCATACAAAATAAACCAAAAATAATAATATGTATTCATGTTTATGTTGTTCAATAAACCATCAATACAATTTGACTTTTTGTTGTTTCTATAATCAACAGCAAATACAATTTTCGTTTTGTGCAAGAGCGCGCGAGCGAGACAACTATAGAGTTTCTGGTGCTCTCTGGAAAATGACCGCAAAGCGGTCTGGAAATCGTATCATCCTGCAACGCCCAAATCAAAAGGGAATATTTGTGTGTATGTGTGTATGTTGGTAAGAACGAATGTGGCGATCAAAGCATGCGGGAAAAAACAGCGCCGTTCACGTACATGAAATGCAAAAGGAATTGTCAAGTCCTGACGCGCTGACCACAAAAAATGCGACACTTTTAAGTATTCGGTTGAGCATTGAAAAAAACTATGTCAATTAAGCCAACCACATATGCATATGTGCGTCGATTATGTCATATTATTTATTCGAATACACAGGCACACACGCGCACACAAACGGTATTAACACTTTGGCGGCGTCTTCGTCACCGGCATGCCGTGAAAAAATCGATTAGTGCGTTTCGACTGCGCTGATTTAATAAAACACAGTTTGGGCCCGTAAAGCTGGCGCTCGAATTGCTATGGCTCATTTGGCGATTAATTACAAATTGTATTAAATTATGAACAGTCTTACTTTTTAAATGCAAAAATTACAGTGAAAATCACAGCGCGACGTGCGTACGTTTCGCTTCGGCTTCGTTTCTGAATGACAATGTGACCAGATGTATTAACTCCAAAATGCATTAAAAATGCCAGCAATCTATCGATAAGCAAGACTATCGTAGTGCCAGCTATTGTGAAGATTTTATGTTTTGCTAATTTCAACGAGATTGCAAATATAAAAAAGCACACTTATTAACTGCGCATAAACAATCTGATCTAAAACTTACCGAAATGTACATTTAAATCATATATCACGTAGCGCCATCTATTAAACATTGGCGGCACTAGAAAAATACATTTTTGGAGCGCAGCCAACTTCACGCAAGTCATTTACCAGCTGACAAATTACGCGCGTTTTTTAAGTGGCATTAAATTGTGTGTTAAATTCGTTTTATTATATCATTTTAAAAGTTAAAATATATAAAGAGTATCAGAAAGAAAATTAGCTTAGAAAATTCAAGGGCTTTTATAGGGAAAACTCAGTTAATTCATTGTTCTTATTCTGAATAAATATTAGCTTTGAAAAATATCCTATTTGAGGGTAAAACTTTTTGATTTTGTCAATATTTGGGTTTTATTTGTTTATTACTGGATTATTGACGCAAACCCAGGTACAATACTAATTTGTTGTGTATAAATATAATTATATTAGAAATGTGCTCAGTTTTTATAGGACGAAATCTAGAAAACGCAATCAATTCGACAATAGAATTGAAGTTCAATGGAAATAAGCTTTTAGAGTACCGAATTGGAAACGGACTCGATGGTCTCGAAGGCGGTCGAGATGTCCGCATCCTCCAGTAAGCGATTGACGGCGATGCGAAGACTGGGACGTATCGGCTGACGCTCTCGGTTCTGCAAGTAGGCGGCTGGCACGACGGCCACGCCTCGTTCAATACACTGCAAAGAAAAAACAAACAAGGAATGAGAGGTTGAAAGATTAGGAATGCTATTGGTACCTTGTCCGCCACCTGGGTGAGCAGCTTGCTCTCCGCCTCGAAGCTGTCGCGCTTCTCGCTCAAGTACAAGTGCTTGACGGGAGACAAGGCGTCGCCGCCCAGCTTTAATTTGGAGAACTGCTCGAACTGGCTGTGCACCTGGCGCGATTTCTGCTGCAGCTGCTCAAAGATGTGCGGCTCGCGTTCGAAGCGATCCAGTGAGCAAATCGCCGCCTGCGTCAGCATGGGCGGCAGCGAGGCGGAGAATATGTAGCCCAGCCCGGACAGCCGCTGGTGCTCGGCTATGAAATGCGAGCCCACGCAAAAGCCCCCAATGGTGGCCATGGCGCCCTCCATGCCCGCCGATATCAAATCAATCTCGTCGCGCTACAAGAATCAACGGTAATAAGAGTGTATGGCCGAATAGTTGGACACACTTACGCAGACATCAAAGTGTTCGGTGAGGCCGCGACCCGTGCGGCCCAGGGTGCCGAAGGAGACGCTCTCGTCCAAAAAGAGGCGCAGCTTGTACTTCTTGCGCAGCTCGACCAGTTCCGGCAACGGGCACAGCTCGCCCGTATTCATGTAGATGCCCTCAGCAACGAGAAAGCGACGCGTCTTTTGTGCCTTCTTTGGGTTCTTCAGATCCCGCTTCTCCTGCTCCAACAGCAGGCGCTCCAGATCCTTGGCATCATTGTGCTTGAAATAGACAATGCTGCTGCGCGACGCATCCAGGCCCTTTTGTATGGCAAAATTGACGGCCTCATCCCTGCAAAAGTGGTTACATATCAATTAGATTTCCATTTCCAGTTGTGGATCTCCTATTCTTACACAAAGACAATGTCGCCACGCTTGGCGTAGGCGGGTATTGCGCTGGCCACTGTCGAGAAGCCGTAGGAGTACACGATTGCCTCCTCCAGGTTCATGAACTTTGCCAAACGATCCTCCAGGTCCAAATGCACATCCATGGTGCCATAAAAGCCGCGCGGACCGCACGAACCGACACCATATTTGCGCAGGCACTTGCACGCCTCCTCCAAGATGTCGTTGTCCTCGAGAAATCCCAAATAGTTGTGCGAGCCCAGGTTCAGGCAATCGTGTCCATCGACCACAATACGCTTGCCCACCCTCGACTGGACGAGACGTGTGCGCAGCAACGGATGATCTGGATCCGTGTCGGCCACCAACGATTCCGGTTCATACTGTTCAATCAAATAGTCCTGCTGCTCCTTCGTGAGCCGGCGACCGCCTCGTCTGTGCAGCAGCAGCCATATGACTGTGATCAGCAGCAACGTTTGCAGCACAAGCGCAAAGGTCGGCGTCTGCAGCAAATGCACGCATTTAATATATATTACATATTTATTTATAGATTTATATCAATTACACACTCACATTGCGAAAGATGCTGCCGATTTCGTTAAATAGTTGTATGCCCAACATTTTGATACGTCTCTAGCCGCTGCCAGTGGGAAAAATCAATTAAATAAAAAGTCACGCCGTTTGTGTTGTTGCTGCATGCGTCATTCGAACTGTTCTTATCAGATTTGCATGTGTATCACATACCTTACAGGTGAATAGACACGCGTATTTATCGGCTCTGCTGGCCTGCAGATAAAGACCGACACACTTTAAAGGGCGTGCGTTTCTTTTTTTTTTTTATGTTTATGAAATATGTAATAGATTGCGGGTGGGTCGCCTATCGATGCTTATCGATTAGAGCTCGTTAAGGCGCTGCTCGATCTTCGATAACTATCGCACTCAATAAACACGATCACACTGATCGAGCGCCGGTAGTTACCGAAACAACGCATTAGGGGTATGCCATCTATAAAGACTGGCAAAAAAATCATTATTAAATTAAAATTAAAAATATAATAAATAAAATGGTCACTTGGGAAACCCAGCTCTGTTTTAGACATTAGGTTTTTATCTTTTAACTGTAACATGTGCATTAGAGTGCGAAACGTAACAAATGTGCTCGGAACGACACCCCCGTCGTGACACGACTTTATGCGATGAATTAGGAATTGTAAACATATTTCCATGAAGATTTGTATTTCTTAAGCTGTGACAAACTGTATGTCTATTTTAATAAGTTTTTTAATAAATTTGTTCAAATAAAAACACACGTAACACTTTATTTTGTTTTGTATGTTGTATATAGATTTATTTGTTAAATTTATTTTGTTTTTAGTTTGTCTTCCAGCATTTCGTTATTGTATAAAAAAATAAAACAATAATAATTAAACGTTAAACAAATTGTACTGTCCTAGATACGTAATGAGCCAAAAGAAGGTGTACTAACGTTCCTTTATTGCTTTCTTTGAAACAGAACAAAAGAATGCTAATTGGCAAACACCAAATTGTATATTATTATAAACCATTTCATAATGCACAATATTTGTATGTTTGGTTTAGAAATGTCGCAGACAAATTTGTTGTAGCAAGTAAATACATAAATTGTTAAAATCAACAGTTCCCTACTCATGATGCACAAATATGTATGTAGTTTTTTTTTTGTTTGTTTTGTTTTCTTTTGTTTTTTGATCATTTGTGTTGTTTTTAGCGAGAAGCTGTTGTTAAGGTTACTTTTGTTTGGACTTTCCAGACGCTTAAAAACTGGCTACACTAAATTTACGCTCGCTTTTCTTTGCTTTGTTTCATATATATTAAAAACTATAAGTTGCTTTCCCTCTTCTTGTGGGTATATATATATATGTGTGTGTGTGTGTGTGTGTGCATGTGTTTGTTTATGTGTATGTGTGTGTGCTTGTTGTTCAAAATGAAAGTTGGCCTTCCGACGGCGAAAGTGTGCATCATCCTGCTGCTGCTGCTGCTTCTGCTGCTGCTGCTCCTATTTCTTGTCGATGCCCGCATTGGACTGTGTAGAGTATGAATATTGAGACCAATAATGATTGGTGGCACCGCCATCATTATTGCCAGTGGCGCCCGCAGTGCCCACCGCACTGCCGCCGCCGGCATTATTGGCCGCTGCTCCGCCGGCGCCCTGCTGTTGTTGCTGTCGGGATTAGAGCACACTTAAGTATTGTTGTTTTGGCCGGAAATGCGCATGCGGCTTGGCTTACCTGCCACCAGGACATCCATTGCTGCTGCTGTGGATCAGCGCCCTGCCAGGCTGCTTGTTGCTGCTGGTTGCCATAACCTGCTTAAGGATGGATACACACACCATAACCAATCAGTCAGTCAATCAATCAATCAAACAATCAAACAGTCCAACAGTCAATCGACAACAGCCCCAAACTCAACTCATATTGGAACTCGCTCCATGAACCACCAGCATCAAAAAGAATTCGCATTCAATGTTAAGGAAGAATTTTATTAGCGGCGCGACAACAGAGCGAGTTTTGTTTATAAGTAAGCAGTTGCCGGGTGTCGTTGCTGTCGCTGCTACCTACCCTGCATCTGGTTATAGTTCCAGTATTGTTGTTGTTGTTGGCCCGCGGTCGGCTGCGACTGTTGTTGCTGCTGGTATTGTTGTTGTTGTTGTTGCTGTTGTGGCTGCTGCTGGTGCTGATGCTGCTGCTGCCAGACGCCGCCGGCCTGTTGATGCTGCTGCTGTTGCGTCTGTTGTTGTTGTTGCTGATGCTGCGCATAGGTGCTCCACTTGCCACTTAGTGCGGACTACAAGAGATCAGAATTCCACATGAGTTTACAAACGATGGATTTGTAAGAATAACGGAACTGTGCTGCTTACCTTAGAGCCGGACTGCTGACCTCCGCTCGACTGCTGCTTGTACTGATCGTAGCCGGCTTGGGCCGAGTTATTGCCGTATTTGGGCAGCGCTAGTGCAGCTGACCGCTCATAGCCACCGCGACTATCTTCTTTGGTGTCGCGGTGGCCATGCCGAAAATCCCGTTGTTGATGATTGCCGCCGCCCGAGCGATAGCTGCTCTGGCTGCTGCCTCGATTGCGATCGTTGCTCCCCAAGCGGTTGCGATCATTGCCGCCGCGGTCTCGATCGCGGTAATCTCTAGAGCTGCCGCCGCCTCCATAGCCGCGATCATCGTAGCCACTTCTGCGATTGTTCTGCATCCAGTTTTGCTGGCCACCGCCGCCACCACCGCCGCCCCCACCGCTGCCATAGCCGCGATTGCGATTATCATAGCCACGACTGCCTCCGGCGCCGCCGCCTCCACCGCCATAGCCGCGGTCATCGTAGCCGCTACGGCGGTTATTTTGCATCCAGTTTTGTTGGCCGCCGCCGCCGCCTCCACCTCCACCGCCGCCGCCGCTGCCATAACTGCGATTGCGATTGTCATATCCACGGCTTCCACCGCCGCCTCCGCCACCGCTTGAGTAGCTGCCACCGCCGCCGCCGCCGCCACCACCGCGTCTCGAGTCGCTCCAGCGACTGTCGTGGCGCTGACCGCCGTGATCACGACGCCTCTCGTCAAAGTAGCGATTGCGATGCCGATCATCACGGCGATAATTATCGCGAGCGCCGCGCGATCTCTTGTCACGCGACCTGTCCGCATCGATGGCCTTTTTGCCCTTCTCATTGTACTTCTTCACCTCAGCCTTGGCCTCGTCGCCGGTCAGCTCCGTGTAGATGATGTCGTCAAACCAGCCAAACTCCAGTGAGGGAAGCGTGAAATTGGCTGCAAAAAGATTATGCAAACGTATATTATCATAATGACTGCATTGTGCAACACTGGCAAAAAATTGATCAATTTTACACATTACACTTTAAAAGAGAGTAAGGCGGGAGAGAGGGAGTGGTGAGTTCTTTAGCTGGTAACGTGTCGATTGGGTAGAGAGAGTAAGAGAGAGAGAGAGAGAGAGAGAGAGAGAGAGCTCAAACTTTGAGAGTAGATGAAATGATCTCTTATTTTAGGGACAATAGAAGTACAATTCGTATATATCTATATAGCATCAGACGGATATCAATATTTAGCATCGGACATTTACTTAAATACATTCAAATGAAATATTTCCCAGTTAAAAGATATATCATACCATCGATCGGACTTAAATGTTTGCCAAATTGTCTATTAACTGTTAAATCGGACTGAATGGGGAGGGGAGGGGAGGGGACACGTTGCACAGCTGGGTTGTTTGTGGATGTTTCGAGGTAAATTATCAATAATGAAGTATAATCAAAATGAATCAAAGAAATGCTTAGAATTAGAATAAACAGTTACAAATACATAAGAGAATGCAGCTGCTTACAAGCTAAATATAAACGTTACATAATAAGCATTAAACATAATTATATTCTTTTATCAATATATATATATACAGTATATATATTTTGTTTATGCACTAATAATTGCCGCTTTCGATACATGGATATATTTTTTTTTGTTTTTTTTTTTTTTTTTGGTTATATTTTCGTTGCTTGGTTGTGGTAGACAATATTTACCTCGTAAGTTATTTATTGTTGATTCTTTAACTGTAAAAGCATTTCCCTTTTCCTCTTTTTCGGCGATGCGACGTTTCAATTCATCTTCGCCGGGTATGCAAACAACCGCAATACGCTTGAAGTCGCTAAAACCTTTCATTTTACGTCGCTGGGCCGAGGCATACGCATTCGTCTACAAGAATATTACAGTTGTTGTTGTTGGTTGGTTGATTGGTTGGTTGGTTGTTTGATTGGTTGTTTGATTGATAGGTTGGTTGATTGATTGGTTGTTGTTTATTGGTTGCGTTGTGGGCGGTAGTTTGTTGAATGTTGCGTTGGTTGTACATTTAGTCGGTTGGCAAGCCAGTTGAGAAACACGTTGATGATTGCAGTTCATGATTTGCCGCCGGGCCGAGCCAGGCCCCCAACGATGTTGTGCCCTCGCTTACAAACTAACACATACCTGATTTAATATGCACACACAGATACACACACACGCAATGTGTGAGTGTGTGTAAGTGAGTCTTAGTAACCGGCAACTCCGCCAGGGAGTTACGCACACATAGATGCAATACATCTACACACACATTATTGCGGTTGTCTGCTTCGAAATGGCAGAACGAAACAACAGTTGACTTAATCATTTTTGTATAGCAAGAGTTTAGTTTATATATATATATAGAGCATATATGCTGCCGGCCTCTGTTATGGTAGTCGACATTTAGAGAGATACGAGAGTAGATATAGTAAGTGCTAATACGTTATACGAATCAGTTAATATGATAAGATTGTTGTTGACCATCACGATTTTCGCTCTGTCTGGATATTGGAATTGTGTGTGTTTATTATTTTTTGGTTTTACTTACAGTGGCTTCCATGCCGCACGCTCCACTTCCTCCTCCATTTCCACTTCCTGTCATTAATAGATACATACATTTAATTTTCTCCATCTCGCACTCTCCGCCATCCCTTACACTCCTCTACAGTCAACTGTTGCACCTAAAACTTATGCTTAGGCAATACAAATTGCAAATACAAATACAAATACTTACACTCACACACTTATACAAATTAATTATCGGATCAACTTAGGACCTAACACATACCTGACACCTTTGCGGGTTGGCGCCCTGCGGCGCTTGGGCTTTCTTTCACATTCTCATTTTCATATATATGAGCAATAAAATGCATATTCAAAGTTTACAAAACAAAAACATAAAAAAAAAAATAAACAAATATTGCAACAGATCCTTTCAGGGACCTGGGCGTGACATACATATGTACATAGTATGTCATCATCAACGCATAATTCTCGCTTGTTTCGTGGTTTGGTTTTCGTTCGGTTCTCTGTGTATGTTTGTGTGTGTGTATGTATGTTGGTGTTGGTGTTGGTGTGTGTAGATTGTGGTTTTTCAGTGTAAGGGTCATTTGTTTGATGTTTTACCTGATCGAGTATAAAATTGCGACGCCGCTTCATAGCAATATCTTCCAAACCACCTAGGCTGTTCAAACAGATCTCGTATACCTTATCCCAGCGCCCCTTGTGCACAGTTTTGCGCGATTCGCCATCAATCTAAAAATCAAAAAAAAAAACCAATAACAACATATACATCAATCAAGGTGTTAAGTAAAGCATGTAAGCGTGCTCTAGTCGGGGGAGTCCGACTAGAAGATACCCTGAGTCAAAAATATTCTAGCTTTTTTTCCACTTTGAGAATGGCAAATAGATCCTTAATGAACTTTGGTTTTTCTAGCTTTCATATTTAATATGTTAACCAAATATAACTTGATCTTTAAATTTATGCTCAAACTATTGCGACCAATTTTTCCTATAGTTACTATGTAAAGAAGTTAAGGTTGGTAGTAAATGATGATTTAAACAAGCCTCAAACCGCATTTGGCTTTAGACACCTACAAAAGGAGCCCGCTCCAATTGGGCTAGTCCAATTTCAATGCTGATACAATTTTGGTTGCTTTTTTGTTAGGAGCATAGTGAAGCTCGCAAGTGCCAAGCTTGGTTAAGGTATAATAAGAAACACGCAGACCGTTGGACATGGCACTAGTCAGGAAAATGTTTACATCAGGATATGTTCTGCAAAAGCGTTACATATTATGTTATACAATTATAATACCCTACAGCAAGAAAATATTACAACAAAACTACAACTAAAGATAATATTACGAGCATTTTATATAGTTAGTCACTCACCGTCATTTTGGCTATTATGGAATCAGGTCCAATGATCTCGTAACGCTTATCGACGTTCTCGGCGACATGCTTTTGTGTCCAGTGCGTCTTGCCAGCACCTGGCAGGCCAACGAGAAGGATAACCTCGCATTCTTTGCGCGATGCAGCGCATTGAGGACCGCTAACTAGTTGCTCGGAAGGTACCAAAGCCAGCAGTACATAGCCGGGTAGCAGGGCAACAGTATCCCGGGGCACGGGCACGACATCCTCGTACTCATCTTCGGCCGGGTGTGACTTGTCAGCTGATGACTTATCTGTCTCTGAGTCAGCTTTGGCGCGTTTATTTGGCGATGGGCCATCTTCGTCGTCCTCCTCAGCGTTGGCTGCCGATTCACTGTCCTTGGCAGACTCCTTAGCCGACGCTTCCGGTTCGGCAGTAGCTTCTGCATTTTCTTCTGTGGCTTTTTCGGCTTCAGGCAGACTATCGCCGTTGGCCACAGCTGCTGGCTCAGTGGCCTCAACAGCTGGAGCTTCTGCTGCTTCCTCGACTGTAAATAATCAAAGGTCAAACAATTTGAAATTACTTGAAAAATGTTTGTTGAACCTACCAGGTTCCATAGCCTGATCCTGCGCTGCCTCAGCGGATTCAGCCTGCTCCGACTGAGTTTCGCCCTCGACGCCAGCCTCTTTAGCCTGCTCCTCCTCGGCAGCGTCACTGGTAGCATCAGCGTTGGGGGGCTCAGGTTTATCAGCCTCATCGGATTGCTCGGTGGCGGCTGGCTTGGCGTCATCGTCCTTCTTTTCGGGCTCATCATCATCGGCGGTTGCCTCGTCGAGCACCTTCCACTTCTCACCATCGTTGTCATCATCTTTGTGCGACTCGGCGCGTTGCTTGCGACGCTTTCGTGTCGGTCGTTCCGCATTAACAAGCAGTTCTTCATTGTTAGCGAAGTTCACTGTATACTCGTAGCCCTTGGTGAGAATATGCGGAAAGAGGGCGCCTTCCTCGCCCAAAATACTCTTGTCAAACTCATGGGCAATGCCAAGATCCTCGCCATTCAATGTGTATTTGATGTTGCACGGCGTGCTGTCCAGATCCAAGTAGCAGCCAATCACATCGTCCAGTTGATATGGCTTGCCGTACTCTTTGAACTCGCCATTGTTGGCCTTGCGGCCGCTCTCGCAATAGCCATAGGAATGTTCAGCTTCGCCCAGTAACATCGGTGTCTGAGGCGTTGAGAAACCCACACGAAAGCCGCGCACATGCGGTTCATCGCGGAAATGATGCGAGTTTTCCGGCACAGACTCCTCCGATAGCTGCACCTCATAGCACACCCTTCCCTCGCGCACACCATAGTTGGCACGAGCACCTGACCAGATTAGCGAGTATATCTCCGAGTTCAGAGGTTTCGCAGATGTAAAAGTGGTAGCATCGATGCGTAGATGTAGATCCGAATCAACTATTAAAAGAAATTGATATTAAATTAGAGCGAATTTCAAATGCGTACGCAAAATTATATATATGAGCGATTACTCTAAAAACTAACTCAATATTTATGTACAGAACAATAAGCGAGCTTTTATAGAGGCTTCACATTGTTATAACTTCATACAAATAACAAAATTTAGTCCAACTTAGTTTAGTAAGTTGGAAAAGAAATGTTCTCAAAAATGAAAAAGAATATTTTAATTTAATGTATCTAATGTATGTAAGACTTGTTCCACGGACTCGTAAATTTAGAAGTTCCTATTTAAATGCGTTCAAAATAGAAAACCAAAATATTTTATCAAGCAAGCTATTTAGTTTTTTAGTATTTAAAGAGGACACTACTTACACCAGCTGAGGCCCACTTGATTTTCCTCCATAGTGGGCTCATCCTCGGTCACGGTGCGCTCTTCAACAGCCGCACCAGACTTGGAATCGCGCTTGTCGCCGCTACGACGCTTGGGTGAGCGCGAGCTGCTGCGGGAGCGCGTGTGGCTGTGCGAGCGTTTGCGGCGCTCGTTGGATTTTTCTTGGTCCTGTTCCTTGTCCTCCTCCTTGTCTGTCTTGGCAGCGGCAGCCTCGTCGTCAACTTCCATTTTCTCACCATTATCGCCGTTGGATTGGTGCGCGACTTTGTCGGTATCAGCATCGGCTGATGCTTCATCATTTTCTTGTGGATCTTCATCTTTCTCCACTTGTTTGTTGGTGTCGTTTGAGTCTTCCTGATCTGCTGTCTCCATGGCGGCGGCTTCATCTGTCATAGCCACATCTTCATCTTGCTCTGCTTGCGGAGCAGAAGCATCAGTTTCCTCTGACACCTCTTCCTGAACCGCCTTATTGTCCTCCTCTTCTTGTTCTTGTTCTTGTTCCAGTTCCTGTTCTTCGTCTTCGACTTCTTCTACTTCTGGTCCAGAGCCGGCCTCTGCTTCGACTTCGGGCTCGGCTGCGGCCTGATCCTCCTCCGGCAGAGTCTCCAGTACAGGTTCTGTGGCAACTGGAGCCGCCGCAACCGGCGACGGTGAACGCGACATAGACCGCGTTCGACGCTGACGGCGGCTTGGTGTAACTGGGGCGCCATCTGTCGGAGGTGAAACGAAATTTTTAATTCATGGAAAATTCGTATTTTTGTTATATAAGGCGCGTTTACAATATGAAGAGAACACGCTGAGCCGAGTTACACGCACACACACATTGAAAACCGTTCAAAATTGTGTAGTACACACAACACACACAAACGTGCACTTAGAAGCGCAGTGATGCATACATACACACGCACCCGCACACATACTAACTTACCTCCATCGCCGCCGCCGGCAGAACCTTCCACATGTGCCCGCAGGCGCTCGATGAGCACAGCTTTCACACCTTTGGTATCAAGACCACGCGTCTGTAATTCGTTACGCAGGTCCACCACCTTCATCTTATCCAGCTTCGCCAAATCCATTTTTTCGCTTCAATCTTGAATGGCGGCAGCAGCGCGTCACTCACAAAAATATACACACACACGCGCACAACGACTGAGGCGGAAAGAAAACGTAGAATAGAGGAAGTAAAATATATGCCAAATGGGCGCCTTTAGTTATTTAACAAATTACTTTACTGCTATTTCGCAAATATAGCGAATCGAATCACTTTTCGCAATTGCATTCGCATTTATTGCGAATAAATAATGGCTAAAACCTATACCGAGAACGCGTTGATGTGAAGTTGGCTGCGATTAAGAATGCAGGGAATGCCAAGTGTTATCGATTAGTAGGTAATTGATAGACTTCACAGAAGTATATATGCAAAGTTATCGATTAGTTTCATTAGTTACAATAGTAAAATGCGCGGTTTCAATTTGCAGAAATTAAAACGAATTAGCAATTCGTAGTTTTCATCTTCAAAGATGAGTTAAATATAAATAATTTATATTATCTGTTTAACATTCTGCCCAATGAATTTACATATGAAGATACTGGATTAAATTTTGATTATGTGGAGAATTTTTATTGGATGGCATATATGGCTTTGCCAGAGATACAAATGTATAATTTTTACCGCAATACATTTAATTGATTGCATTAAATCCATATGATAAATGAACAAATAAGCAAATACGATTTAAGAATAATTTGAAATTGTTGTATGGCACAAAGATTTTATTTGTGAAACATTGAACAGTGGCATCTCGAGATTTTAACTGAGTGGCAACGCTCTAAAAATATAGACAGTGGTGAACCATAAGATGCGTCAAAACAAGTTGAAATAATCAATTTGCAACCGCATATTTGAGGACTCCGTGGCGCAACGGTAGCGCGTCTGACTCCAGATCAGAAGGTTGCGTGTTCGATTCACGTCGGGGTCAATCGAGGTTTCTTTTTTTTTTTGCTTTTTTTTCCAAATTAGCCAATCGCATGGTAATTGATTTTCTTTGTAGTAAAAATAAAAATACTTTTTTAAGTGAGTAAAAACTAAACTTTCTTTCATAAATGTCAATTCGCGGACTGCAATAGAACAATTTTCCTTACCACTGAAACGTTTTTGGTGTCATATTTTACTCAGAAATAAATTGATGTAAATTGCAATATTTGTATGTAATACTACTAAAATAAGAGCAGCTAATGGTACACACCAGTCGTGCACTCCCTGCCGCTTCTTATCTATAAAACTTATGGTTTAATGATAAGATATCAGTGTGTATTTAGTACACTAAAAAAAAACCTTATAAGTTATAAGAGTAGTGAGGTTTCTTGCAGCGCAATAATTGAAGTACTCTTCGGAATCATTTCTGTTGACCACAAATAGAGATTGCCTATAATGTCGGGCCATGTCCGCGATCAGGGAAAGTGCCTCGTCCCATATCATCAACAGGCCAATATCAATGGCAATATGTGAATCTATCAAATCTGTTCAGAACGTTTAGAATGCCTTTCGTCTAGCTCGTGTTGACTTCTAGAAGGTTCTCACATAAGAAATACTCAATGTTCGCATTTCAAAGCTGGGTGTCATTTTTTTTCAATTAGTACATTCGAATTGAGTTTGACAGAATGTCAGCTATAATTTCATCATTCTGTAATGAGATACAATTGTTTGTCAATCACAATATCAATGAAAGTTTTTGTTAAATAGCTCAAGAGGTGCTATATAATATAGTAAATGATTAAAAATAAATTTCTAGTATATAAATGAAATATGTGTATATTTGGTTCTACGGCAGAAAAGTCTAGAAAAAGTTTCCCTAATGCTTGTCATTTCCATATAGGGTCCGAATGGGTCGCTCTATTGTATAAGTATAGCATGTATATATATATGTATATTATATATATATAATGTATTCGCCAACTTGATCGATACAATCAAGCAGCGCAACCGTAAAAGGCCCGTAAAAATATTTAACTCGAACGCCCACCCGAATGCAAACTTTCAAACGCTTTCAGTTTTTTTTCCACAATTTGTTGTTATTAGGTGTAAAAATAAATATTCGTACAGTTTTTTTTTCGCAGTTTTTTTTTTTATTAAATGTAGAAATAAATATTCATAAAAATACAACTCAAACACAAGGCTAGGGTTAATTTCAATGCAAAACTCAAGAGAACATGAAATATATTGCAATTAGTTTGGGTTTTCCCAAGAACAGATCAAGGATCAGGATCCGTAGAACCTCGAGCTGTTAGTACACACACACAGACACATACGCACACAATTACTTTCACTTGCACTTTCCCTCAGTGTTGGACCAGCTTGAAGCGACTTGCCTCGGCATAGTCCCGGGCATCGGAGAAGTTGCGTTCCGGCTTGATGCGCACATCGTTTGGATCGGTAACAAATTCACCGTTCCATACGGGCGACAATATGGTGGGATCCGTGTTGTAGTCAAAGTAATCCTGATCATCGGAACGATTGCGTTCGGGCTTGATGCGTGTCTCGCCGCCTTTGACAAAGGTGCCATCCCAGGCGGTGGGCAGGACAATTGGCTCCGTATTGAAGCCGTAGAAATTGTTGGTATTGGTAACATTTTGATTCTGGCGACGAATCTTCGAAACGTTGTTCACAGCCCCATCGGGATACACAAACTTGCCATTCCAGCCCTCACACTTGATGGGTATATAGTCCTCCTTCTTGCGCAGCGACATTTTCCTTAGTCCAGCTTCCGCTTCGGTCTGCGATGCTCGTTCGGCGAGTTTCAAAATTCGATTGACTTGTCGCAACGGCTGTGATATTCTAAAATATGATTTCACTGTAGTAAACCTTGGCGTGTAAATGATTGTTTTTGCTTGCTCCAGCGACCCACACGTCATTTAAATCGATGACGTCAGGTTAACTCAGCCGTTTGTTTTCTTTCGCCAGACGAAACGGGTTCGCAGTTTCAGCTCCTCCTCCACGGGTTGGCATTTTGTTGTTGTTATTGTTGTTGTTTAGCATTGCCAATGACAACCGTACTAGACGAGTTCGCGTCGCTGGCGCTTTGCCATATAAGCCCACAAATTAAACACCAGGTCTAACAGCTACCAGGTGAAGCGGTTCCGCAAGCTGTCTTCAAGCCAAGCTGTCACTGTAAATATGCCCATTATAATCGACGGCTTGATCTTGATTGCCAGCATTTCTGTGATTCATAAGTCTTTAATTTGTAGCGTACTGCGAACAAAACAAGCAAGAGCGAGTTAGTCGGGAGTGCACGACTACGAAAATACCCTGCTGTTACAGAAATTCTAGCTGCTTCTAAGGTGAGAACTTAAGGTGTTGGCTCTGCTTCTTCCACCCGCAACCGAGAAAGTTAAATATTCTGGATCTTCGTATACCCTACATACCGAATTTGGAGTCTCAAGCTTCGAGATATGCTCAAAAAACAAGATTTCGATATCGATTGTAATAAAATGGAGTAAGTTATCGATAATTTGATGTAAGCTTGATCTTTATAGAACCTACGTTTCAAATTTCAGGTGCCCAGCTCTTACAGTTCCCGAGGTCAAGGCGATCTTACGTTCGGAAGGTTGAACTAATAGACGAACATGGATCGAAACGACTTTTCGTGCAAATCAATAACGTATGTTCTTTAGGAGGTTCCCACGCCCTTTGCATGAAACCATTATACCCCATTTACCCATGTACAGGGTATAATTAAGACGTAAATTTGTTTTTTCCTTTTTTAGCCATAAGTTAGATTTATGTGCGGGCTTGTTGTTTGCCTGATCAATTTTAAAAATACCTTTCGGAAGTTAATTAAAAATTATAAAGAACAGCTAACTTAGGTACTGTACACTGCACAGTGGTCCATAAATCAATGCTAAATAACACTGTCCAACAGTAAAACATTTTAGTTTGCTTTAAGAAACACAATGTCATATGGAGATATCAGTATATATCCAATTTTGATGCGATCAATTAAATATAATTGGCTATTATGGTAAGATATATACAGCGTGATTCCTTTTGAGGTATATTATTGTATATAAGGTATACTATTGTATATGTAGAACATTTTTATATATATATATTTGTTTTCATTTCTTCTACCATCATAAATTTTCCGATAAATAGACACTTGTTTTTGAACATACATAACTTGAAGATTAGAAGAGCTTAGATTGATTAGGTATTTATAAATGATAGATAATTCACGAGATACCTTACAAAGCTCGGAACATGAACAGCGAGCTTAATCAGGGTATCTGCTAGTCGGGCACTCCCGACTTGTCATAATTAACTGTTGTTGACCACAAAATGTAAAACAAGAAACTGTGTCAAAAATACACAGGACACGCAACGCATTTTAAAGACTTAATGGGCCACCTGTGGCATGCCACACGCACAAACCAAACGCCAACGTCACAGACGGCACACACACACTAATTAAGCCAACAGAAACCGCAAGGGCCAGACGAAAAGCTTTTTGCGACCGCTCGCTCACCCACACACAGACAGAGAGTCCCTCGATGTCAGGGGCTATGCGTGGCAGGCTTACGTGCCGCAGCGACGACAACGTTCGTCCCTCGTGTTCGGTTTGCTCTCGCGCTGTTAACTCGACGACCCCAAGCAGCAGCAGCAGCAGCAGCAGCGGAGGCGGCGGCAGCGGCGACGGTGACGACGGCGGCGTCGGCGGCTGTTCCCATCCGCTGCTCGTTAGAAGAAGCGACGCCGACAGCGTTGGTCGGCAACAGTTTGAAAGTTTTTCATGTTGTCGTCGGCTTGCCTCCCAAAGTTGCCTGTGCCTGTTGCCAGTTGCCGGTTGCCAGTTTCGACGGCTCTGCATTTGCTGTGCGCCTAGTTGAAAATCCAACTAATTGCTTATTTTAACCCCTTCAAAACTGGGCACACACACACACACAAACACAGACACACAATGGGCCTTGCCTGGCCCGGCTTTCGTGTTTATTAATTAACAACACAAAACCCCAAACCAACAAAGGCACCAGCACACACACACACACTAACAGGCACGGGCACACACATACACACACGCATACAGATATACGCACACACACAGCTTAACCCAAGTGTTGTCTCCGGCATTCATTAGTGTTCATTAGTGAAACAAAATGCTCATTTACTTAACTACTCCCGGCTCGTAACGAGCCAGCCCCATCCCCCTCCCATCCCTCTCTCCCTTTCTCCAATAAACTCACCACTCTCTCTCCCTCTCTCTCTCTGTCGCTCGCTCGTTCGCTCTCGCCCCCCGATTGCTGCACTCACTTATCGGCACTCGACGAGTCACTCCGCTCTTGGCTCTTTTCACTGTTGGTAGTTGTTGCAGCCGCTCTTATGTTGCCAATTAAAATTCCATTTATGCCAAGTTAACTCACTTGGCTCGTTAATTGTTGTGGTTTTTTAATTGGACCCTTTTCGAAGCTGATGCTCAAATTGAATTGAATTGAACAACAAAAGGAACAATCGCATGAATGGCAGAGACCAGGCACGGACCATGTCTGCCTCTGGTAGCCGGGCGGCTCTATGAGCTACCTGAGCTACAGAGCCCAGCACAGGCACCACTGGCACCGACTTCAGCTGCGGCGCACAGTCATTGAAGACCGCCAACCCCACCTCCCCCATTTTGCAATGTGCCATTGGGTACGCTTATCGTTTGGCTCCTCAGGGTTGCCAGGCGACACCAAAAAGCCGTTAAGTGTAATTACATGTTACAATTAGTGCATCATATTTTATTATTATTTATTTATGCAGTAAAAGTTTTCTTTACATTGATTTATCTATAATGCAATGCATATATATCTTAAAATTTGTCGCAAGATTATTACACTGATTTTCCGACCGTGTAGGTGGACTTAGCCAACTCATTAATATAAGTATTGCCATTTTTAAAATGCATTATTTCTAATGTGATCTAGATAATGATGCCTTTGAATCAGATAAAATATCAGAATAAATAAATAAGAAATAAGTAACAAATTTATTTTAAGGATTACTGCATTTGTATTCTTTCTATCGGAACTATTATTCTACTTGATTTAATTTGCGATACCTTACTTCAAAACCGATTTACCATTTTGTTCTTGGTATTCTGCGCAACTTGGCAACTCTGCGCCTCAATTCAACTAATGAACGAAGCTAAAGCAACGCAGCACCAGCAGCATACAAAAAAGTACTAAAAACAAAAGCCAACAAAAACCCCTAATTAAAATGCATTTTCATTCGGGACGTCAGCGTTGTAACCACTGCGCCTTCCAACTGCCACCCGCTCGCTCACGACTGGGACGTGCTTTAAAGGGGGATTGCCTGTTCATTAGCTAGAAATGCGCCCCCCTCAGTAGCTGCCACTGCGCCTTACAGTCACATGAACCGTTATGCCATTGTACACACACACACACATATATAGAGAGAGAGAGGCCGTACACATGAGTGCGTGTATGTGTGTGTGTGTGAATGGCTGCGGGCATATTTAATTACAAAAGCTGCTAATTAGGAAACGTACACACCCACGTTGGTTAATTTGTTTGCAAACCAATTAACTCGGCGCACAGTATCAGGCGCACAGAAAACCACAGCCAGCAGACAGGCAACAGAAGCAGCAGCAGCAGCAGCAGCAGCAGCAATAGTAGCAGCAGCAGCGGCAGCAGCAGCGGCTGCTGCTGCGAAAGCAAAAGAAACGCGTCACCGGCGGACGTCGCTACTGAAAATGCAGACAGAACTTTCCAATCAGCGTCGAGCGCTTGGCCAGGGCACAGGGCAACTCCGGAGGCAGCGGCAGAAAAGTTAAATAGTGAGCCAACGACTAAAACTGTTAACGAACAACAACAAAGGCCACAATGATAACGCAGTGTGGGGGGGTTGTGAAAATGGGGGAGGCAGAAAAGTGCGCAACGGCCAACTTAATGAACGAAATAAAAACGAAAATTTAAGGAATAAGTTGTGTGTGCGTGTGTGTGTGTGTGTGTGTGTGTGTGTGTGTTAATATGTGTGTTCGTTTGCTGGGCGCGTGCCTGGGCTTGTTCTTAATAAATGAGCTAAAGATGGCAAAAGTCGTCAACGTCGCTGCGCTGCGCTGCGCTGTCGTCTTGCGTGCTAATGAGTAATAAATAAACTTCTGCTGCTGTTCTGCTACGGCCTAGACAAGCAGCAGACGCGAATATCAGGCTAGCAGAGCAGCAGGGTGACGACCACAGGCGAATGGAGAGAGGAAGAGAGAGAGAGAGAGAGCGAGAGTGATGGCGTCAGAGAATGAAATAGAGTGGGGGACAGTGAGATAGAGAGAAGGCAATGGCGAGCGGGGGAGTAAACAGATTCGGTTCCGGCTTTGCTTTTGCGTTAATTAGTTTTAAGCATTTTCATTATGCAACAGCATGTGGCAGGCAACAGCTGTACGTATTTTGGACAATGAGCATGTGTGTGTGTGTGTGTGCGTTTACACACATATATCATTTTATATGCATACGTATATGTACGTCTACCTGCGTGCATGGTTGTGTTTGTGTGTCAGTGTGACCAAAAGGCACACTAATTAGTTTGCAGCACATGTTTTTTCAATACGTGCATGGACTAGGTTTTGATTTTGTTGGATTTTGGTCATTCATTGTGAAAAGTAGAATACAAAATGAAGAGTTTTGCATGCATGTTTAAAATTTAATATAAAATAAAACAAACGTAAGGTGTCTATATCTCCTACTTGAATATATATATTGTGTTCTGATTCTTATTCTCTGGCGTACCGATTCATTTTTGCCAAGTATAGCGACGCGGGTTATGCTGATATGGCGAAAACTGATTACACTGCAACGCACCGTCCACATTAAACACACCCATGCGGTCACACAATTATAAACATACTCACACAAGCGTAGAAACTCACATGCACACACTGGCTCACAATCAGTGTTGCGCAGTGTGCAGCAGCAACCTCTGCCCATTTGCTGGGTGCCCAAATCAGTTACAACAAAAACACCAACACGTCTTATCAAAGCAAACAAGAATGATTTGTGCGCGGTTGCCGAACGAAGAAATACCCTGCATCAAAGTTGGAAGTGCCGGAACACACAATTATACTCGTTTCTGTTCATCAGTATTTATTGACATTACTGAAAGTTTTTGTTAGTCAACTCGGTTTTTTTTTAAATTTATTTTATTTTTACAGGGTAAAGGTGGAACATATTTGTAATCATAAATAAGCTAAATGAGAAACTGCATATAAAATGATGCCGAATTCTTGTAGTTTCTAAGATAGCTTACATGGACAGACCGACTAGCGTCGGAAATGCCTGCTGCTGTGCTGTTGTGTGTACAGGGTATAAACAGAATTAACTGTTAACAACAATAACAAACAATGTAATGCATACGGGGCCGGGGACCAACTGGGCACGTGTGTTTGTTTTATTTTCGGGTTATCGTGGCCCGCATTTGTTTATAGACGCACAAACAGAACTCTTTTTCAGCTTGTCGCCGGCTGCTGGGCGCCTGTTGCGCAGCCAAATAATCGATCGCAAATTATTTATTGATTTTTGATTGATGAGCCACAGAGTATTATGTAATGTGTATGCCAAAATAATCGGGTGATTTATTCCGCGCCCCATGGGGTTGCTTGGATTTTCTTCAGACCAGCAAAGCTCTCAACACGAGCGGCGTGTTGGGGCGGATTAGTTAGCTTTGCTCATGCGGCTAGCAGCAATGCGAAGAGGCCGAGATCGTGTGGAGAGCGCAACTCAGCTTGAATTTGAATATTGTCAGGTTGGAAGGGCCCCCCAACAGCTGTGACAACAGCTACCGCAATGAACCCAACCGAAATTGATAGCGTCAGCTGTGTTTTCCAGTTTACCGCTGCGTATGTTAATTATATTACACAATTATATATAATTTTGTCAGTTTATTTATTCAGTATGCTTGATCTATAACAAAACGTTAAATAAAAAAATTAATAACTTGCTAAAAGAAAAACACTTAACAGCTATTTTGTGTATGGAAGCGCCTACTACCGGAGAGGTCTAGGGGGGATTATATGTTTTAAGTATTTTTTTTACCATTGCCTATCTTTTGTCCATTATTTTGCTTTAGCAAAACTTAACTGCTACTTAAATAATTGTTTCGCATAGATATATAAAAATTCCCACCTCCAAGAAAATATGCAATATAAGTACTAGCACGCTCGCGGCCAGCCGGAAAGTATGCCACAGGTATGCCAGGTGCTACTTGCGACTGCCCTTGCGGCGCAAATGATGTCGGGTGGTAGCCGCTGCCAGGGCTACCGCCGCCTGCGCTGCCGCCGTCAGACGTCCTTCGGCGCAGCGCGTGGGCCAATTCTAGGATTCGTAGAGCAAGCGCTGGTAATGCGGCAGCACCTCATGCATTGGCACATGCAGACTGAACTCGAGGGCGACGAGCACGGCGAACTCCGAGGAGATGAGCTCCTTGCGATTCAGGCGAAACACATTCTCTGTCTTTTCAATCAAGCTCTTCAGGGCATCCCCCTTGACGTCGTTCATTTTGGCACTAAGCAGCAGGCAGGCGCCGGCGCAAAGCTTGCGATTGCTCTTGTTTATCAAATTGGCCAAAATTAGCTTCTCGAAGTAAACATAGGCCTGCGATATGGTCACCAAATCGATGCGTGAGTCCAGCTTGTTAATGCGACGCATTTCCCTCTTGATGCTGCGGATGAAATAAAAGTTAATAGAGGTCAATGACAGGGAATTACTCGTATTCATTTTGGTACTATCAGGGTAGAAAGAGATAATACTTAGAATAAGTGAGGCATTCAAGAATTTGGTTTTGTTTTTCCAATCTTTCAAAAGAAAGATAATACATTAACAAAATTTAATCAGCTTCAGTCAAGAATCTATCGAAAATGAGTTTGTGTACGAAAATGCTTTCTGTGAATTAAGATATCAAGATCAAGCTCAGCTATAATCCCTTTTATCATGTGTGTCCTACAGGAATAAGCATTTGGAAGTAATGCTTTGGTATAAAACAATATTTAATAAAGAATTCATAGAGAATTTAAGCAAAATTTGTAATGAATTCTATTTGAATTTACAGGCGTTCGCATTGATCGCTTATTCAGATCTAATTTTTCCGACAAATATTGTTCAATGTGCAATATCATTAACAATTATCATCAGTCTATCCCTTGAATACCAAAATTGTCTGAACCAATAGTTGGGGGGCAAGCTACCTTCTCAGTTTGCTTAAGGTAAGCTGTATGCTAGGAAACTTCTCCCGGAATTTGTCATTGAGCTCCTTCTTTAGGTCCGATGGACGCACATAGTCAATTACGGAAGTCATGTACGAGGTAAACGTTAGCAAAGTGCGATGCTTGCCGGCAATGAGCTCGGGATCATCTAAAATGCTAGCCGAATACTGTTGATACTGAAAGCACAAAATGATATGTGGGTTAGAGCTAGCCATGTTTAGTTATTTAGTTTATAATCTTACCGGCAGACCACGCGTCGAGTCACCGCTCAGTATAATGCTCTCCATGTCCATGTCCAGCTTCAGGTCGGGTGTAGGACTCGCTGCATTGTTGCGATTATTGTTCTCGTATGTGAAGCACCTGTAAATGCATCAAGCATGGATTAAGGAGCTATACGTATATATGTATTGGGATTATAGATCTTAGAAAAGGCGTGAGTGTAAGCAGGTTAGTTGAAGCGTTGCCAGTTTTCTAATGTGTGCAAATGTGAAGTGTGAATTTTGTTAGTGGTATATAGGATACTTTAAAGCTTTGCAGCATATCTGAGCTATGGGCGAGCCAGTCATAGAATTGGGTTCTGTCCCATAGCTGAGATCGGCGCGATCGATTGTTACTTATTAGCTGCTTTAAAAATTTACCATTTGCCTTGATGTTTGGTTATGGTTTTTGTGCTGAAACGAAGTAGTGCAAAGCGTTATGATTAGCAAAAGTTAATGGTACAAAATGCATCGAAACTTTGTGTATAATTAAGTATTTCAATAATAAACTTTTTTGATTGGATGGAACTGGGTTTTAAGCTCTCTCTTGTTTCTCGATTATGTAAATTAATGCATTGCCCAACATTTTATGCAATCACAAAAAAATAAGTACGCAAATCATGCGAGACCTTTTCGTATGCCCATGTCTCAGCATAACCCCCGATATATTTGTGGTATTTTGTTCAGTCAGCGAATGCAAATAATGCCCAGAGTTGTGGACAAAACAACATTTATTTTTGATATCTGGGCTTTGCCAAATTATTTCGCTTAGCGCTGCGAATAAGGCAAACACTAACAAGCTGTTTATTTGGCCGCATTTTAATGAGCTATGTAAACAATTTGGAATAATCATTATTCATTGACGGTCATCTGCTGTTCTTTGTTGTGCCTTTAATTAGGAGGCATCATATTGTTCCTATACCTTTTAATTGGTCTGTTCGGTAAAAGTAAGATCTTTTTGTAAGTGGGATATGGTTATAAGTTATGAAATAGAGATGGGCCTAGGCAGGCCTATTCCCGGTATAGTAAAAACAAAGCATTGTCTTTCGACTCAAACCCAACCGATAATTCGCCATTTCTTCGACTCAGATCCTGAGATTCCCATTCTTAAACTTGGTAAATAGGCGAATAATTTATAGCTTCTCTTGACCTGGTAATTTGGTTGATGTTAGGAGTCATAATGAGACCGTTTAGAACCAATAAACCTGATCTCTTGCCCTGACTTCTGTTCTTACTGGGAACAAAAAGAGGAGATCGTATAAGTCGAATAGCTTCTGTTCGTCTGCACTTGTGAGAAGACGGACTTCGTTTTTGTCGAGTTCACGTCGGGTCTGGTTTCGGAGGTTGAGCTCGCAGCTCCCGGTTGAACTTGTCTGCATAATCAACAATAAGCTAGCCTTGCTAAATCTCAAAAGAAATACACTTCAATAAATATTACATTTATATAAACAGAAGCCGCAATTCGAAACATTTTAATGGATTACAGGGTATCACGGAATTTCAAGAACCAATTTGTAATTATATTCCGGGATAATTGGATTGCATTTCAGTGAACCGATTAATGGCTGAGGCATAAGGTCCTTAATTTGTACAATTTATGTATGTATGTATGTATGTGTGTGTGTATGTGTGTATGTGGTAATGGGATATTATTAATTTTGTATGTAAATAATGAAATATTATAGGTCGACTTTAAATGGGCACCAACCTGGCTATGCCATGATTTCTAAGAGCCGCTGTGCTCGTTATCTCCATTTGATTATCGAAAATTGAGGGATTAGTCGATGCATTGCCGTGCTTCTTGCGCTCCTTCTCGTACTGTCGGGATGGTATAAGTAAATGTCCGTACGAAATGTCCTGCAGAAGCGTAGTAAATAAAATTGGATAAGTTCAGCTCAACAGATGAGGGGAAGGAACTAACCTGTCCGCTTTCAGCTTTCTGTATGCCAAGTAAATCGAAGGGATCAAAGGGTGCATCGTTGATAGAGCTCAAGGGGCGTGAAGTGGATGTATTGCGACGCCGACGATCCTCCTTGCGGAACTCAGCTCTAGATGGACAGACAGACACATGTTAAACTTGTTATTTTCGTGGATTGTCCGACATTCACTTACCGTCCGTTCTTGCCTTTGTGGTACGGAAACGCCGAGAATATAACAAATGGCACGTTCCGTGATAGCAACACCATGCGCTCACCACGTTGTCCCAGGCCCGGACCCGGGTCTTTGCGGCCGTCGGTAATTTGCACGGATTTGCTGAGACTGTTGCGGAAACTGCCCGCAAAGTTGCCAGCCGGCGCCAAGCTCTCCGTGCTGCTGTCATCCGTTATGTGACTGGCACTCGATCCGCTGCGAATGTTGTAGTTGCGCCTCAGGCCGCCAGTTCCAATGAAGCTCGCATTGCTGGCCGCCGCCGCCGCCGCCGCCGCTCCTCGCATGCCAGGCGCCGTATTTAGACGCGCTCGTCTCTCCGGCTGCAGGCTCTGCTCACTGGCACCATTGCTAAAGGTTCTGCAAAGTTAGATGTTTTCAAAGAATAAACTAAGGAACATAGTGAAACTTATAAACTTATAATGTTTGATCCAAATATCTTAAAAAACATAAAGAATGAACCTATGCAAATTTTCAGGGCAACAGACGAGATACTTAAATACTTTATGTTGTCGGAGATGCCATCTTCTATGTGTTACACTTTTCATGACAAAATTATAATATCCAATGGAATTCTACAAGGGTATATAATATGGAAAAAATCAATTTGTATTATCTTTTCCAAAACTTTTTTGAAAATTGCAAATGTATTCAAAAAGTTGAGGCCACAAGCATTATTTGCGAGTTTTGTTTTTATTGCTCAAAAATAAAATCAAAATAAATCATTGAGAGATATCTTTTAGATTCGAAATTTTTAAGTCATTGTGAATGACTCGAGGCTAGGATTACATAATATAATAATTTTCCTTGTACGACTAATAATGATCATTATTAAAGATCTCAGCCTTTCAAAGAGTTCTACTGAGATTAATCTGAGGAGTACCCCGAAACACTTTTTGTACCTTTGTTGGGCAACATTTAGGGTATTCATGCAGTCTCTTAAAGGAAAGTAATCTAACGACCGGGTAAACAATTGGCGATTACGTAAACTTATACTACGTAAATTCGCCGTTCGTCTAAACAGCTGTCATTCAACTGGAAACTTCGTATGTAAACATGTCGAAGAAAGGGGTAAACAAATATTTAACTGATGCAATTCGAGAATTAACGTTTTATCGACAAGGCAATCAAACAAATTACTCAAATCTCCAATTGCTTTGGAAAATATTTACAAATTATATACAGAGTTGCATTTACGCGGCATTACTAAAGGTGACAGCCCCGAGTACACGATCCAAATCTAAAATAAGAGCAGGTTTATATATTTGAAAGTTTTACAAACAATAAAAGAATCTTTTTAAGCAAGATCAAGCGTATATTCAACAAAAAAGAAACGGGAGTACGATCAAATGCAGCTCTCTATCTTTCTCTCTCCCTCTTTTAATGCTCTCTCACATTTGCTTCAAATCTCAACTAGAGCACACACATACGCACGCACACACCCCAAATGAGGCGATCGATATTTTCACAGGCACGCAGCAAAATGCAGTCAAAAATATGTAGGTAAGTATTTGTGCCGCAGGGCCATCGAAGATCGAGAGACGCACTTATCATCAGGAGGCTTAGCGAGCTCTTTGTCTATTTTGTTTGTCGAGTGTTTCCAACGAATAATGAAAAACACACTCGAAGACGACTGCAGCTGCTGAAGGGCAGCGTCTTGTTATTGATTTCTGTGCGCCGGGTCTATTACCTTGAGATAATTGGTATAGATCGAGGTTACACGAGCCCCAAAATCATTCCAATCTCACAAATATTTGTCTGAAATCACGTGCGTGTCTTGGGGCCAACGAATTTCCATGAAAATTCCGTTTGCATTAATTAGGCAACTCTCTTGGCGAAGGCGAAAGTAGAGGGGGGGGGGGGGGCAGAATTATAATGCGTATGATGAAGTGGCGCCAAGCCTGTCATAACCCGTTAATTAGTTGGAGTATTCGAATAGGCGCCCAGCGACGGCAGCAAGCAGCTAAGAGCCAAATGTGCAGAGCAGAAGAGACCAAAGGGAAGACCCAACACCAAATGCCACACACACACACACACACGCACACACATTCGTTCATTGTGTTATTTACATGTTAACATGGAATGTAAACGCGTGGCACACTGAAGAAAAAGAAGACCTTCAAAGGCCACGCACTATAGAAAATATGCGTTGCTTATGTAACTTATCGGCGCGCTGTCTCTCTCTCTCTCTCTAAAACTCAAGCCAGTGCGTGAGAGAGTTTCCGTTAGATTATAACAAAGCAAAACTGTGCGATGATTAGATGGCGATAGCGTAACGTTTAGCAGCGTGCGAGAGTGAGAGAGGGCTAGTGGAACCCTAGAAGAGAGACGAATGCAGCAGCTACAAACACACATACACACACATAAGTGCAGGTGGCAGACCTTGTGTGCGTACGTGTGTGTGTGTGGAAGCATTTCTTAATAGTTTTTTTTGTTTTTTTTTTTTTAACTGTTTGGGCAACCGTTTTGTAGGCTGCCTAGCGACATCTGCGCGCCTGGGCCGCACACAAACAATATTTAAATTTCAAACACACATTTCGAAAATCTTTCCCACTCCCAACAAACGGGCTAATTGGAATGCAAATGCAAACAAATTGGTTTCTAATTGGATTAGACTAATTAAATTAATGGCAGCTTTCATTACTGAATAAATGAATAGTTTGATTTGTGCTCAACAATAAATCAATAATATAATTTACAAAGGCGTATTAATGTCGCAAATCTGTTTAAAATTCTTAAAGAATATTTTGTCAGCTAAGATTTATATAATATATATTTCTTTGAGAACTTAACTTGAAGGATTTATTAAATTTTAAATATTTTGAATTCCCTTAAATATTATAATTTAATTGAAGATTAATATAAGTTCTGGTTTACGCTATATTTATTTATTATACAACTAATGCATTTTTTCTATTGCATCAGAAAAATCTGTGGAACGGAACAGCCTTGCACAATATTTTTAAAAAATATTTATTTTTTGATTTTAAATAACAAATAAGAAAATATTTGTTCTACATTTTTTTTTTCCATTTCCGCCAATTTCAACATTAAACATTATATTAATATTTTATGAATTGTTTTCTTTGTTTTTCATCAAATTGTTCTATAAAAATTTGCTTGTTTTATAAAATAGTTGATGTACCCACCCCAAAAAGGAAATGTATTCTGTGTTTTAATTATACGCTGCCCTGCTGATAATCAATATTTCAATAAACAGGGCAATCAAATCAACTTAATACAATTCAGTTTGTCTTATCATCGATGTGCCTGATAATAATTATTTTCTTTGTTTTCTTATCTTATCAGCGTGTAGGTGAGTTCTTGACAAACAGATGTTCCAGTGTGTGTGTGTGTGTGTGTGTGTGTGTGTGTGTGTGTGTGTACATACACATAGAAAGTTTAATTGTTAAACTTGTGGCTTTTGTCTCACGTGCTTCGACATTGCTCGATTAAAAGTTGTGTCAACAAAACACATAAAACAAATTGAAATTAACAAAAAGAATTTAATACAATTATTTTTTTTAGCTTTAGTTTAAAGGCGAAATATTTCGAATTGAAGATTTATAGAAATTGTAAATATGCATTTTATGCCATCGCAAATGTTTTTTATATATTATATCACAAATAATATATACATATTTCTAAAGAAAAGCTTGTGCATATTGATGCAAGCGTCTCACGAAGTACTTATATTGATAAGTTAATCAGGCACGAGCTATAAAAACGGCCTGTTTACGCATTTTATGACGAAAATAGCAACAATTGAAGGTTGTTAACGTAATCAAGAATAGAACTCCAGGGATGATGGGAACTATGTTTATCAAGTGGATTACAAGAGAGAGATCAGGCGAATTAACTGCCAGACAGCCATAAAGTCGTTAAAATGTGCCGCAGATAAAGATAAGCGCGGCAGGTCCATAAAACGAGACAAGTCCATATCTGGGCACATACATACTCTGTATACACATTTAGGGCTATTTGCTCGTTTTATTGTCGTTGTTCATTTTCGTAATCAGCCAGCTGATTTGGGGCCTGTTGCGTTGCGTAGAAGCTGCCAAAACAATGGCCGATAGATAAAACAAAAAATAAATAAATAGAATTTTACAGTGTGGTGCAACCGACTGTGTTATACTCGTTCCAAGTCTAGCTTGTTTTGAGTAGTCATCATTCTAAATTCGAGTACTTTAGAGTACTTAACGCGAATATGGACGAGTATACTGGTATATGCGTACTAGGGACATCGAGAGAGACCCTGGAGTTGCCAAAGTAGGAGACGTAATTCGACAGCAGGCCAAAAGATTCTTTGGACGCCTTCATTCTTATCCCAGCCCACTCATCCAAGGCGCCTTGCTTCTCCTGGTAGAACAAGAATTAGATGCCCCATTACAGGTGTTTGTCCCTCTAGAGGGAAGACTTAAACTGCGGCAGCCACAGGATCTCACTTGACGGGGTTCTATAGGACAAATCTCATATATTATAAAATAATCAGCAGAAAAACACGAGTATACATTCCAAACTTCTCGCGACTTCACTCAGACCGGACATGACAGCAAACCAATAAACTCTTTTCACTTGGCTAACGAGTATAATAATAACAACAATGTTGATAATCAAGTATAGAGAGAGAGAGACCCAATCGGGGCCTCCTCAAAACAACACACACATACATACATGTATGACAAGTTGACTCTGTTTGTTGTCGCTTATCGGAGAGAAGCTTTCAGCCCATACATATGCTCTGTTATTTCAGACTCTTTCCGTAGTCGGAAAGTACGCAATCGGCTGAAAGAGGTTTAAAGCGGTTCGATCGAGTTTGGCCCCTTTGTTTTGGTATTGTTTTCGTGTTGTTTCTTTTGGTTTTCATACTTTCAGTCCAGCTCGGCGAAGCGAATGGCGACGACAATGAATCAACAACAAAGCAACAACTGATGACCACAGCACAAAGCCAAAGACAAACTTATAAAGTTGTTTCTATAAACATTTCGTATGACTGTATGTACGGTCAGGTACATAAATACCCAACTAATGCCAGAGAGTCAGCGCATAGAGCTTGGTAATTATTTTGAGAAAATGCCATGAAATATGGATAGATATTGGCAGTTAAACAAACTGCGCAATGTTTTGTAGCTTTTTTTATTGACAATAAATTTTCTAAACTAACCTAAGACTAGCCAGCAAATACTCTAATAGGTCACGAATACGCTTTTCTGTGCCTTGAACTTTTGTGAAAGGCTTACAGATCTCCGATCCCATAAAGTTTACGATTACCATGAACAAAGCTGAATCGATTTAGGCATTTCTGTTTGTATAAACGTGACAATCTCAAAACAAGTAAGAGGTTCTAGTCGGGAGCTCCCGACTAGGGGATACCCTGAACCCTCGTCTTCCAACATAAACTGCATATATATATTCTATTTTAGATGTTATATGTCAAGTTTGGTGACTCTAGCTCTTATTATTTACCAAAATAGCCCAAAAACAGGATATCGATATCGATTTTTATCGATTGCTTGGAAACGGAGTAAGTTATCGGTTATCGGAAACAAACTCGATCTGATCGTTGTACCCTTATTATTGTTTAAAAAAGTTTAAAAATTTATTTAATTTTGCTATATCCCATATCCCATAAATTTCATAAAGATCGAACTCTACGCAAAATGTATAAATTATTCTAAGGGAAGAAGAAGTACAGGTACATGAACTTCCCTAGTCGAAGACGCCCTAGTTTTCCTACAAATATCTGACCTAAACAACAACAAAGTTGTTTCTTTTTGTTTACTTTTTGTGTGCAGATGCCTGTCTTTTAATTCGTTCAAATGTTTTATTCTACTGACACATATTTTGCAACCCCCAGAAATTGGCAACCCTTTTCTCGAATGGCAAAACTTTCCACATGACCTTGAAGTGATGCAACAGGACAAAAAATCGCTGCCAGGATTCGCAGTAAACAACAGGCGGCAGCAGGCAAACAAACATGAAATCTAACCGGTTCATATTACGTCGCTAAGAAGCCTGCTTCAAGGTTACCCAGTTTGAAGAGATGCCATCGAGTGCCTGGTCGGCAGAGGGGCGCATCAGGGGAACAGAAGCTGCGCGTGCTGCGCCATTCCGGTACAGGTTTTCGGTGTCGGGCAACCCTGACATTGACATTGAGCGAAGCCGCGCAGGAGCTGAGAGCGGCGCCTAGCGTTGCCAGACTTCTAAAGCTCTGGCCCTGTTTCAATGTCAGGCCCGGCGGTTGAATTTGTCCTTGAGACTGAGTACTACGAGCGGGATATACGGAAATGGCCGTTTGATTCACAGGAAAGCTGCCAACAGGGCGTTTAATCAGATTAAAAGCATGACGCAATTGGCTTAAGCTTTTTGGAGCGGAACAAAGAAAGGGAAAGGTAGATAGAGAGGGACAGAGAACCTCAACTTGTTAGACAGAATGCCGACCCAAAATTTGTTTACGTTTTCGGCAAGGTTTCCGTACGCTACGTGTTTTGGTTCTTTTGCTGACCCTTATTCATTTACTTTAAAAAACATATCGAATATCAAAACAACTTTCATGCGAAACTCGAAAGACAGCGAAAACAACAACAGCAATAACATGAGCTGGCGCAAAGTAGTTTGGATTTTGTTTTGCTTTGGCCTTTTGCGTCGCAGTTTTCTGCAATTTTTGCCATTTAACAGAAACACCCATACATACATACATACACACGCACACACACACACACATATGCATGTACAAATTGGATTTGTCTTTCACGCGTGCGCAGCATTTTTGATTGTTTTTTTACAGGAAGCATTCCCTAGAGTATGGGATTTGCCATCTCGAATTATGTTTTCATTCTGCGGGAATGTTGCTGACATAGTCAAACGGAAATAACAAAATAAGTAATTGAAGCCTTGTGGGTAAATTGTTGATGTACACTTCTTCTTCTTCTTCTTCTTATGGTTTGGTTTGTTTTGATATTGAAGACCGGGTTATTATTGAACGCTTATCTAGTTAAACTTTGCGCTGATATAAAGTTAACATAATTTGGAGAATCATTGCATTGTTACTCAGAAAAAAGACGCAACTCACGTTTCTGGATAAGGTTCTACATGATTTAGCCAGTAAACCATGTTTAGCTATAATCTAATCAGCTGTCCGTTAATATTGTTTGTACCCAGAACATTTGCTTGATAAGAAATTTAATACAGGCTCTTAACAAATATTTGTTGACGTCTTAGCCAAACACATAAGTATATATATACGAAATTGAATGACTGACCAGCCCGTTGAAAGGCCAATTGGCAGAGAATCAAGTATATTTGGCATAAATTGGCGACAGCCACACTAAAATATCTATGTAAACTAACATAGCACTGGCAAATGTAATGAGAAATGTGAGAATAAGATTTACGACCAGCACGAAGGCGAAGCAGGTGAACGACACAAAAGATGCAGCACAAACAAATCAACCAACAAAAAAAGAACAACAAAAACAAACTACGATGACAAGTGCAGAGGCGTCGGCGAAGCGCGAATAAGAAACAAGGTCACTTCGTCAAAGCGCAACGGATTGCAGTGCGCAACAATAACAACAAAGTGAGCATACACATACATGTACGTACACATATATGTAGCTGTGCTTGTGTACATGTGTATTAAAGTGCGTCTAGACGAGCTTAACGCAACTTGAGCAATGTGCTAACATTGAGGCGAAAGCTTTGCGCTGCACTGGCACTGCAAGTGCGAGCGAGAGCGAGTGCGAGATAGATAACGTGTAATGCGACTGCCCGGCTAGCCGTTTTTGGGTTCAAGGCAGTTTGTATGCGTTTTGCATGCAATTTCTTTGTCCTTTGTGCGCTCTCACGAATATGAATTTATGAGTAAGCACAGTGGTCGACACCATTATTTGGACGAGAGCAACATACGTAGTACAATTAGGTACATATATATTTTTAACCATTGTTTAATGCATGACCAATGTGTCGTCATCCCATGCAGATGAACTAAGCAAAAGCCGTTAGAGAATAGTAGTGTTGGTTAACATAAATATGCCTACCACTGTAAATACGTTATACAGGGTATATAGCTTTTTAACAATAATAAATAAATACGCTAAAATGTAATTTGAGTAAAAATCAAAAAAATATATAATTGAGACACCTTTCGAAATTTTACAAAACACCAAGTATGCTTGGAATCGAAGTTATTTGGGTCTTAAAAAAAAAAAAAAAATAATTTAAAAAAAAATGGTTTTTCGTTTTCAAACTAATCCGGAACAAAATCAGTATTCAGACTTGGAAATAAATACAAAATAAAACACAAAATATCCCAAAAGATAGATAGGTTTAAAAATTCCTAAGAGTTCGATTTTCAGTACAATTTTAACCGACTTTAGTACAAAAAACTGCATTTTGACAATTTAGGCTGATGAACTCTAAAAGAGATTTGTTTTCTTGATGTCTGCAATTTGAATTCTAATATGATCAAGAAACAGTTGATGCTCGATTGCACATATAGTCTATAATAATATATTTATTTTAAGAAAATAAAATGCCTTTCTTCAACTATGAAATGTTGCGTGGCCCATGACTGTCACATTGTTGCGTGCGGGGGGTTCGCAATAAAAACCAAACCAAAAAGCGAATCGAATAAACAATAAATTTAACGACCGAGCAGTTGGGGGAACATGCGGATCGGCGGAGGAACCGTGGGCACATTTGTCACAATTACAACAAAAGCCTAAATTGAGTGTACCCCCCCCCCCCCCCCCCCCCCCCCCCTGCCGCACAACAACATGCAACCGGCTGTGGCGCTGGCCAATTTGCGGCCCGCTTTTCAATGAGGCGTTTTGATTTGCGTTAATTGAACTGGCACACGTTGGCCCCTTGAATGGCCAGCGCCGCGCTCGGCGTGAATCCGCATCGGACTAGTATATTTAGCGAGCTGTGAAGAGATCTGCCTGCGATCCAACTATGCCCCGTCAGAGGCAGCTGCGTCAATTCACCCCAAAAAAAAAAGTGTATATAAATAATTTGTACATATTTCGAGCGCGGACAATGATATAAATTATATTAGTCAGACAGCTGTGGGAAACTTAAGATGTTGGCAAACAAATGTTTTCTTTATTATTATTATTATTATTACGCTTATTTTTTTGGAAAATATTGGCCTTGCTTGTTTTCATAGCTGCGCAGAGCTTGTTAACAAATTTAGCACCAGGTGTCAATTGCCTGAACTAAATCGGAAATTTCAACATTGGAAAATGATTTTTCAAGCATATCCAATAAACGTGTCTAATTGATCTCATTGCGTGACTCATGAATTGGAAATCATCTTCAGGAATTCATCCTCAATATATACACGATTTTCTCAACTTCTGAATTCTCGGTAATTCGTCAACCGACGCCGCAAAACAATTTGCCAGGCATAAACATTGTTCTTAGCTGCAACCAAATGCCAAATAGAGTATACGATTTCAGTATTCGAATTTCTATTTTGCAATAAACACCCTGAAAACGTGGTTTTCATATTCGATCTATCCTAATCCAACATCAATATCTGTTCCATATGTGATGACAAAACTGTTTATTTATGAGTTTCTTCTTGACTTGACTTGGCAATCGATTTGTATCGATTAATTAGAAATGGGCGATGATTCAAAAGTACGTTCCCAATTTAAAGTCTCTAGCTCTTATTGTTCCCGCGTTCGTACACACGGACAGACTCACTCTTACACAATATGGTGAACACACTCTTACAGAATGTGGGAACAGTAGACAGTATAAAAGCATAGCGGGAACACTTACCGTTCCCTTAGTGGCAGTAGTTTAAGGCCGCTGCCCAAATTGGAGACCTTTAGTGGTATCTTGACGCTGTCCGAATCGCTGCCGCTTTCGGCACCGGAACCGCCGCTGCCGCCACGCTGCTGCCGCTGCTTATTGTTGACAGGGGCCGGTGCCTGGTGGTGGTGCTGGTGCTGCTGTTGCTGGCGGCCACAGGAGGTGGGCCGCTTTATGTTGCGTCTCTCAGCCTGGGAGGGCAGTCCGCTCACATTCATCAGGTATTGACCCATATTTTCAGTTTCACTAAAACCATCACCATCGCTGCCACCGCCCACTCCTGCGGAAGCGCAGTCATCCAGTCCGCAAAGGCCGGCGCCGGCATCGCTGCCGCTGCCCATGTGCACATCGGCGCTGCAGAGTAGCAGCGCAGCTGCGTTGCCGCCGCACTTACCATTCTGCTGCTGGTGTTGTTGGTGATTTTGTTGTTGTTGTTGGTGTTGTTGTTGCTGCTGCTGCTGTTGTTGTTGTTGCTGCTGCTGTGGTTGGCTGCTGCGCTGCTGATGATTTCGTTGATAATGCTGATGATAGCCGCCGGCGCCGAGTCCCAACGCTGCCGTTGCGTTGCCTTTGCTGTTGTTGTTGTTGTAATGCTTCTGCTGCTGCTGTTGCGTGCAGACGCTGCTGCCGAATGTTGCGCCAAATTTTGTGTCCCGGTGTGTGCCATCTAATGAGATATTCGATAGAAACGAGATCGCAGCCAATCTGCGCCTGTGTCTCGTCTTGTTGAGCGAACTTGCCATTAGGCGCCTAACCGTTATCACACTTGACAAATGCAATCGAGTGTTGGAAAACGACAAGTTGACTGAGTGAGTATGTGTGAGCGAGACAGAGAGAGAGTCAGAGGACGAGAGTGCGCGACCTATGTTACGGTATACGTTATGTGGAGGAATGTGGTCAAAAAGTTACAGAACTTTCCAGCTTAATACTTCCCGTTGATGTTTATTGCACTGCCCAAAAGACCCGAAACACACACACACACAAATTTGTTACAGTTTTTTTTATATATTTTAGTTTCGTGTATTTATTTTCTTTTGCTTTTAAATTATTTGTATTTAGTTGCTTTTAGAGTTTCATTAATATTTGAATGGAATAATTTCGTTTGTTTTATTTTTATTGTTTTAATTTGTTAACAGTTAAACTGCTTAGTCTCTAAATTCGAAGCCGAATGAAACAACAAACTACTTGAACGCGACATTTTGATACCAAAGCTCAAACAACACAATTTTTATAAAAAAAAGTAATTTGAATTTATCGCAATTTATGCACTTTTATTGGAAAATTGAAACGGTGTCCATCCAGATTGACTGCAAATAAAAAAAAACAGTAAACTTTAAATCAATAAAATCATATAAAAGCCGAACGAAAAGCTATGCAATGTCGAGCCCAAGCTTTTTATACACTTGCTAAGAACTGCATGAATCTGTCCTAAAATCTGTTATGCAACAGTGCAGGTTATAAGATATTCTCAAAATTTCCAAATTACATTAAGATTAATTAATCATCGTATAATCATTGCAGCTTCACAGCTATAAAATATACAATTTTATTTATATTTACAAGCTTAAAAGACATTCAATGATGTCATCACCTTGTGATGTATCGCGTTTTTTTTTAGTTATACTTTCAGCAACATGCATTTGCTGCCTTGAATTCGCGGGTCAAAGTCCTTGATATGGGATTCCTTTGTGTGTGCGACAGATGTCCCGTAATATCAACGTGACGTCACACTTGCATGCACAGACAGTTGCACGGTCACTCTGGCAGCGCATTCAATTTATGTTAAGAAATAGTAATCTGTTACACGTAATGTTAATGAATAATGCGTTTGACACACCAATGGAAAATAAACATAAATCGCGAATCTGAATAATCCTTGCACAGTCCTTCGGGACTATTCTATGCGAATAGCTTTAAAAAGCCAATAAACTCTGCCAGATAATTCGAGAAAGCTTTTGCTGCAAGTTTAATGCTGCCTGCAAAAGCTAAATGGCCGAAAGCTGCGTGCACTGCTATGTTGTTGTGTTTGCTGCTGCTGCTGATGATGATGATTATGATGATAATGATGTTGGTGTAGTTGTTATGCGTCAGTTTATGATTTGGCAAATCAACGGCCGGCGAAACGGTAACCGTTTATTTACCTGAGCCAGAGCCGAAAAATGAATAGGGATGAAATTTTCCCACTAGCAAAACATATCACAACAAATAACAGGGCATGGAAAATTTTTGAGCTAACAGCTGACGGCAACATTTGTATTCTAGTTGGTCCAATTGGACACGAAACTGTGGCCAGTTGGAAAGCCGCACGTGCGCTTGCCATGGGGAAAATCAATGTTGAAACAAGTGTGCGTGAATAACAAAAAAAAAAAACAAAGTGCGAAAATTACTACATATATGCAGGCATGATTCACGCCCACGCATGCAGCGTGTGGAGAAGGCGCCGCTGAAAAAAAATTATAAATATGTATATTGTCACCTTTTACTCACCCACAAAATGCAAGGTATTTTAGTTTTTTTTCGCACACTTTATTTGAAATATATGTTGTTTTAATAAAATTAGAAATGTTTCAAGCGCGCCATGTTGATCTATTTTTAGCAAACGGTTTCGAAACTTTTTATCAACTGCGACCAATTACACACTCTCGGCTATTTTTCTATTTTATATATTTTGTTTCTATGCGCAGACTTTGATTTCGCTTTGCGCTGCTGCTTCTTGGACTGTTACCCCGCCTTCTTGCAACTTCTGCCGCTGCCTTCTGTTGTCGACGCAGCTGCTTTCGTTGCGTAAATTGTGCGAAACCGAAATGGCTTTCAAAATGTTTACGAATCTTTGATTTAATGATTGACGAAGACACGTCTTTGATTTATTTATGCAATTATATATCTTTGTTGAGAGACGCGAACTCGTATTCTAACACGAACGTTATGATTGATTCGGAATAAACGACAGAAACGTCAACGTTCCACAGAAAATTCACAAAACTGCTGATAGTGTGACCGCAGTTCAATTCGCTAAAAATACCACTTGTATATTTTTATGGTTTGCCCGGTCACGTATAAGGCAAATATATCGTCCATCACTAGAGCCAATGTATACTCATTATATTTTCTTGGATGTGTTTTTGGGCAACACTTGGCTCCACCCTCGCCGTTATTAGCAGTAAAACGAAAAAAAATCGAAGAAAACATGTAAAGTGATAAAACGCAACCAAAAATCAGTAATTTCATTATCCATTCATCACAAACCAACACCCATACACATCACAGACGCACACACTAACCACTGAGCCCCTAAAAAATGGATCACAATGAAATATCTATGTGCATGGACGTCAAATTGGATACACATGACAAGCGCGCCATTGCGCTGCGGTACAAGACATGGACCAGATGTCTGGTCAAGATCGAGGCCATCAAGTGTGTGCCGTGCTTTCTGCGCCTTAGCTTTCAGAGCCTGGCTACCGATGAGGAGCCCCAACAACAACAGCAACAACAAAAACTGTTGAGCGTTTCGGTCAATGTGCCCGGGGTGAACATCAGCCTGGCCACCTCCCGCACCAAGCAGCACTCGTACGGGCTCTTCTGGACGCAGAATCGTCGCGATTGTTTCATATACTTTGCGCTGGAAACGGAGGTTGCCTGTCGTCGGCATATGAAGTGGATCAAAAAGTCGATCAAAAATCTTGAATTGTTTAGGCAGATCTTTCTGGAGCAGCGCAGATTCAGCCGTGACACAAGGTTAGAGTTCAAGCATATTAGGTTTTAATGTTAAATTATTAAATAACTGACAATTTTAGCGCCCAAAAGGCACTGCGCCCCTTGCCAAACGTGCCCGAATCCTTTTGCTTTGACCTGGACGCAAGTAACTTTTCGTTTTCCGCACGCGTCTCGCAGATCTATGAGGAAATCTTTGACGGGAGCCGCATCTCACGCGCATCAATTGCATCAGGCATTTACGAGGAAATGAACCTGGCGTCCGTTTGTCCGTCTGCAGCCGTCGCGGAGAAGCCACCTGTGGTGCCGCCTCTGCCAGCGCATCGGAAACGCATCAACACGTTTGAATGCCAGCCGGGTGAGATACCGCGCTCTAGCACCAATCCCGAGTCTGAGCTGGCCAAGAAGAAAAAATACAAAAACATGTTGGACAATTTCTTTGGCCAAAAGCGTCGATCGGGCAGCGCCAGCGTCGGTGAGCTCCAGCCATCCGGGCAAGCAGCGGAAGAGCAGGAAGAGCAGCAGCAGCAACAGTTGGCGTTGTACGAAAATGCACCGACACCAGAACCAGCGCCAGCTGTGAAACGAACATCCAACCTTAAGAACGCACATCGTAACAGCTTTTCGAGCCCAGATTTGTCGCAGCTCAACTTTCTGGACACCTTTGGCGAGGCATTGTCCAGCGATGAACTGAATATCAGCCTCGAGGACTCGGCCATTGAGCACGATTCACGCCATGTGCTGCTCGCCCAAATCGCAGGCCAACTGAGCAAGGCCGACTCGCTGGCGAGCCTGAATGTGTCCGAGCAGCTGCCCCACAACTTTAACTTCTCCGCCTGCAATACGTCCACCATTAATCTGATTGGCGCCAACGGCGCCGTCTCACAGATCCAGCAGCGAAATAAGAATGTGTTGGTCGAAGAACTCAATGGCTACTGCGTCATGGCGCCCATCGCTCAGAAGAAAGCCGGCGGCGGCGGCAGCAACGCGGCGATTGAAAAGAAGCCCAGCGGCAGCACAGCATCCACCACATCCGGCTACTCAACGGGTTCCTACTGCTCATCCACGAGCAGCTGCAACACCGACGAACAAGCGGCCAAAACGACAAACGTTGCCGAGCCGCCAATTGCAGCTGAGGCGGCACAAAACGATACAAGCGACATTTATGAGTCCATGCACATCACTTCACTCAATAGCAACAGCGTCTTAGCCGAGCATCTTTATGAGAATCTGCTGGCAGTAAAGGCGTCACAGGAGCTTGAGCAGCACCCGCTCGGGCTGGGCTATGGCCTGAGCACCAGCACACCCACCGAATCGCCGCTGTTGCCAGCGCTGCCGCCGAAGCAACAGACGCCCACCGCCGAGAAGTCTGGACAGGAGGATGAGGACTACTATCAGACACCTCGCAAGTCCATAATAAGCGTCGATGATAAAATACCGTCCTATTATCCGAACAGCTGTGACACGGTCAAGTCCAAGCGCCGTAGTCCCAGCAGCGCCGAGGCAGCGCCGGGAGTTCGTCATTTGGTCAGCGCCAAACTGCGTCGCGAACGCAAGGAGAATCTGTACATATCGTCACCCCAGCAGATTATCGAGCAGCGGCATAAATCAAGCCAGCCTGCAAGCACTTCATCGGCGTTAGCCAAGACTAAAAAAGACTTTAACAAAAAGACTGCCGCCCACAAAATCTCCGAGGGTGTCTATGTCGTCACCCATCCGACAAAGCGCGCCAGCAATGGCATTAGCAACTACAACAACAACAACAACAATAACAATAACGATTTACAGGCCGTGAACGTTGGCGAGGAGGAACTGCTGCAGCTGGTCATGCTGCAAAATATTGATTTCAAGTTTGACGACGGCCAAGCGCCCGAGGCCAGCACCAGCATTAAATCCAAATCGAAATCGAGTCAATTGGAGGACGAGTACGAGCATTGCTATCAGGCAGCAGAGCGTGCAACGCGCATGCTACAAAAATATGCCACGCTGGCCAAGTTTGGCAACTCGCCCACCAAGCAGCAGCAGCTGCAGCTAAAGGCAGCCATGACCCAATCCCAATCGGCGTCCAATACGCCCAACGAATTGCAGCAGCAGCAGCTGCAGCAGTTGGCGCCGCCGTCCAACAGCCTGAAGAAGTTTGCCTCGTTGCCGCGCTTCAAGAAGATTGACTTCTCGCCGCTCAAGATGCGTCTGAATAATGTGCTCCAACGGAATGCGACACCAGCTGCTCCCGCATCGCCTCAGTAGCAATAAGCATGTTTGTTGTTGTTCTTGTTAGTAGGTAGCATTAAGTTAAATGTAAACGCTAGTATTTATGTTCTCGCATGTGATTTGCCGCCTCTAAATGTGTTTTAAGTTTTAGCTTTTACCTAGTACGATTGTATCAAATACGCTCTCAATGCAGCATTAGTCTAGCATTGGTCTGATTTGCCACAAAATATTATTGCTTAGCTTACAAATAAGTACACCTATATATAAGCAAATCATATCATTCATGAAACTAGTATATTCCATATCTGATATCCGATGTTGTGTCTCTTGGTTTTTTGTCTACAAATGCGAACGCGTGTCTATGTCAAAATATCAGATCTAAGAATGCTCAATTATAGAGTTATATTGAAACGCTTTTATTCATATATACACAAACTATTGTTGACTTATTCTACAAACGAAATTAGCTTATTTAGATGTTAAGGCAGCTGCTTTAGGCTTCGGTTGTTCAAATCCTTCAGCTCAATTTTAAAATGTGCGCTAGTATTAAGTCCATATTTGCCGATAAACGCTTTACATTTACAACACATTCATTTATATTCGAACTAATCTAGTTAAATTATTTAAACATAATCCCGGCAAGTGCTTGTCAAAATGTTAACCGCTTTGAGTGGCCGCCCTACGCTTTTTGGCTTTGCAAACATATCAACAAATTGTTAAACTAAATTAGTTAGAATACGCGAAAAGATAATTCGGCCCCTGCCGAAAATGTTCTAATTTTAATATATACACTTATGTAGTACTAGAAGAAATTACCCGGCTTCGTCGGGTCATATGTATCTATGCTGCAAATGCTTCTGTAATTTGCGCCAAGCTCAGATCTTCCAGGATTTTCGAGCTCATAGTGCATTCATTTAGCCCGCCGCGCTACGAAAGCGATATACATGCATCCTACTCCTTAAATACTGGATAAAGAATTGAAAAAGTCCAGATTATACAAAAGAAATGTTTATTATACCATATAAAAATATGTGTCATAGCGACATAAGGCGTTTTAGCTTCTTCTGCAAGGATATTAACTATGGATATTGAAAAAGCTTCTTTATAGCGCAATTAAGGCTCAATTGTACCGTGACTTATATATAATAAACTTTATACAAATGAAAGTTAATAACAATAAAACTTAATCAATGCTTTGTTCACGTACAAGAAACAATAACTAAGATTCTTTCGCTCCACTCAACTGTAGACCAGAGGTCGTCGTTGTTGATGGATAAACTCCTGTTCGATGCGCGTGTCTTTGGGCACCACATAGAAAAGCAAAGCGCCGCCCGAGACGAAGAAGCCCTTCTCGTTTATAATTTCGCGAAGTGTCTTGCTAAGCGTCACCTTGTGCACGCAGCCAGCCTTGCGGTTCTCATAGTAGACATGGACATTGTCTGGGCGATAGCTTAACGTCTTATCACAGGGCAGCGGCTCGGCAAAGAGCGTGTTAAGGCAATCCAGCATGGTGGCCGTCTCTGGCAGTTGCTGTTGGAAATCGCTGAGTAGAAACTCTGGATAGGAGAAGGCGGCGGGCCAAATCAGGGTACTGCCATCATCATCCAAATGCACTGGATAATCCTCGAGTGGCAGAAACTTGGGACGCAACAGATCCTCGGTAATATTTGGACGTTTATTAATTGGCTGATCATCGAATTTAGTGGCACGCTGCTCCAAGGCATCTCTCAGTTTGAGGAAACGTGTCAAACGGCGCTTGGATTCGGCAGCTTCCTTGCGCTGATTGCGCTCTGCATCAAGCTGGTGTGGGTGAGTGTACAATGTTATGCATTTCTTTGTGGCCCTTCACTATTGAAACTCACCTTTCTCATTTTGTTCTTGTGTAGCAGCGCCTTGGCATCCTTGTGATCAATGTCCACTTCGAGCAACTCCTCGCAGAGCTGGGTGCACACATCGAACTTCTCGAGCTCATAGGCACATTGTGCGGCGCGCCAGCGCGCCTTGGTGTAGTCCGGCTTGTAGAATAGGGCACGCTGTGCATCGCTTAGCGCGGAACGATGATTCTTGATGAAGTAGTGGGCCGCCGAGCGATTGTTGTACAGCACGGCCAGGACATCGGGATTCTCGCACTTTGTTTTGATGCCCTCGCTAAAAGAGTATACGGCCATGCGGAATTTCTTGTGCTTCATGTAAAAGTTTCCATCCTCTTTGTAATTGAGTGCTAGCTCTTCCAGTGTGTTCTCCTCCGGATCATATTTGAGCTTTTGTAGGCCCTCAAACATCGGGTGCACCTCATCACCTGGCTGTGGAGTTCGTTTCATGAAAAACGGATGCTTGTCCATTTCCTCCTGCCAGCGATCTTCCGGCCATCCCTCCTCATAGCGTTTCTTCTCCAAGCCATCAATAAATTCATCAAGCTGAGCATCCAACTGCGCAGCGAGCTCTAGCCTTTCCTCATCTGTCCAGTTCTTTTTCGTCGCCAGGTTCTCCATTTCTCTCTCTTACTAACCAATTGCACATGCTGTGCGCGTATAAGGGCTGTCGATAATCTATCAAAATATATCGAAATGATGCGGTATTTTTCCGCATATCGAATATCGTTGTTTTTGGCGTTCTTTCCTTCGGTCACACTAATTTGCGCTTACCAGTGGCGATTAATTTAAAATGTTGTAGAAGTGACTAGTAAAAAACCTCAACGATGCTAATTTATCTTAAGTTAATAACAATGTACCAAATTATTATTTATTTTTCCAATTGTACAATTGATTTTTTTTGTTATTTAATAGTAATTTTGTTTTTATATGAAAATACTTTATACATATATTTGTATGGGTTTTAAAAAAGGCAAAAATTGCCACGAAAGTATAAAACAGTGTGGCAACGCTTTATTGCAACTGCAATGAATGAAGAATTTTTGGCGCGCAACAGCTGAGATGGAATTGGAAGACATGGAAGTGGATGAAAATGCTCCGCAGCGGTAAGTTTATAAACAAAGACAAATCTCATGATATCATTCGATCATGTCTGTTTCCAGCTATGTGCGGACCGCGGAAGACGTTAAGGCTATTGTTAAGCATGCGAAAATGGACGAACGTCAGCTCACACAACTCACACAGGCTTTGTACTATCCCGGCGCCGAGGTGGTCAGCGATAATTTGCGGCTACTGGAGCTAGACGAGCACATGCTGCAACAGATCCGCACCGGTCAGACGCTGCATTTCAAAGGCGGCCTGCATGAAAAAGTTGTGCTTTGCACGGACGAGCGCACATACGATGTTAAAGGCGCCGAGATCTCAAATAGCCTGTTGTTGGTGCCGGAATTAAAGTTTGCAGCAGCTACAAGTACCTCCCCACTGAAGAGTCCGCGTACGGGCAATGCCAATACGTCACTAGAGCGCAGCCTCAACGACAGCGCCGATGATGATTTGGATGTGCCGCGCACTTTGGAACAGAGACAGGTGCTCACGATATTCCACGAATACTTCGAATGCCGCGAAATACGCCCACGTTACCGCAAGCTAGGTGAACTGCTCCAGCTAACACGCTACTCCGGGCCAGAGAACGAGTACTGCATTGAGCGCAAGCTGCTGTTCAGTTTCCAGCAGCTGTTGGACACAGTCCAGTGCAGTCGTGCCCAGTTTGTTGAAGGGCTAAACCAGTACAGGGCTCTGGAATTCGATGGCCACATACGTATACTGGACTACGAGTACGAATATCGCATTATCAATTTAATGCTTGGCGTGATAAGCGAGAATTCCTGGGCTCTGGATGAGGTGGAACGTGAAGAGACAATTTACGCACTGCAAGGCATTGCTCCGGAACCCATTGTGGCTGGGCTTTTTGATGTGTACACAAAACCAAGTGATCGATGCCCTAACAAGTTCAGATACCAGGAGTCGCTTGTGGCACGCATTGTGGCACAGAACATTCTACAGCCAGGCCTGCGTTTTCGCAGCGAGGAGTTCATGTGCACCTGGCAGGATGCATTGCCCGAAGGAATGACCTGTAAGCTAGAGTATCTGCGGGGCTTAGGCATCTTGGACAGGGAAGGTGTACAACCATGCGTTCGTTCCCTAGCCGAGGAGCAGCTGCCATCCAATATTAACGATCGCATGCGTGCCTTGTTTAAAACAAAACGCAAGTGGACAATGGATGAGATGGAGCCGTACATAGAGTAAGCAGATGATCTTTCCGTGTCAGCCGCCATCTAATGCTTGTCAATTTTTTTCTGCAGCTGCTTTACCACGCCTACATTATCTGTGTCCACATTACTGGCCAAACACGCTCGCTCTCTTACCGAGGGTGGCATACGATACTTTGTTTCAAAGCATTGAATACATCAATTTATTTGTACAGTAAACTAAGTTATATTAGTTTATACATTGCGTTTGCGTTTGTTGCGCTGTTTCTTGGCAAGCTTCATGTCCTCGATGGCCGCCTTCATTGTTTCGACAGCACTCTTCCCATTGCTGGTAGCCATATCTGAGCCTGAGAGAAGCTGACCCGTGCTGGTGGGATATTTAAAGCTGAAACCCTTGGGGAAAATAGGCTTCGATAGCAGGGCGGCTAGTTGTGCACGTACTGTATCCACATGCACGCGATTGCGTCTCCTCTCAATGATAAACGGATCCTCGTCTTGATCGCTGCCACTGTAAGGTAAGCGGATTAGAGTATTGGCTAATATCAAAACAGATTTACATACGACTCATCGTTATAGCCATCAATAATCATGTCCATTTCCTCGGCGTGCTTTTTCATCCAACCCTCCTCGCTTTGTGTGCGTCGCAGCTTTAATTCCTCTTTGTCCAGTTCACGTGCTAGATTAACCCGCTCCTTGACCGATCCCATAAAGCGCTCAGAGATTGGAAAAAGAGGTAGATCCTCGGCTGCAAGAAACAGGTTTTGTTGAATCAACATACCGACCACACTCAATGTCAGCCACCTACTTCTTTCCAAGGTTTTGTATAACCTTACATATGTCTTGACCTCGCCAGGTTCCATAAACATGACCGTTATACCATGTTTATTGGCACGCGCCGTGCGACCCGACCGATGCACATAATTCTCGCTGGTGCGTGGCACTTGGTAGTGTATCACATGCTCAACATTGGGTATGTCCAAACCACGGGCAGCCACATCGGTGGCTATCAGCAAACCCATCGGACTATCACGAAAGCGTTCCAGATTTTTTAGGCGCTGCTTCTGTATCATGTTGGCGTGCAGTGGCAATGGATTGCAATCCAGCAAACCGAACAGCGTGGCCAGACGCTTAACGCAGTCAATGGAGTTGCAGAAGACAATGGTTCGACCAGGATGACGTTGCACAAAATAGTACAGATAATAGTCCTTCTCATCAATTGCACACAGCAGCCTACTTTCGGTGAGTGTTTGTGCCGTTTCTGTAAGATAAGTTTTAAGTGATACTGAAAGAAATTTTTTGGAAACGGCGCTGGCCACTTACGTTGACTGCTGGTAATGTCCACAATCTTGGGCTGCGATATGCCCAACTCTTCAATTAAGCTCTCAATCTTTTGATCCACCGTTTGCTTGACAAACTTGGGACGTTTAGCCAGATTACGTTCTACAAGTATAAAGCCATTGATGAATTAAAAATATACTTTGGAATTTCAGTTCTTTTCTGCCTACTTTGCATATGCTCGGGTAGATCGTGTACGAGCGTTAATGTGGCGGAGAACACAAAGTTCTGGCGCAGCTTTTGGCGGTCCCCATCCGCGTTGAGTACCTTGAGCAGGCTGCGCAGCTCCTCAAAGTGACCCTTCTCCACCATGCGATCGGTTTCGTCTATGCACAGAAAGTTAACATTTTCAATCTTGTTCAGGTGCTGATTGCCCTGCGCATACAGTTCCCAGAGACGACCCGGCGTGGCTACCACAATTTCGGGGCACTGGCGCAGCACGCGCTCTTGCTTGGCCACAGATAGGCCACCAAAAATGGCTGCCACACGAATGCCCGTATATTTGGCCGCTGCGACAAGATGATTCTTCACCTGCACGGCCAATTCACGGGTGGGCGTCAGCACCACAGCGTAGAGTGGACGACCCATGCCCTGGTTGTGCTCCTCAGCATCGCTTTCTTCGTCACTGGCACCAGACACATAGTCCAGCTCCTCTGGCGGCGGTGTCAGCTCGTGGTTGTGATTGTCCTTAGACTGTGGCGGCCCTTCCACTTGTTGAGTCCCTTTAACCTTCGGCGCCTTGCGAATACCTGAGCCGTCGTTGCGCTGCTTCAGCTCCATAATGCCCGAAAGTATGGGTATGCCAAAGGCAAGTGTTTTGCCGCTTCCAGTTTCAGCAGCGCCAAGTATATCCTTCTTGCCATGTATAGCAGCAGGCAGGGTCATGGCCTGAATTTGGGTGGGCGCCTCGTAGCCTTGCTCCGCCAAGGCGCGCATAATTGGTGCCGGCACGCCCATGCCATTCCATTTCGTCATATCTTTCTCATCTTGCGGGTTGCAGGGTATAAGTTGTGGCACTTCCTCGTCTCCGGAGCTTGCCTGCTCCAAGTCGTCGCCATCCGGCGCCGGCGGTCGAAGCAGCGCAAAGCGATCAGGCGCATACTCTTCATTTGGTGTGAATTTTGAATTGGTTGACTTGGGCTCTGAATTAGGTACAGCCTTTTTTTGTTTTCGCAGTTCCTTACGCTTTTCACGCTTCTCCCGCTGCTTCTGAATGCGCTGTGCACGGTGCTCTGCCATGCGAGCTTTCTTACTAGACTTTGATGATCTACTAGTCTCATCCTCAGCTTCGCTATCGCTTTCGTCATCGGTAGTGGAAGGTTCTGAATCATCCTCGGGTTTTGATTGCTTGCGTTTTTTGTTCTTTTCATTACCCCTCGTGCCACTCTGTTTCTGTGTTGATTTCACAAGCGCCGCATCGTAATCCTTCAGCACCTCAAGGCCAATCAGGCCCTCGTAACCGGTAAAGTCGTTGGATATCACGTGGCCCTTGATTTTCACCTTCTGCCAGCCTTTTGCTTTCGTAGCTGGGTTATCTATTTTGACTTTCTTTTGCTTTGCATTTGAGTTACTTTTACCTTTTATCGTTACCATTTTTACATGAAATGAATTTGAGCCCAGAGTTCGATCTGGCGCAGTCCGCGTGTTTCGTTTGTTGATATTCTATTGGACAGGGCTGTTATGTGCTATGTGAGTGTTGAACAACGTGTATAGCATAAAAAGGCGCAAATTTTGAAAGCTGTGAATTGTAAATGTTTAACAAATATTAACAGAAAATAAATAAGCTTTTAGGCTTAAATCCGAGATGTATTTTTGTCTTTGTCGAAAACCAAGGTTAGTTTGCTGATATTTATGACCTTTACTTATAACAATACTTCGGTTTTTTATGACCGTGGGAGGTCTTCATGTTTTCATATAACCTTTAATATAATATTGATCTAAATACAATTTTCGTTTACCTATTACAACGCCATAAAGACATACTCCTTTATGTTATAATTAATAAACTACCCACATATTTATTATAAACTGAATGTGTCCGTCAACCCGACATAGTTTGGGGCGGGGTCCTATCTATATCAAGATACCATTTTCATATCTCAAACTTTCCAGCTGCCTGCAACTGCCGAAAGATACCATGTATGAGTGACTTATACAGAATTGACTTAAACAATTGTTAAAACAGCTTATCGAGAGCTACAGGAAAACACATTTATTTATTAAATCAGTTATGGAATACTATTGTGATATATTGCTCAGCTTAACATTAAAAACGTTTCAGGAATTCCTCAGCACATGTGCGTGCTCGCGCATTCACCGCCAGCTTCATTTCGCTGATTTCCTTGTCGATTTCCTCCATGAAACTGATGACAAAGTCCACCAACTTGTGTTTGTACATTTGCTCCGTATGGAAATTTGTTATCAGAAAGCTAATGTCATATCCCTCGATTGGCTTGCGTCGCAGTATGATGAAGGATTCTGCGCGACGCATCATGAAGCGTGTAAACTTGTGGCACAGAATGCGCTCTATTTCATCTGCCTGCTTGACGGCAATGCTGACCCGCACCGAGTTGATGGACGGCTCAATTCGCACCTTTTCCCTCTCATTACGCGACACGACGATGGGCGTGAGCACCAGTTCTTTGCTGGAACAAATTTCCACCTCCGGCTTGTTGTGCCGTTCCACAACTTGCGATGGAAAATCCTGCAGACACATTGCAGCAGTTAACGAATGCCGTACAGCGGTCAAATACGGTTTAAGGGTGGCGGCCATGGCGTGTTACAAGTCTTAATGCTCCGTTTAAAGTTTTAATGTTTGTGTTGAGGTATATTAACCTTCTTCTTTTATTATGAATCACACGACGATAGTATCGAGTCGCCATCGATAGAAAATTCCTTATCGATATCGGTTCCATCTATTTTAATAAATACCAAACTATACATATGTGCATAAATACTTTGCATGGTAAATATTCATTTTATAAATTTTATAAGAGTGCAGATTGTGTGTAAAAGGAATTTGTTTATTAATTTTTAAATGCAGCTTATATATCATGAAGTAGTTCTTTTCATCAGTCATATAAGTGTGACAACGGTAAATTGTAAGTCGATGGTAAATAACATGTGCGAACTATACATAAAAATACCATAGTTCGAATTATTGTTTTGCAATCGATAAATACCACACTTCGAATTATTGTCTTGCAATCGATAACATTTATGCGAGGCTTTCGATGCGACTTATCGACCGAGTACACTGCATATCGGGAAGCAGCAGATGCGTAAAATTATAACAAGAAACATTTTTACCTAAATGACGCGGTAATCGTTGCTAATTCAGCCTACCAGGAAAGCAGCAAGATGTGGAGCAGCATCGCGTGGCTCCTGCTCCTGGCGGCAACTGCACACACATCGCCAAACAGTGAACATGTTCCTCCTCTACCTCTAAACATAAGCAAAAACACAAACATAACAAATGAAACCTTAACTAGCAATAATAACAAAGTGCCTACTTCCAACGCTGCCGCCGGCTACATGCCGCTTCAGCAGACATCAGCAGGTGTTTTCTTCGTTAACTATAATCAGCAAAACTTCGTGCAACTGAGGCACAATGTGGAGAATAAGTTGCACAGTATACGTAATGTGGAGATGCTCGTTACCAAGATACAGGTAAGTCCCATGATTTTCAATGATTTCCTGCTGTAATGCGTATTGAATTCTTGCAGGAAATCTTCGACTCGATACATTTTGCCAGTTCTGTAACTACCCGGCTGTCGTCTGGTAACGGCAACGAGACCGTGCAGCAGGATCTGCAAGCATTCAGCCAGCGTCTGGGACGCAAGCTGCAAAGGGCCACACATGTTGTACTGGAGCTGCGTGATTTATTGCGTTTTAATCTAAGCAATGTGCTCCTACAGCAGCACAGCTATGACGACGAAGGGGACGATGACCTAGAAAGTGAATTTGACTTTGAAGTGGAGGATGGGGATAGCAACAATGCGGCCGTCAACAACGAGCACATGCATCTCTACTTGAACACGCAAATCGAAAACTGTCAACTATACTATGAGACCAATATGGATACCGTATCCTCGGGCTCTGCTCATTACAATAAACAGCAAATACAAATCTTAAACTATCTCAAGTCGGATGAGGCGTCACGCGCCACATTCCTCAACGAGAACAGTGGACGCTCCCTTGCCGCCAATAGCTACATAGCTGATCAGCTAACCATGCTGAGGCAGCGCCTAAGCAGTAGCCCAGGCGACAACGAGCCAAGCAGCAGCAGCAGCAACAAAAACAAACCCAGCAGCAGCAGCGTCAGCGTCAGCCACTTTAAGCACATCTATTTCCTCTCCAGCAGCGATGGTGCCTCAGGCAGTGCACATTTTCGTCGCCTGTACGTTTCGGCTATAAAGCGCAAGTTTGTGATGCTACTCATCGATGTGGGATCTGCATTGAATGCCGAGCTGTTTGAGATCACCAAAAGCTTTGGTAAGTGAATGCCCAAAAAAAGGGAAAGAGAGAAAATCTAGGTTATTCAGGTCGCTTACAAAGAATGATAGCTAAGATTTCATATTTCATATTTATATTATAAATTATTAAATTATTTGTACTATTTCCCACACAGTTCAGGAGGTTCTGCTGTTGTTGGAGGACACCGACTATGTGTCGTTCGTGACTGTTTCCAGCGAGGCCGACTTTATGTATCTGGATGCGTTTCCTGCGGAAGCCGTACACGGCATATATAGCGCTACACGTGCTCATAAGGACGAGATTCTTAGCTATGTGAATAACCTGAGCCTGGGACGTGGAATGACCAATCATACGCTGGGCTTCGAATATTCATTCGAGCTGCTGCATCGACTGCAGCAAGCACGGCTGATTAATGTTTCCGAGCAACCCATTGAGTTTGTTTATGTGACGCGTGGACTGCTAACAAATCTATCGGATGCCATGCACGTGCTACGTGTCTTGGCCCAGGGCCAGAGTCGTCTGCTGTCGCCAGTTATCATCAATACCTGTGCCGTGGTGCTAGACGAGAAGCGCATAATGTACGAAAAACAGTTTCTGAGCGATATAGCTACGCAAAACTATACCAAGTTCGACATTGATGTGCGCGCCTGGCTGCCCGCCGGCCAGGAGGCGCAATTGGCAGGACGCTTCTTTGTGCTGAATAAGATGCGTGCGGAAACAATACCTCGGGCGAGCAGTCGTGTCTTTGGTCAGCTCTTCACAGAGCGCTTTCTCACGGATACACTGGAAGTGCACCAGCCCGTTGTGGATGTGGACAGCGGAGGTTAGTCTATTGCATTTGATGATGTTTTATTCCTAAATTAAATTCGTTAATTTGCTAGACGTTCTGGTTGCCATTACACATGCCGTGCCGCCCTACGGCGTTGTGGGCGTCAATTTGTACTTGGCTGATTTATTGGAGGACCTGCTGAACTACCCAAATGCCTCGCCGGCTGCCAAACAGGGCTTCAGCTATGCCTTTCTGTTGGATCGCGACAACGGAAATACGTTGGCCCATCCAGCTTTTCCTCGCCCACTCATACAGCGCGAAACAGCATTTCCAGTAAGTATTGCTTACCTCGAGAACGCGACAGACTTTGCCAGCATTCTTAAGCGTCTGCTGCATGAGGAGCGCGGCAACGCCAGCACTGCCATCTACCTGGGTCGCCAACAGTTGTTGCGAACCTATCACTGGCAATCCGTGCTGGGCATTTATGTACTGTGCCTGGTTAGTACCGCAAGCATCAGCGGCTCTGCCGCCCACAATGCAACCGCTCCGCTCCAGCGCTACAATCGAATGGATGCGGTGTCTACCTATGAGTCTGGATACTATGGGGACATCAAGGACCTGTTGTATCATCGGTTGGATTTGATGCAAAACGGTGGCAGTGGCACGCCCACAACCTGCCGCTACTTCAGGCAGCTGGCCACAATGGGTGAGTGTATATCGAGTCGTCAAACTCAAAAATGTTTCCCATCAAGATTCGGTTCATCCCCCTAGTGTCAATTGTAGAAACCCAGGTTTTGATTCGTTTTTTTCACTGAAAACTTCTTTTTTATTAACTTGATTGCATCTAAAAATGATTTATCGCATGATATAGTGCACATCTAATTGACTTGAAACCTGTTGGCCTATAACCCATAGCCACCCATTTTAAAGGTTTTTTAATTAATAAATTTGTTCCTTAAATAATTTAGTTTTTCTGTTTCTGCAGATGCACCCACTCTTTTCCTGAGTGCTGCCGCCTTTAATTCGCCCTTTGCATTTCTGCACAACAATCGACCACGTACGCAGCTGCGGCACGTGGAGTCCATTATGGCGTATCTGCGCGACTCGAGTGGCCTGCTGGCTAATCCCGGCCTGCGTGCTCGCATACGGCATGAGGTTGGCGTCTTGTATCAAGCCATGCAACTGTTGCGACGGCGGCATCAGGATCCGGCTGGATCGTTGCGTAGTCACATAATCAGACGCTACGTAGCCAGTGTCAGTGGCGTGCTGCAACTGTATCCGGGCTGCCTGTTGAGCAGCAGCTATGATGCAACACGACGTCCTTGGTTCCGGCAGGCGATGGCACAGCCGGGGCGCATTGTGAGCACGGCGCCGTATCTGGACGCAGGCGGCGCAGGCTATATTGTGACCATAGCGCATACAATATTCGAGGGCAAGGCGGATGCACTGCACTCGGCCCAGCAGGATCGGCCGGTGGCTGTGGTCGCACTGGATGTACCCTACGCCTTCTACTATCGCCTCATATTGGACAGCACGCCGCTTTGCCAGCTGCCGCACATGAAGTGCCTACTTTTCGAGCACGAAGGCTATTTGCTGGCGCATCCCAGCATGCTGCAGGTGTCGACATCGACACGCAATCAACGCCGCCCGCACGAGCACTTGACGCACAAGGAATCCTATCTGGCCAACGATATGCTAAACCATGGACAGCTGGTGCGCAAACTGGGCTGTGCCAGCTATCAGAATCGCACGCTGCAACGCTACTACGCCTTCAACACATCCTTGGCTACAATTCTGGGCAATGTGGTGCATGGAGAGCGCACCAAGTACGCCATTGGCCTGATACGGGGCAGCAATCTGTTCGCGGCGGTGCTCAACTCTAGCTGCGATGGCGGCGCCTTTTGTCCGTGCAGCACCATCGATCGCGTTTGCCTGAACTGCAAGCGTATGGATCAAACGGACTGTGAGTGTCCCTGCGAGTGTCCCATGCTGCCAAGCTCTGGTGCCAGCGATCCGCACGATTATGCAAACTATACGAGACAATTTCCCTACTGTTCACCGCCCAGCGAGCATTTCCTTGCACTGCCGCCTACAACACAACTCTTAACCAGTCTACCAAGCTGTGCCGCTGCTGCTGCTGGAGGCGGCTGCGAGGCGTATGCTACTCAGCGGGAATGCCTCGGCGTGATGGGCTGCGAGTGGTGCCAGCAGGATGTGGAGGGAAACGGCTTCGGTGCGGCCTTCTGCTCGACACAAGCGGGATGCTTTAATGGCGTGCTAGCCTCTCTGACGCCCTATGGGGAACTGGATGAATTGGAGATGTTGGCCGCGCACAATCCACAGCGGGAGCAGCATGCGTACTCCGCCTTTGGACCACTTGGTGGCGCCATTGTTGTGCTTGCCGTGGTAATTGGCTTTGCCATATATTGCTACAGGCACAATTTGGACACACAAGCACAGGAGCAGTTCTACGTGGATTCGGTGCAGGAGGAGAATTACGGGCTGCCGTTGTCGCGTTTCAATTTCGATGATTGCCAGGCGCACGATGAGCCGCCCATGGGTGGATACGATCATGCTGCTGCCCAGCGTCAGCTGATGCATGCCGCTGACATTTCGCCATATCATATGTCGAGTGGCAGCAGCTACTATCGCCGGCCGCCGAATGGTGAATCGGATCATGGCTATAGCACCATGACACCACACGAGGATAGCTCCGATCAGCAGTGCTTTACGTTGGCGGAGCCACTGCTGCTGCACGACAAGCGGCACAGCAAATCGGACACCATGTCCATATCAACATCCATATCGAGCCCAACCAACCGTCAACAGTCCACAACGCATCCCTATTTAAGCAATCAGCCGGCTTCCAAAACGGAGCGCTATAAACAGCAGCAGCAGCCACAGGCGACGCCATCGCCATGTCGCGGCGCAGCTGCTGTTTACGGCCAGACGACACTCCCGCTGGATGCGGAGGAGCCACGTTCCCACTACATACTGGCGCCGGTGACGGTGCATCGGCATATGGAAACCGCCGAAACATAGTCCCAGCTAGTTTGTTAGTTTGCAATACTATTAAGACGTCCGCTTGTTTGCCAATTTGGTTATTTTGTACTAAGGTCTGGGGGAAGTTCAACTGCCCCAGTGCAGCGCGGTTTGAGCAGCGCTGCTACAGTTTGAGCAGCATAGGTCGAAGCCTATCACATTCACACATACAAAATGCCAGCCAATTTAGTATTTAAGTCGTTTATGTCGTTAATAACTTTGCCATTTTTGTCCATATACACGTTTGCGTGTACTGTAATTTATTGCAAAAAGTATTATTATGCAGCTACTTCCAATATTTTTAGCATTTATTGTTAAGCACTAAATCAACTAATTGTACTTATTGTCAACCGTGACAAACGACTCGAAGCAAGAGTATGCATTTTTGTAATAGTTTTTAAGTCTATAAAGTTACTAACTATCGATTTTAGTAAATAAACACACACAAATTGTGTTTCCAATAAAATGTTTAAATTTTACAGAACAAAAATGAAAAGAACAAAAAAATCCCTCAGCCTTGATTTAGAGCGAATTGTCAATTGTCTGTTCGCACGCCCAGCTGTCGGCGTGTTAATGAATTTATTTTTACACTAAACAAAAAAAGAATAGAAGAATAGAGAATTTCCAATAGACATTGGCCAAAATGCTGTGTGTTTATAAATAACGAGATGTGTTCGAGTTGCCAGAGAAATTCGAAGAGTATTTAACTTAACTATATTTAATGATTGGTCAAATATTATCTTAAAATTATGTTAGATTGGTTAGAAAATGTAATTAATAAGTTCTTTATGTTCGTAAATCTAATAATCGCTATAAGAGTCTTGATTCTGTTCTGTTTAATTACCAACCGTTTTCATAACCGATTATAACCGATACGTTTGCGATAAACTCGACAACCCTATTGCAAAATTTGTGCTCAATCTTTCGTTTTGCGGTTGAGACTGTTGCATTTGGTTTTCTGGTTTGGCGCACGACGAACGTTGTTTTTTGGGTTTTATTTCCAAACCCAACAACGAAAACTTGCTACTTCAGCTAGACTTCAGGTTCATCCGTTCTATACACCCCGCACTTTCTTCCTCGCACTTTGAAGTGAGTCTTTTCGGATTGAGTATACAAAAGATCTATTCATATGGGTACCAATATTTTCCTTGGGCTCTTCACACAAAACCATTACGTAATGCACAATAAGTGTACAAACGGGGAAAGAGACGAAAATTATGTAAAAAACTGTGGCATGTGCTCAATTTGCTGCAAGATCAATGCCAATTGCGGGAATAAGTGATCGATATTAATTTGAAAAACAGTTGAAGGAGTATTTTAAAAAAATTGTATGTGCCTGTTAAATTTTGTAAAGCGTGAAGCGTTCTTAAAGGCAGCTCTAAATATTTGCTTCAATGTGTCAATTCGGTTACATCATGACCCGCTAACCTCAACCTTGTCGTCGTCTATTCCACAGCATCCTCGCTAGCCAACATGTTCAAATCTTTGTTCGAGGCCGCTCAGAACTCAACGTTCAAGTCGCCGTTCACCAGTGCTAACTGCCAGGCTGCCACGCCCTCACCTTCAGCCTACTCCTCGGCCAGCGATGGAGCCGCCCGTCAGCTGAGCCCCAATCACAATTTCGCCGCCGCAGCTGCCGTGCAGGGAGGTGAGTCGGAGTTGGAATTCTGTTGGCTTGAATTGAATATAAATGTGTTTCTATATTCTTTCAGATTCCTGTGAGTTTGGCTCCAATCATTACTTCTTGCTGTGTGGTCTGGGTGGTATTATCTCGTGCGGTACTACGCACACCATGGTGGTGCCTCTGGATTTGGTCAAGTGCCGTCTCCAGGTGGATCCGGCCAAGTATAAGAGTGTTGTCAACGGCTTCCGTGTCAGCTTGGCGGAGGAGGGCGTGAGGGGTTTGGCTAAGGGCTGGGCGCCCACTTTCATTGGCTACTCCATGCAGGGTCTGTGCAAATTCGGTCTATATGAGGTCTTCAAAGTTATATACTCCAATGCCATTGGCGAGGAGAACGCCTTCCTGTATAGAACTGGCCTCTATCTGGCCGCTTCTGCCTCGGCTGAGTTCTTTGCGGATATCGCGCTGGCGCCCATGGAAGCCGCTAAGGTCAAAATTCAGACTACACCCGGATTTGCTAAGACGCTGCGCGAGGCGCTGCCTAAGATGACCGCACAGGAGGGCATTTCGGCCTTCTACAAGGGTCTGGTGCCACTCTGGATGCGACAGATTCCATACACCATGATGAAGTTCGCCTGCTTTGAGCGCACGCTGGAGCTGCTCTACAAGTACGTGGTGCCCAAGCCACGCGCGGATTGCACTAAGGGCGAGCAGCTGATTGTCACCTTTGCCGCTGGTTACATTGCTGGCGTCTTCTGTGCCATTGTCTCCCATCCCGCTGACACAGTCGTGTCCAAGCTGAACCAGGCCAAGGGCGCCAGCGCTCTTGATATTGCCAAGCAACTTGGCTGGGTTGGTAAGTGAACCATCAATCCGTTTACTTACAATCCTTACAATCTCTTGACATTTTCCAACAGGACTGTGGGGCGGTCTGATGCCTAGGATTGTCATGATTGGCACACTCACTGCCGCTCAGTGGTTCATTTATGATGCAGTCAAGGTCTTCCTGCGCATGCCACGCCCACCACCACCAGAGATGCCCGAGTCGCTGAAGAAGAAGCTGGGCGTGACTGGGCAGCAGTAAGGGGCATATATAGAAGTTAACCGGTTTAAATATACATAAATAGAGTGCAAACAGATATTGAACGAATAAATGCAAAATGTGTAGAAAACAAGATAAATAAAAACATACCAAACATTTAAAACTCTTGAGATGTGATCTCTATGAATGTTTACTCCTGGAGTAAAAGTCGAATTGTTCAAATAAGAAATTTAAATTTCTCAGCATGGAACTTTTAGTGCGCACTCAAGAAAATTCTTCTACGGAATTAAACTGATTTTAACGAACTAAATTTAAATTTGATATTTTGAAGAAAGAGTTTAGAAATATCCCATATCACATTTGTTAAAACCCAAGTAATATCCGTTTTGTCAACCTACTTTGTATGTAATGCGCGCGCAATGCATTCAAAAATTCTTTTCATTTTATGCATTGCTTTTCGCCCAGGGCTGCACAAAATTGATGAACTCTGGTCACCCTGGCAGTCGGCTGTAAATGGCGCGCGTTTGAATTAATCTGGCTGAATGCTATTGACTGAAAACGTTACAATGCAGCTAATTCTCAAATATTTCATCATCATAAACGATAAATCTTACTATTTGCCGCAGAATCACATTTTTATTAAAAATGGCTTGGCTCAAAATAAAATACTTTTAAGCTAGACCCAGCACCAAAGCTTGGATCTTAACCATGTCATTAATGTTAGCTAATTTGGATACTGATTATTATTATAATTCAGAATGGACATTTGTTAATTAACATTTTTTTAAAATTATTTCTTTAAAATTTTAATTTTTACGACAATTTGATGTATGTTTGCAGCCCTGCTTCATATACATGCATACATATGTTACATACATGTGCACGCAATGAGCAGGCTTTCGGATAATCATTAATCAAAGGCTAGCACAAATAATTTATGATTTTGTTAAGTTAATTTAAGGCAAAACAAGCGCATCGAAGCATCACAATTCTTTTGTCGCCACCTGCTGTTAGATATATTTTATAAGACCCTGATCAGACACGTGGAGTACTTTGCTACTTAGCTTCACAAAGGTGTTCTTCCGTTAAAGAATGTATTTATTTGCTCTCATATAATATCATAATCAGGAAACAATGACCAACTAATTATATATATATTCTACTTAGCCTAATGTGCAGCTTTGAACTTGACTATTTCGGGGAACATTTTGTAAATGTTAACCCTTGGACATATACAGTTAGACAACTGACTTAACAAACCGTATTGAAAATATTTGAATCTTTGCCAAATATGTGCTCATCCGATTTCAAGGTCATCAAGCATGCGAATCGTCGTGCTTTATTTTTGATGGATTACGTGACTCTTGGAACCGAGATGCACCAGATGTGGCCTATGTGTGTCAAACGAGGGAGGGAGTTACGTGCATGGCATGCCAAATATTTGCTGCATATGTTTAATAATTTGATATAAAAATGCGTGAGCCCGAAGACTTGTATTGCAGTTTGAGGCCCAGCTTTGATCAAAATGCTGCTAAAGGTGGGTTGCATTTGCAGACAGTCTCCGGAGAGAGAGAGAGCTTACACTTTTTTATCATTCAAGGTAATACTTCTTATCGCCGCCATTGCTGGCATCCATGCCGAGTCACCTGCGAGAGCTCCATATGCTCCGGCAGGCTGGCGTCCACGTGTGCCATTTGATTTGCCCAGCCAGAATCTGCCGCCAGTGGGCTCCAGCTTTGAGATCAGCAGAGAACGCGTTGAGCACGCTGCCACCTTTAATGCACCCCAGGCAAATTCCAATTACTTGCCCCCAAATGCCGAGGTACCCAACCAAGGAGATATATTGGAGAGGGAGAGGGAGCGACAGGCGACTCAGCTACCAAGTCCGGCAGCCCAATACGGAGCCCCAGTTGATGGCAGCTTTAGAATAGACTATCCTGATGAGGAAAACCCAGCGCCGTCCACTGATTTGCAGTCAAGAATCGAGGAGGGCCGTTATTATATAGTTTCCGCCGATAACAAACTGCAACGTGTTCTATATCGGACTGTGAAGAATGCAGAGGATGCTGCTGGCGATGGCTTCACGGCACAGCTGAGATACTCCTCGGTGGGTGAGTTGCAGGATCCGATTTATAAATATAATAGTCAGGGACAATTGGAGCGCGTGCTCAAGTAACTATTCTCAGTTTAGGGAAGCAATAAAATGAAAAGCTTTCACTTTTCGTCGAATATATGTGCAATTAAAAAACTTGATGCTCTATTTTTTCTTTACTTTGTTTTATACAAAAATGCTTCTTTATTCATTATTATTATCATTATACACAAAAAATCTCATATGTCTTCGTACACATTTTTCCATTTAAAGAGTGTGGCTCCAATGCATTTTTCATCGGAATTCATTAAAATTAAATACAATGCTTATGTATATGTATATGTATGTATGAATGCGTGTGATGGTCACAATATGTATGCATGTATGTGTGTGTGTGTGTGTGTCTGTGTGTGTGTCCGCAACTGTGTGGAACAACACAAAATGAAGGCGCTTAACAAAACAAACGGCATAATACAGGGAACACGAGGCATAGGCGGAACAGTGGAACAGTGGAAAATGGAACGCGCCTGGCTATGGCAAAATGGCGGCGTTCCATTAAAATGTGACAGCGGGAGGGTGACAGGGGGTGACAGTAGAGATGACAAGCATGACAAGCCAGTGCATGTCAAACTGGGCTCGCTGCGGCGGCAGCAGATGCTTTTAATACTCAGCTCGGTTAGCGATAGAAACAAAAAAACAACAACATTATAGACAAGTATAGTTACAGGGTCGAAACACTAGAAGGTAACGCCTTACTGGCACTCTCCTTACTGATAGCCATTGAATTTGCCCTGCTGCGCATTGCTGTCATAGCCGCCGCCGTTGCGTCCATTGCCATTGCCATTGCCGTTGCCCACCTGCTCGTAACGGATGGTTGGACGGTAACCATTTTGATCGGCCTCGTATTCGACGATCTGCTTGCGTCCGTCGGGCAGCAGCACGTAGTAGCGACCGATGGCCAGGTCACCGTCGCGCGATTCCATGTGGCCAAAGTCATTGCCGGACTCGTAATCCTGCACGTCGTATTTGAACTCATACTTCGCCGGGCCGTACTGCTCCTCGTCGCGCTGACCATAGCCGCTGCCGCCGTTGCCGCCGCTGCCATAGCCGCCGGCACCGCCGCCATTCTGTCCCTTAAAGATCGCTCCGGTCAAGGCAGGTGCGCCGTACTGGCTCTGGGGCAGGGGCGCGCCGTAGCTGTTGCTGGGCGCCGCGCCACCAGCCTGGCCGCCACGCTGAGGAGGCAAGTAGTTGTTGGCGGGCGACTGATAGCTCTGTGTGGGCGGCAGATAGTTGTTCGACGGCGCCTGCGGCGACTGATTGGGCGGCAGATACTGGTTCTGGGGCACCGGCGGCTCCGCTTGCGTCCAGGCGGCAAGGCAGACGAGCAGCGCGATCGTTGTAAAGCACTGCAAATGGAAATGGAAAATGGAATTGGATCGATTGATCATTTAAGTAGGAAGCAGGGCAGGCTTGGAGCTTGCAGTCAACCAAATTAAGTTGTTTATTATATTATCAGTTATTTGTTAGTATTTGGAAACCGTTTTATTTGGTAACCATGACCGATTCGGATGAGGGCGCCTGGATACCCTGGTTCTGCAAGCAGCGCGGCAACGAGTTCTTCTGTGCAATAGACGAGGACTACATTCACGACAAGTTCAATCTAAACTTTCTCGACTCGAATGTGAGCAACTATCGGCGCGCCTTGGAAGTTATACTGGATCTGGACACGGGCTCCGGCTCGGATGCACCGCCCGAAATTGAGCTGGAGCAGTGCGCCGAGAAGCTATACGGGCTCATTCACGCACGATTCATATTGACGAATCGCGGCATTGAGCTCATGTTGGAGAAGTATCAGAAGAGCGCCTTTGGCATATGTCCTCGTGTTTTTTGTCAGCGCCAGCCAGTGCTGCCCATCGGCCTGAGCGATAATCCCGGAGAGGATATGGTGCGCATCTTTTGCCCCAAGTGCAACGATGTCTATGTGCCCAAGTCGGCGCGGCACGCGGCCATAGATGGCGCCTTCTTTGGCACCGGCTTCCCCCACATGCTCTTCATGGTCAAGCCCGAAGTGCGCCCCAAACGCACCAAGCAGAGGTTTGTGCCAAGGTTTGTGTTTTTGTTAAACTTCAATTAAACTGGCAAAAATAGCGCTTATTTATCGCTCCTTCATAGATTATATGGGTTCAAGATTCATCAGTTGGCGTATCGATCGGTCGATCCCAGCATCAAGATGCCACAAGGTGATCTCGACAGCAACTAAGTGTTCCGTCCTACAGGCCACATCTTCGATCCCATGAACAAATTATATATATATAGCATATATACATGAACTACAGTTTATTGTCCTCTGTTTCCATTTGTTTTTCTCGCCCTTTTCTAAGAATCTCATTAAAATATCATAATCATAATTAGCTATGCACCACTCCATTTGAGCAATTGCCCATGCACATTGTTAATAATAATAATAATTATGCTTTGTTTTGGCGTTTAGGCGTGTAATATGCAAATTTGTGGAAATTGGGTCGCCGATGGATGACACTGGCTGATCAGCTAAATGCCGAAGTCCGCTCTCGGGTGACTTGGCATGTTAAGTATACGACCAGCCGGAGTGATATAGCAGGCAGCTTAATGACACATGCGCAAACTAAAGACTTAGGCAACACACGTGCGTTTTTGGCTTACAAGAACTCGAAGATTGCTTTTCCGATTGCTTGGCGCTTGGCTTCTTTTTCGCGCACACAAATTGTGAAGGGCCTGCTCTCGGATGACTTGGCATGTTGAGTATACGACCAGTTGACGGTGCAACCCGGAGTGCTATAGCAGGCAGCTTAATGTTACATGCGACAAAACTAAAGACTTAGGCAGCAAACGTGCGTTTTTTGCCCAAAGGAACTTGAAGATTGTTTTTCCGATTGCTTGGCGCTTTGCTTCTTTTTCGCGCACAAATTGTGCAACATTTTTCTTATCCAAATTATTTTGATTGCGAGCGCAAGACCTCCACTGACTTTCATGCCTCATTGGCTTTTCAAATACTTAAAGCAGAGAAACATCTTATATTGTTTTGTTGCTTTTGCCAGTCGCTGTTTGTTTTTAATCGTCCCTTGCTCATCTCTTGTGCACTCCAAATTTGGGCATGGACTCAGCACAAGTCTTTTAATTTATGCATTGCAACATGAACCAACAACTGCGTTGCCTCCAACAGCTACTAATACCTTTTCTATATATAAACTGTTTTACTAATTTACGAACACGATTTAAACAGAAGCCGCCTCAAGTTCGTGTCGAATTTCGTTTGCTGCAGAGCTATATTTATTCAAATGTGCTAAATTTATGCGAACGAGCTGTTAAATTATTTATTGATTGTCTTTTTGAACTTGACTCCTTTTTTACATCGCTTTTTTGTAGGTTGCCTTTTAAAATTCCTAAATAAATGTAACCATTGTATTTTAGCTAAGAATGTCAAAGTTAAACAGAAGCACAATTAAGAACTAAACTAAAAACCCGAATTATTTATAAAATATCTTGAATTGGAACTTCAACTTAAGCTTTGTTATTAAACAGCAATAAGAAGCTTTAATTTTCTGTAAAGTCTAATATTTGTTCCCTAAATCTGAGCACATTCTTCGATCTGTTCGCACTCGTTGCTCCGTTGGCAGGACCTTTCACACCACTTTGCACTGACAGTCCATATGCTTGGCATATTGGATATTAATGTGGACGCGTTTTATTTGTATTTGTTCTATACCTTCATTTTGTGTAGTCACTTGCTTGGTTTTGGTACAAAACACACACGAAACTTTTTACTGCAAACTCGGCGCTGGTAGCTGAGATTTAACTGGGATTTATGTTTGGTGTTCTTCTTGCGAAGATGGTTGACTTGATTGTGATACTGAAACAATTTCGTAGGCCAGTATTTATATTTGAAATGTGCTGCATTCGCTGTCGCAGTCGCAGTCGCTGCCGCGGTCGCAGTCGCAGTCGACGTCGCTAGCAGAAGCAACACAAAAAATAGCGCGCCAAATTTTCGTATCTTTTTTTGTTGTTGTTGTTTTACTCATTTCAATTTTTTTGTTTAGAGTTTCAAAGAGCGCAAAGTAAGTAGCAATGCAAAGCAACACACAAAAAACATTACAAAATAATGCAAAGCAACATCAGCAACAACAATGGCTACAGCATCGAGTGCTCTCCGCGCTGATTCGTGAGCAGATCCCACAGCAAAGCGGACGCTTTAGTGTTATAGTAAACTAGTTAGTTTTAAATTGAAGCGCCAAACACACATTTGACGACTTGGCTGGAGCGAAGATGAGCGCCGCACATTCAACTGAACGAGCAGCGCGGGAGTAATACGCTCCTTGTCCAGGTCCCAAACCCAAACCCATGCCCCTATGCCATAAACATTTGTGTTGTTGTTGTTGTTGCTGTTGTCATGTAATAGCAAAAACACTTATTTGTAATGGGATTAGTCATGCGGCTGCTCATCGTAGCGAGGGCCGCAGGTGAGCGGAACTGGAGCTGCCACCGGTTGACTGTGCTCCACGCATCTTCTGTGCTTCGGCTCTGGCCGAGTCAGTCGTGTGGCAGTCACCACAGCAGCAGCAGCAGCAGTCGCAGTAGCGCGGCTGAAACGAAAGACTTAAGGCGCGAACTTGCGCTTACGTTTTAGAAATGTGTTGCGAAGGAAAAAACAAAAAACAAATTATATTTTTTCAGTAACTTTTTTTGCTCTGCAATTTGACAAGAAATTAACTTATTTTAGTTCAGCTTTATGTGTGGGCGTGGGAACTGTTTGCGTTTTGTTGGCTTGTCAGCTACTTGAAAATGTTAATGAGCAGCACTTCGCTGGGCTGGGAGAGATATGCAAAAATGATCAGGTGACGAAATGGGATTAGGTTTGTAATGTGAATGCTAGAATGTTGCAAAAATTGTTGGCTTGGAGTCAACCAAAGCTTGTTGATCAAGATGCTAATAAGCATGTTTATGGCCGCATTTTGATGTGAATCATATCGCGACTAATGCAATTTTTCAGAAATGTCAGAAATGGATTAAAAAACAGCTGAAGAGATAATGCACACATTCTACATCTTGATTAGAATTAAGGTGTGTAGTAAAAGTATAACTGCTTTAACTATGGATAGGAGTTGGGTGTGGAAATGAAGGTCATTTGTTTTTATTTATTAGCCAATTTATGGCAATTTTAAATTGCATAAAACAAAAGTAATTAAAAAAAAGAGAAAAACAAAGAAACCTAACGAGCACTTCGGAAATTGTAACAAACTCCAAAAAAAAGACCATTGTACAGCAATATTATTGCCATATTTATTCAGACAGTGGGCGTAACATTTATCACGATCTGCAAATACTTTAAATGCCGTTGAGTTGCAAATTGCGTTCGTTTTGAATTTTTTGCCTCGCCATTGTTTAATGTGAATGCGTAAATATCATTATTGACATTTTACCAAAAATGTTGTTGTTGTTGTCGTTGTTGTTGCATATTATGTTTTTGCTGTCGGCACGAGCCGTCTGTCAGACTTTCACATTTTGAATGTTAAGGTCCATTTTGATAGTAACGAGTTAATAATCATGAGCTGTACCGCAGCGCGCCCTGTTTATGGAAAGTTGATTGAAATAAAGAAACTGCCACATTTCCCAGATATGGATATAACAATAACTATTTGCATTTTGGCAGAACTTTAACATGACGAATGCGTTTGAAGGAGACCAATAAAACAAATAATGGCTGACTGGCTCAAGGCTCATTTGTTAAATGCTTAGAAAATGCCAAAACCTGAACGGGCGGGCCATCAAAATGTGCTATACGTGAATATATAATCCATCAATGCTGAACTGCAGAAATTGCAAGTAATAGCCCGGCCTTGTTAATGGCCAAAATCTGCCTAAAAAGCTATAAACAAATCTTATAATTACAAAATTAACACGGCAAACATGCCAAAACTATAACATTAAAAAGCTAAAAACACAGCACAGAGCAATAAAATGCATATTAAGTCGAATTAAAGGCACAACAATTAAGCTCCAAACAAAATCGGATTCAATAGCAAATGCAAACATTTGTCTAATCATTTTCGAGCACATCAAAATATCATTTAATTTCCTGCATATATCTTTAGAAATAACAAATAACGCATTTTGCCGGCTAATTTACATTGAACGTGCCCGCAATGCTGATCCCCCCCGCCCAACTCCGAGCTGAAGAGACATCCAAATTGTAATTTCTGTTTGTATTTAGAGAGGTTACCTTGAGATGAGGTGTGTGTGTGGCTTGTAGTGTTTGTTTTGTAACCTAGAACGCAGACGAGTGGAACGTATAATTTATATTAAACTACTATAATTTTGGATGCACTGCCCGCACAGCGAGCTGTAAATCAATTAAGGCATTTCCATGTAAATTGCGGCGCACTTCAATATGGATGATGATTATGATGATTCGTTGACAGCGGGAGGGCAGCGGTAACTGCGAAGGGGGGGGGGGGGGGGGGTGGGTAGTAAATGCGGCATTAGTCAAGGGCATTTTACATTTTACAATTGGACAAGTCTAACCTGATAGAAGGCTACAGCTGTATTCTTAAGATCGACTCTAAGCTACCCTGTAACAAGTTTTAACTCTAACTGATATAAACATAATTTTCTTCCTATATGATATAGTGATCCGATGCTGATCAAGAATGTATATGCTTAATTTGGTAAAACATATCTTAGGCAAAATTAAATAATCTAGAAGGGTATAAAAAGAGTTCATACACAGTTTTTCACACATTTGTTCGCCTGGTGGGCGGAAATTTAAATAAAAAAAGTTAAATATTATCTGAGTATGGTATAAAAGACTTCTAATCCAAACTTAGATCTTTGAGATCCACGTGCCTTTTTTTAATCAAATGGAAAGACAGATGAACTAATCGAATGACATGGCTGCTGATAATTGATAAAAATATATTTTTGTATGTAAATTGAAAAATAAAATGTATTAAAATTGAAATAAGTTTGGGTGGATAACTAATTTTAATTTTTGTACTAACATAAATCTCTTTATGAATTATTCACATCAAGAATTTTTTTCGTATTCTTTTCATCAAAACTAATTTGTGCGGTTCGCAGAGATAATGGTATTAAGATTGTTCTTTTAAACGTTTATTGTTGATTTTTTTAAAAGTAAGAAATAAAATGTATTTTTCTCATAACTCTTATGTGTAGTCGAGGCACAATTTGGCTTAAGCAACAGCAGCATAAACGTGTACTTTGAAATCATGGCATAAAGCTGACTTTATGTTATATGGATGCTGTTTTTGAGAGTTTCGGCTGATGTGCGCATTCTGACGGCATTCTTTAGCCGCTCGAAGGTCGCTGCTGCCTTTTGGCAGAATCAGAGTAAAAGCT